TTAACAATAAACGTGTATACGTGTTATATCGTCACTGCAAAAATAATGACTGTTTGTCTTTAGTATTAACATTCAAATACGTTATATCTGTATTAGCGATATTGTCTTTGTTCCACCGGTGAGTCAGCGTTAGCCGTACTATCTCGTAGTATAATAATGTATTTCTGAAGACATCACGATACAGTTTTTACGATGCATCACGTCTGCACTAGCGCTTGATAACAGCCTTGGGTGTTTCAGTGGTTTAAATCGCTGCTCTTGATATTGTTGATTAAACTTTGATACTATGAACAATATAATGTTATGTGAGAGGTTGACTTTAGAACGGTAACATACTAATAGTATATAGGATGACATAAACAGAACAATGAGAAGTTCGTCCAGATTAGTGTATAGGCAACATTTAATAATTAAAATAATTACATTCAACAACTCCCCTTTTAAGTCCATTTTCCTGACTTATAAGTAAATGCAAGAACAATCGGCCGGAATACAATGTATAGTTCTTGTCCACTTCCATATGACTATCTAGCATACAATAAGCTATCGGGTCCCGTTTAGATCGGTTTGGGTGGCAGCCTAGATAGCCACAGAATAGTTTCATCTTGGAATCTCCCATATCACTGGGGATACTCTTCAATTTAAATGGAGTTACTCGTCACGATTCCGAACCTTCACGTGACTGTGTTTATGAACCATTGTCAAATAGTGGTGACATTAAATCTAGGAAACAATACGCGAAATCCCGCATGCACAGAACGGAAAATTTGGTCAAGGCATTAAGTAATCCGCATGCGCAGAACGATTGATTTCAATACTTCCGCTAAGCGCTTCGAGTGCTGCGTCAAACGCGGGCCTGTAATCTAACACGCGGGGACTGACCAATGAAAACCGAGAAGTAGAAATACCGGTAGACGCTGTTGCTTGATTGACAATGTCAATCAAGAAAGGGAGGAGCTTAACGCTATCGTTCTCTCCCAGTAAATTCCGATGTCAAATAACGACGTTATTTGGACGGAAAAACGATGGTTTGAAAACGTCCAAATAACGTCGTTTTTCCGTCCAATGACCATATACGGAAAAAAACGACGTTTTCGTGTTTGCAGTGTTAGAGTTGATTATTTTCAATTTTGAGAAATTTGGAATTTGGAAACTTGCAATTGGTGGCGGGACTAAGGGATGGTGTGGCTATGTGGTTTTGGGATTTGTGTTTTATTAGTTTTTTATTATTGGTGGTTTATTTTTTGCAATTTTAGTAGTTCAGTTTTTATAAGGAAGATGCTTAATGCTTTGAAGGTTTGTGTATCGTTGAGCGGATTTAGAAGTGTTGCTACTGTTAGGTGAGTGCTGCAGTCTGACCTGTCCCGGACTTTGTCTTGATTATAAAACTACTACACAGTTCAAACTCAGTGGTGGATTTGTTGCTTTAGTCACTGTCAAGGAGTCAAAAAGTGGAGCTGTTTACTCAGCAAGTGGTTGAGTTTAATCTGTCGGATATTTGAGGATCGGCTCAATACTGCATACGGCACTGCGTACTCCCAAGGTTAGTATGTGATGTGTACTGTAGCATCGTACGTGCGTATACGTGTTTGTATGTGTATGGGTATGTGCAGCTCCGTTGCATGTGCATAACTTAGTGCATGCAATTACGTATATATATTTCAATACAATCGATTTGATATAGAATATGTTTTAAACTGATATTGAAGATGTACTATAATATTAGACATCTATGGTTATATGTTTCTACTTGGGTAATGTCTCTGTTGGGTAAAGACATGTATGGAAATGTATTCAAAATGGTTTGTGATTCAAATCAATACGTTTCACTGGTTTCGCAATACTGTATTTCACCTGCTGTCACTGCACGTCACGGTGTGTATAGGCAACCCCGCCCAGGGCATTGTGGAGATCCTCTATGATAGGACGAAATAAAACTTGACAAGAGGTAAGTCGCTGACCATTTCTCACTTGAACTTTATATTGTATCAAAGAATCTGCTCAACATCTAACAAAACTTTTTAATTTACATAACTTTAAAATTTAGAAATATGTGAAAATAGATTGCATTGATATGTGGTAACACAACGTGACGCATTTGTTATTGTTCTGAGAACACACATTCGATTTTGATAGAGAAAGATGCTATATTTAATGGTACTGATTACAGAGCACCGTGATTTAGCTGTTATGTTACTAGTTATAAGGCATATTGTAATAACTGTAATATTGCTGGTTACAGAGTACCTTGATATAGCTGTAATGATACTAGTAAAAAGGCACCATGCAATAGCTGTAATGGTACCAGTTATAACGGTACCAAAAACCCTTTTCGTGCACACATGGTATTATCAGTATTTGACAGTGATTCATTAACACATGCTTAGGATATAGTCTGAATGGTAAAATGGACTCCTAGCAAAGGTTTCCGATGATTATGGAAAAGGTTTTGTCGCTTTTATTTTTATCATTAAACCACTTGAGAAAGCACAACATTTTCCGAGTCAGATCTCGGTCAAGGTTCGGTATATGACGTATTCACCGGACATGGCAGTGAAATCAAATGTTTCAAAGAGTTAGCGGCATGATAAAGAAAACCCAACTGTGCGGCACAGAATCAGCAAATAAATACCCGGATACACAAGGGGGGTTCACAACATAAAGCGTTACAATTCATCACAGACAGTTTTACACTGGATTGTGTTGGCAAATAGTGAATGGACGCTGAAAGCCCTTACGTTGTACACAGAAAGACGAGAGAATTCAAATCAATCAGGAAGTATATGAATATTATGAATAACGATCGGCCCCCTTTTGGAAGTGTGTGTCAAATTTGAATATTAGTCAAGACTCTAAAGAGTGTACATGTATGTGCGTGGCGCTTTACGATCAGACAAGGTCATTCACCAGTATTTCAATGATACGAATGTTTTTAGCGTTGGGGATCTTTGCCGTTTGTGTCTATAAGTCATGACGGGGTGGGGGTGGTCGACTCCCATGATTCACTGGTGTCTCAGTGGTATCAGCGGTGGTTGCATTTCATTGGTAACGTCGACAGTGGTATAAGAGTTACACAAATACCAAGATGACACATTGTAACAGCGTGATCCTTATTAGTCAGAAAGAAATGACAGTAAGGACCTCATTCGTACCCGCAATCCTAACAGGGTATTTAATTACATGGGCATTTATCAGTGATACTCGACACAACATGTACCTTGAAGTGTATATTACAAAATTCAAAACACTCAATATGAAAGAAAGCAAAAGTTCCATATAGAATATCAACTATAAAACAATAACAATGAATGGTAATGATATTGCATAAAACTTAAACTATATACCATGGTAAAAACGTGTAATATTATTTATAGTATTTCAATATATTTTGTTTGAACAAATGAAAGTAGAGAAAGGGGATATGTGAACTATTCCTGTCATTTTGTCAGTGAAAACCGTTTTCATATACACTGCCGGGCAAAAGCAAGTATACACTTAGCAATTGGTTTGATTTGGATTTGATATAAAAAAGTGACAAGCATTATCAGGCTGAAAACAGTCGCCGGTTCTGAGGTACTCATTGATATGATGAATTAATATCGCCTATATTATCCTCATCAAGTACGTCACCAGCGAATAACTATTTCTTATTTGTTTCATTTTTAGCCACCATCAAACAAACAAGGGTGTAAACTTCTTTTCGCCCGGCAGTTTACATGTATATCTTATTGTGATTGCGACAACCGAGAAAGCTTTCTGGATGTTTACAAATCAAATAACATCAATTGTCGGGACAGACACATTTTATTCTGGATGCTCTATACTTCATAAGTTAATTAACCACATTTCGTACATCCTGCTGTGAGGGTAACACATCATCATGTGATGATGTCATAGGGAACACCTCTGTTGGGATTCCCGGACATGTTTGGTCTTAACCTATGTTTGTAGTAAGAAGCTACATAATGGATCTCTGACAAAATATATCCTTACACTTCAGTTAGCATCTGTACCTGTGGCAGTCAGCAACGTTACTAACAATAATACATACAGTAGATCTACTCAGCACTTCGGGTTCATGCGAGAGGTTCCTGGGGAAACAATTGCAAGGTCCAGTTCCTGCTGTTCTGTTTGGGCCATGCTGCCAGTTTGGGACGGTCTGGAGTTTTCCGTATCTCTGTTAGCGGAATGGAGAAGGTGGGTCTTTGTAATCATGTACCGAGTCAGGATTGTTTTGAGCATCCACTTATTATTGATTATTCACCCTTCACCTTAGTACATCTGATACCTGACTCAATTCACTTTAAACAATATTCGAATATAATCAGTTGTGAAAGATGTATATACAGTTATGACATCTACTTGTCTGTCCAGGGATACAGTATATTACATACCAATTGCCCCAGTGTCAAAATACAGCTTACTCTATTCTTGCAGCCACATTCCTCATTCTCTATTTGATCTTGGTGGTGGTGATCGGCCTACCAATACTCTTCACGGAGATGGCCCTCGATGAGTTCGCCTCAGAAGGGACGATCACAGTGTAGAAGTTAAGCAACAAACCAATAATCAGGGGGGAGACTTTATACTGAGGGGGGGGGGGGGGGGGGGGGGGATGGGGAATATATCCGCCCGGGGGAGATTTTATTTCAGAACAGATTCTGTACCGGTATAAAATATAAAATCTCCGGGGGGAGAATTTGTACGAGGAAGAGTTTGTACCGGGACACCGGCATTCCAGGGTAATAGTTTCGTTGGGGACATAAAGCAGTCAATGCTTATGTTGTATGAGCAATAGTTGTAACAAAGTAAAAAGCATTAAGAAATAATCATATGTTATTTCTCTAGACAGGATCATATATACAGATCTTTCTCCTCGGGTCTAGGTTGTGGATATTTGCATTACTCATATTGAAAGAAAGCTCAGACGCATTGCACCTACATTGAATATACATTTAACACACACTGCACATACACAAATTATCTCAGTTCTCCATCGTGGCCTGTATATGTTTTATATAATCTCCGAAGTTGTATCTGGGATAAGCAATTCGTTCATTTCTTATGTACGATCCATTTTTTACTGAGTCATATTGCGACATGATCTTTGTTACTTACAAAATGTAGATGGCAGAAGATATTGCATGGATAATGATGAGAGTAACATCTGTCTTCTTATATGTTGCAGGTATCGGCTTGGCTATGGTTATCACCAGTGCAATGTGTGTCCATCTACTACAATGTCGTCGTCATGCACACCATCTACTACATGTTTGTCAGCTACGTCAATCTTGACGACACGGTACCCTGGGGGTCGTGTGGCAATCCTTGGAATACCGACTCCTGATCCAGGACGACATCACAAAGAGCTGCCTGATCAAGTTCACTACAGCCATGTAAGAGTACTGGAAGTCAGTTTCAGATTCTGCTTTTGAGGGAAGCAATTGAAGGTGAATCCATGGATAGTAACCAAGCAAATTTTGGTTTCTGATTCTTTAAACATAAAGAGATAAGATCGCGTCCATTAGGGGACTACTGTTTTCTGATTGGCTGATAACAGAGTGGGCAGGGCTTGTGTTACATTTTTGCGCTGAACGATGACACTGATTTCGTCTCGTTTTGCGTTAATTATTAAATGTTATTATTGATGACGTATTTATTTATACGAAATGCCTTGTTTTTTGCGTTTACGAAGGAGGTATAAACTTTAGCTGTATACACAATGTGCACACTTGGTTTTACTTTCGTACCTTCATAAACTCATATTTATTATAACAGTTATATTTGTAAATTTTTACGTTATGTACTTTGTCTCCATGAATCTGATGGTTTTGAAGATTTCGGAGGGTTCAGTCCCAAGAAAACCATGTAACCCTTTCCTGGCTCCACGTCATCTTCTGTCTGAAGAAGGGAATCAAGACATCAGGCAAGGTACATTAAGTATTTGTTACCCAATATCTGGAGGCCATGTTAATTCGGCTACTATTGCTCGTCAAAAGGTACGACTTCGTGAATCAATAATCTGCAACAAAGCGGTTTGAAGTCCACATTTGTGAGATGTATATTCCTCCACGTGTGTTTACATACCGGCGTAATGTCCAACTATAGAAAGTAGGCAATCTGAATATTCAATACATCTGATTCGTTTTTCAGTTAATTAACACACGACTTTGTTTAGTCACTAGATGAAAGAAAGATGTTACTAAGACACCTACCTTCCAGACTTTCGTCATAATTTCAAAATAAAACTATAGTTTATTTTCTTATACAATCTATCTCATACATGTATGATTAATAACGAGTATTTATGTTACTCGTGTTCCCATCCCAGGTCGTGTATTTCACCGCTACCTTCCCCTACGTCATTCCTGTGGTGCTGCTGATCCGGGGCCTGACGCTGCCAGGGCAAGAGCATCGCATTTTGCATGACCCAACAGGTCACTAGGTTGACAGAGGCCAAGGTAACATAAAATGTCAACGCCAGCAAAAAATCGTTCTTCATTATCTGCCTTAACAAAAAAAATTGGGCGTAAAAGGCAAAATAATGGAGAAAATAACTTGAAAATCAGTGATGACCGGGCTTCGCGAAAACATCGTCTAAACGCCGTCTATCTGCCTTCCCCTTAACGATTTGGCAGAGATTAAACAGAGAAATTATTTTTCGGGTGCTCCCTTTTCACAAGGTAGATAATCTAACAGCTAAATATCGAAGAACAGAGCTTTTTTGTAATAAGAGAAGCAATTACTTTTATATATAAAATATATACCTTAGGAAGAGAATAATCAATTGATATATTGCCACCACTCGCTCATTGTATTCAGGTATGGGGAGATGCCGCCACTCAGACATTTTAGTCATTGGGAGCTGGATTTGGCAGTGTGTGGACCATGTAAAGTTACAAGTTATGAGCAACTGTCAGCAGTGAGTTGATTGCAGAAACATAGCACCCTTGCCTCCGACAATAATGGTCGTTTGAATTTTTAGTTAATGTATATTTATAAAAATTATTTTGTTTTAGCGTTAATGTGATGAAGAGGAAGCAATAAGGTTTTCCAACATGCGCCTATAGCCATGTTTACACTTTGTGTCTTGGAACAAGGGCTCTGAGCTGATGATGAGCCTAACCAGCCTAATTGTGCCAGGATCACCCAAACCCTCCTTGCTGCATTTTATATCTTAATCTGCACATAATAATAATATATGAATTTCAGAGCTGAACGCTCGCAATAAAGTCAAAGCCACAAACACTTATGCTGTACCCGTTCTTTCATATTCTATTGGTCTTGCTGATTAGACGAAACAAGAAATTTTGGGTATTGACACCCTCACACGAGAAACATGTCAGACAACAGATCCAACCACCCTCGCTCTTCCCCAATCGCATATATTTACCAGTTATAATTGGAGCGCGTCGATTGATTAACGTGGAGGCTCTTCAAGATAGAATTGTATTGTGCACACAATTATTTGTCTGATGATCATCTTGTGAAGCATGTCAAGACTCATGATGAAAACAAGACATTCCGCAGTTTCATTAAAGGAGCCAAGGATGCGGGACATCATCTCGATGCCAATGATGGTTTTGTTGATGGTTCCGTACTGCTGGAAAGTACAGACATGTGTGTCAACCAAGCGAAGTATTAAATATTAAATTTAGCCCAGACTATCTGGCAAAAGAGAAACTATCTAAACGAATTTATGTGCAGTGTGTTGAGACAGCAACCCTCCAGAATCCTTCGCTTGGATGCAGTCGGCTGGCCTGAAAAGTGAAACAGAAGGCTTTTTGTTTGCTGCTAAGGACCAATCCCTTCCCACTCAAAACCGTCAATGTGCGACTTTGCATCAAAATGTAAATATGAAATGTAGATTATGCAATGAATTTAATGAGACCGTCCAACACATTGTAAGCGGATGCACAGTTTTGGCACAAACACAGTATCTTAAGCGACATGATGGAGTGGCTCGATTCCTACAGTGTTTCTTTATTCGTTTCCATCAGTATTTGTTTGTTTCAGTTCCTCCAAAAGTGTCAGCCACTTAGTGCTCCCCGGCCTACTACGGAGACTACACGTTCCCATCGTGGACTGAGGGGATTGGCTGGTGCATGGTTGTTACCCTGTTGCTATCATTATCCTGGATATGGTGGTCTACACGCTCGGACTCCAAAGTTCGAAATACATCATTTCCAACTGTGTTTTCCAGAGTACTGCAAACATGTCTACATAGGCACGATGAAGTTTTATTCTATTGTTCATGAAGTCCATGCACATGTGTAGAAGCGTTTGAAGACTAACGAGATATTATATGAAATATTTTATACCATAAAACGCCGACATTCCACAATCATGGTGCAGGACTAACGCTTTCTTGCCGAAGTGATGATTCCTACAAAGCAGCATTGCTGGCGCATTGGGATCATTGTCTAATCAGATTAAAGTGTTCGCCCCCACAGCTGGGGACTTGCTAACCAGGCAAATCGGACCTCATCACTCCTGAGGCTCCTGGTAGCAGGGGCCACGCTATGGACAAGACTAGTGCGTGCACTGAGAAGGGGAGCCCAGCATCCAGTGTCATAGGTGACAACTCTGGATACTACATGTACAGCAACAGACTATAAGCTACGACCAGAGCTGTTATATTAGTAATACTTATTCTTACAAATTATGAGTTCTGGTCAATTATATACAGACATGGTTCTGCAGTCATAATCCGATAATCTATTCCACTATTTAAGTGTGTCACGGGCGGTTGATGTTTAACACTGTAGTAAAAACCACCACCAAGGGTATGGTGCTTATGAACCAATGATTACAATCAGGCTAGCATGGGTTTCGAAATCACTATCAAAGGATCCTGGCCTGCATTTGGGACACATCGCAACAATTTAACCGCCTTGGACGGCTTGACTATCCGTGCCCCAAATGACTGTGCCCTTGGACATGTAAGCTTGACTGTATCCAGACGGCTGCACCACCATAGTATCTGGGCCAATAGAAATTTTCCCGGGGTTAATTTTCACGCGTCACCATAGACGTGAAAGACTCAAGTGGACGCGCAAAGATGGCAGAACCGAAACTGGCAGTCTGAGAGAATCACGTTTTCTGATTAGAGCAGGTTCCAGCTCTTCAGAGCAGATGGTTGTTTATGTACGTGTGTGTCGTCAACTAGACGACTTCACGGCTGTTCCATCTGGAGGTGGCAGCGTAATTATCTCATCCAAGTTCTTTACTGTATCCCAATTGCGTGGATCGATGCTCATGATGTCAAGCACTGGATTATCTGGTCCAGACTTGATTATTTACAGACCGCCACCATATCGCTCGAATATTGCTGAGTGCGGCGTTAAACAACAAAACCCGACAATAAATACAATAAGGAAGAGAATTTATGGATGTCAACTTCCTTATTACGATGAACACATGCTTTCTCCTTCATCTTAATTCAACGAAGGAGTACGCATATACTCCGAAACGTTGTGTATATATATATATATATATATATATATTTCACCACGCTTATCCTTTTACGTTAAATCAAATTGAAAGTTGCGAAAGTGGTCGGGTGCGTCACGGCAGTCGTACATTGTAAATCGATTTATAGATCTAGCTCGATAATTATATGTCTGTAGAAGCTCTATGCATAACTTATATAGGATGCAAACCGATTTTGATGCGTGTGACTATCTTGTTTGGTTTAATAAAGTGTTTGTAAATATCTCTCGTTCTCATGAATTTCTTCAGTTCTGCCTTGTAATCGCAAAATGAATGACGTCTCGCGATTTTTTATGAATGAAAAAAGTAGTCCCGGTGTGACAGAGGTCACGGTTATCCAATCAAAACGAATAAAACAAGGTCAACCTTGTACGACACACGTGTGACGTACGGATTTAGTATCTTACCACCTGTATCTTCACCACGTGGGTAATAAAGTTGGAGATGCGTAATTTGATACAGATGATGGAGACGATGATGCATTGAATGACAAAGAAGATGTAGACGAGACTTGCAAATGTGAAGAAAGTTGTGATGATCCTGAAGAAAAGGTGTTGGGGCAAGTTGAGGTCCGAGATAGAGATAATGGCATCAATGTTGTGGATGTTGTATAAAGCAACGACGAGGGTAATGATGAGGGAAGTAGCAGAAATTGTGAGGTCTATAGTGAGGAGGATAGAGTTCAAGTTCCGGCTTTACCCTATCTAGCTCTCGAAAGAATAGTAATCCATGCAGTCAGGTTATCGCCTTTAATGCGCTATGCTTTACAAATGGTGAGCCCGGCCTTTGCTGAAATTGTGAGGAGCGTGGGATATCCTCAGATTTACCTCCAGCCACGCCAAGCTCATCTTCCCGAGGCAAGTAAGTTAACTGACTATGAAAGTCCAGTTTCCACCCTTGCCGAACTAGGCCAGTATTATGGAGTTAGATTTTGGCTGGACTAACGAGTATAAGGATAGTCCAATCAAAATCACGCATCGAAATCGAAATCCGGTTCGTAGAGTGTCATGCAGATTTTGGTCGACTGCAGGATTTGCAAAACATGTGCACCGCTAACTCCTTGTAAACAGATATTTTCTAAATCTTTTGATGTTTTTAATCAAGGTGCTCACGTGATTTGATGCACTTCGCGATGTAAGACTCGTTTTATCACAATATAGATCTTGATTATCGATCAGATCGTCTTGACTGGGCGCCACCGTTTTGTTTGAAACAAATGCAAGTGATACGAGAGGTTGAATCTGATTGGTCAAAAGGGGAGGCACAGAAAAGACATAACACGTAATAGCCACTGGTGACGCTACGATCGAGCCCAGGAATTCCAGCCTAGTTTGGCAAGGGCGGAAACTGGACTTTCAAAGTCAGTTAACTCTCTTGCCTCGGGAAGATGCGCCAAGCTATTAGCATACCAAATCTAGTCAGCGTGGCGAGACTAGCCCGTATTTATGGACGCCAGATTGGATGTAGGAGGCAGATGGTCAAGGGCATGGTTAACTCTGACGGAAGTTGGGTATGGATCGTACGACGTTGTTAAACTGTCGTGGAGGTAGATAAGTCCTGAAACAGCATCCTCGTGTTTGAAACCAAAAATGATAATTAAAAAAATACCAAAGTAAAATATTTAAAGATAATGATAAAAAATGAAACAACAACAACATCCCCCCCCCCCCCCAACAAAAAAACCAACAACAACAACAACAACAAAGAAAAAAAAACAAAACAAAAAAACAACAACAACAACAAAAACAACAAAACTTGACAGATGGTTTGCGACCTTGACGTGGTTGGCAGGCTTTAATCTAACAGAAAACTTTTTAGAAACAATAGTGACACTCAATACTCCGTAGTAAGTATTGTTAAATTCACAATAACTACCTATATCACAAAAGGTTATTGTGTTTTTAATACGATACTAGTACATGTCACAGTTTTGCAAAAGAAATTGTCATATATTATTATTGTTACTTCACATCACTTGTATACCAAATACACTATTGATTGATCTTTCTATGGAAACTTGTTGTGGATCTATGCCGTGTTTTAGTTTCCCACAGCACCTCTTTGTAATTCATTCCCTTGTAAAAAAACGAGGGGTACTTAACTTTTTTAACTGTGTATATGTTTACTATAACACATAAGATAATATGAAGATAATATATATATATACTAGTATGCAACTTTATTACAAAAAACTCTCAACCCGTTTTGTAATAATTATTACACTTTGAAACGATTCCAATATTAGGTCAACTTTTCATCCAAAGTAGATATGATGACGACCAAACTTAACGTAAAGACCGTTTGTGTTCCTAATTGAACTTGTAAGCAAGTTATGGGTGCCAATTGAACACTTTCAGCATAATTCACCAAGTTTATTACACTTTGCAACTTTATTACAAAACGGGTTGCCATGTGCATTTCACTTTGTAATAAGACTCTCAACCCGTTTTGTAATAATTATTACACTTTGCAACTTTATTACAAAACGGGTTGTAACAAAGCCTTGCATTTAAAATCATTTATGGTCACAATAGGACAATACCTTTTTTTTTCATTTCGCAAATAGTATTTAAGCAAAAACTATCCACATCAGTAAAAGATTTTTTAACCCTGTATACTATTCCAGCATTTTTGATCAGGACATCCAATCCCCCGTAGTTGGTCTGTAGGAATGACTTCAGTCGCTCTACGCTTGACTGGTCGTTGAGGTCCAGCTGGTGGAACTTTGGCCGCAAGCCTTCCTTGTTGAGGTCAGCAACAGCTGCCTGGCGACGACCTTCATCTCGTGCTGTAAGGTAGAACAACGATGGGATGGGCGTAATGCTTCTGTCAACAGTACTTCCGTTCCGTCGCTTTGTTTGAGCTTAATTTGGTTGGAAAGCCCACGATGATGCAGGTCCATCACCTAGGGTACAGCACTGGGACAAATCTTGGACTTGACTCCATGTTCAAAGGATTCTAGTAAACCTTGGAGATGCCATCTTCCAGAGGCAAGGGGGTTAACTGAAAAGTCCAGTTTCCACCCTTGCCGAACTAAGATGGAATTTCCAGGCTCGACCTACAGATGGGTGCACAACAGTCCACTGACAGTTTTCTCTTGAACACAGACCTACAGATGGGTGCACCACAGTCCAGTGCCAGTTATCTCTTGAACACAGACCTACAGATGGGTGCACCACAGTCCACTGACAGTTATCTCTTGGACATAGACCTACAGATGGGTGCACCACAGTCCAGTGACAGTTATCTCTTGAACACAGACCTACAGATGGGTGCACCACAGTCAGCTGACAGTTATATCTTGGACACAGACCTACAGATTGGTGCACCACAGTGCACTGACAGTTATCACTTGGACACAGACCTACAGATGGGTGCACAACAGTCCAGTGACAGTTATCTCTTGAACACAGGCCTACAGATGGGTGCACCACACTGACAGTTTTCTCTTGAACACAGACCTACAGATGGGTGCACCACAGTCCAGGGACAGTTTTTTCTTGAACACAGACCTACAGATGGGTGCACCTCAGTCCAGTGACAGTTATCTCTTGAACACAGACCTACAGATGGGTGCACCACAGTCCAGAGACAGTTTTTTCTTGAACACAGACCTACAGATGGGTGCACCACAGTCCAGGGACAGTTTTTTCTTGAACACAGACCTACAGATGGGTGCACCTCAGTCCAGTGACAGTTATCTCTTGAACACAGACCTACAGATGGGTGCACCACAGTCCAGGGACAGTTTTTTCTTGAACACAGACCTACAGATGGGTGCACCTCAGTCCAGTGACAGTTATCTCTTGAACACAGACCTACAGATGGGTGCACCACAGTCCAGAGACAGTTTTTTCTTGAACACAGACCTACAGATGGGTGCACCTCAGTCCAGTGACAATTATCTCTTGAACACAGACCTACAGATGGGTGCACCACAGTCCAGAGACAGTTTTTTCTTGAACACAGACCTACAGATGGGTGCACCTCAGTCTAGTGACAGTTATCTCTTGAACACAGACCTACAGATGGGTGCACCACAGTCCAGAGACAGTTTTTTCTTGAACACAGACCTACAGATGGGTGCACCTCAGTCCAGTGACAGTTATCTCTTGAACACAGACCTACAGATGGGTGCACCTCAGTCCAGTGACAGTTATCTCTTAGACACAGACCTACAGATGGGTGCACCTCAGTCCAGTGACAGTTATATCTTGAACACAGACCTACAGATGGGTGCACCACAGTCCAGTGACAGTTATCTCTTGAACACAGACCTACAGATGGGTGCACCTCAGTCCAGTGACAGTTATCTCTTAGACACAGACCTACAGATGGGTGCACCGAAGTCCAGTGACAGTTATCTCTTGGACGCAGACCTACAGATGGGTGCACCACACTGACAGTTTTCTCTTGAACACAGACCTACAGATGGCTGCACCACAGTCCAGTGACAGTTATCTCTTGAACACAGACCTACAGATGGGTGCACCACAGTCCAGTGACAGTTTTTTCTTGAACACAGACCTACAGATGGGTGCACCTCAGTCCAGTGACAGTTATCTCTTGAACACAGACCTACAGATGGGTGCACCACAGTCCAGTGACAGTTATCTCTTGGACACAGACCTACAGATGGGTGCACCACAGTCCACTGACAGTTATCTCTTGAACACAGACCTACAGATGGGTGCACCACAGTCCACTGACAGTTATATCTTGCACACAGACCTACAGATGCCTGCACCACAGTCCAGTGACAGTTTTCTCTTGAACACAGACCTACAGATGGGTGCACCACAGTCCAGTGACAGTTATCTCTTGGACACAGACCTACAGATGGGTGCACCTCAGTCCAGTGACAGTTATCTCTTGGACACAGACCTACAGATGGGTGCACCACAGTCCAGTGACAGTTATCTCTTGGAAACAGACCTACAGATGGGTGCACAACAGTCCAGTGACAGTTATCTCTTGGACACATACCTACAGATGGGTGCACCTCAGTCCAGTGACAGTTATCTCTTGGACAGTGACTCACAGACCTACAGATGGGTGCACCACAGTCCAGTGACAGTTATCTCTTGAACACAGACCTACAGATGGCTGCACCACAGTCCAGTGACAGTTATCTCTTGGACTCAGACCTACAGATGGGTGCACCACAGTCCACTGACAGTTATCTCTTGAACACAGACCTACAGATGGGTGCACCTCAGTCCACTGACAGTTATATCTTGCACACAGACCTACAGATGGCTGCACGACAGTCCAGTGACAGTTATCTCTTGGACAGTGACTCACAGACCTACAGATGGGTGCACCACAGTCCAGTGACAGTTATCTCTTGAACACAGACCTACAGATGGCTGCACCACAGTCCAGTGACAGTTATCTCTTGGACACAGACCTACAGATGGGTGCACCACAGTCCAGTGACAGTTTTTTCTTGAACACAGACCTACAGATGGGTGCACCACAGTCCACTGACAGTTATCTCTTGGACATAGACCTACAGATGGGTGCACCACAGTCCAGTGACAGTTATCTCTTGAACACAGACCTACAGATGGGTGCACCACAGTCAGCTGACAGTTATATCTTGGACACAGACCTACAGATTGGTGCACCACAGTGCACTGACAGTTATCACTTGGACACAGACCTACAGATGGGTGCACAACAGTCCAGTGACAGTTATCTCTTGAACACAGGCCTACAGATGGGTGCACCACACTGACAGTTTTCTCTTGAACACAGACCTACAGATGGGTGCACCACAGTCCAGGGACAGTTTTTTCTTGAACACAGACCTACAGATGGGTGCACCTCAGTCCAGTGACAGTTATCTCTTGAACACAGACCTACAGATGGGTGCACCACAGTCCAGAGACAGTTTTTTCTTGAACACAGACCTACAGATGGGTGCACCTCAGTCCAGTGACAATTATCTCTTGAACACAGACCTACAGATGGGTGCACCACAGTCCAGAGACAGTTTTTTCTTGAACACAGACCTACAGATGGGTGCACCTCAGTCTAGTGACAGTTATCTCTTGAACACAGACCTACAGATGGGTGCACCACAGTCCAGAGACAGTTTTTTCTTGAACACAGACCTACAGATGGGTGCACCTCAGTCCAGTGACAGTTATCTCTTGAACACAGACCTACAGATGGGTGCACCTCAGTCCAGTGACAGTTATCTCTTAGACACAGACCTACAGATGGGTGCACCTCAGTCCAGTGACAGTTATATCTTGAACACAGACCTACAGATGGGTGCACCACAGTCCAGTGACAGTTATCTCTTGAACACAGACCTACAGATGGGTGCACCTCAGTCCAGTGACAGTTATCTCTTAGACACAGACCTACAGATGGGTGCACCGAAGTCCAGTGACAGTTATCTCTTGGACGCAGACCTACAGATGGGTGCACCACACTGACAGTTTTCTCTTGAACACAGACCTACAGATGGCTGCACCACAGTCCAGTGACAGTTATCTCTTGAACACAGACCTACAGATGGGTGCACCACAGTCCAGTGACAGTTTTTTCTTGAACACAGACCTACAGATGGGTGCACCTCAGTCCAGTGACAGTTATCTCTTGAACACAGACCTACAGATGGGTGCACCACAGTCCAGTGACAGTTATCTCTTGGACACAGACCTACAGATGGGTGCACCACAGTCCACTGACAGTTATCTCTTGAACACAGACCTACAGATGGGTGCACCACAGTCCACTGACAGTTATATCTTGCACACAGACCTACAGATGCCTGCACCACAGTCCAGTGACAGTTTTCTCTTGAACACAGACCTACAGATGGGTGCACCACAGTCCAGTGACAGTTATCTCTTGGACACAGACCTACAGATGGGTGCACCTCAGTCCAGTGACAGTTATCTCTTGGACACAGACCTACAGATGGGTGCACCACAGTCCAGTGACAGTTATCTCTTGGAAACAGACCTACAGATGGGTGCACAACAGTCCAGTGACAGTTATCTCTTGGACACATACCTACAGATGGGTGCACCTCAGTCCAGTGACAGTTATCTCTTGGACAGTGACTCACAGACCTACAGATGGGTGCACCACAGTCCAGTGACAGTTATCTCTTGAACACAGACCTACAGATGGCTGCACCACAGTCCAGTGACAGTTATCTCTTGGACTCAGACCTACAGATGGGTGCACCACAGTCCACTGACAGTTATCTCTTGAACACAGACCTACAGATGGGTGCACCTCAGTCCACTGACAGTTATATCTTGCACACAGACCTACAGATGGCTGCACGACAGTCCAGTGACAGTTATCTCTTGGACAGTGACTCACAGACCTACAGATGGGTGCACCACAGTCCAGTGACAGTTATCTCTTGAACACAGACCTACAGATGGCTGCACCACAGTCCAGTGACAGTTATCTCTTGGACACAGACCTACAGATGGGTGCACCTCAGTCCAGTGACAGTTATCTCTTGGACACAGACCTACAGATGGGTGCACCTCAGTCCAGTGACAGTTATCTCTTGGACACAGACCTACAGATGGGTGCACCACAGTCCAGTGACATTTAGTAAGTATCCAAGAAAGTACTAATCATTTCCAAACTTAAAGTCAGCTCTTTTATAACTTTAATCGACTCGGGCAAATGTTTATTAACTTTTTAATTTCCGTATATTTCACATCACTGACAATGACCGCATTGTGAGTATATTATCAACATCAACTGTAGGTCGTCAGTTGTAAACTATAAGCAGTCTCGTCTCATGTCAACACTCCTCTCTGTTGTTTACTTGTCAACTTGCCTACATGCTTTGAAAAAGGATTCCTTACACCGGTAGGGTGAGTGAGTGAGTGAGTTGAGTTTGACGCCGCTTTTAACAGTATTACAGTTATATCACGGCGTGTCAGCTTAATGTGGGAGGAAAGCCCGAAGTTATGCAGGTCTCAGACGTTTACCACTTCGGTGAAACCCACGAGCACAGGTATGGTGCTGACAAACCTAGAAACATAAACGGGGCGAACCGGGATTCACAATCATAGGTTTCTAGCGTGCCCAAGGGGCGCAACTCTGCACAGCAAATCGCGGCGCCCTAGACGACTGTGTAATGCACGGTTAGTTGAACGAATACTACATGTGCAATGTGTGCGCATTAATTTTAATGATTCAAATAATAAAATCAGTTTATGATACTGTTAAATTAATTATATATAGAAAGGAATTTTGGAGCAGGTGCATTTTTGATAAGCCAATAACTTTATATACCCTGGACATACGATGTCAAATGGACCTAATCATGATTTGTTTCTCAGAAAGGGGTACCTTTATAACGGAAGTCGGGCATATTGCCAAAGATTTTAACATATATATAAGTACATTGTTTATTCATTCACTTCTCATGTGAATTAAAACCACTGCACACAAGGATATGCAGAATGCATAAGACATGCTACGCTAGGTTTCTTAGAAAGGGGTACCTATAAAAATAAAAGCTGGCATGTTGCCAAGGATTGAAACATATATATAAATATATAACCTACTTTTTGTTGTTTGCAGGAGCACGTTACTGACGAGACAGCTCCCGGGAGATATTGTTTATCTGACGAAGGACCTGACTGGGTTTTTCCATGACACATTTCAAGGAGGGTGACGTTGCAACACTTCGTGCATGTAACACAGGTAATACACCCTACTGTCGCTCTGGGGAGTACAACTGGCCGACGCGTCTAAGGTTCCGACATTCGCTGTGCAAAATAATGTCTTCCCCTTTTCTGGAACAATGTTTCTTTTTTATATCCCTCTTATTTTAAAGTTAAACCCAAATATTTATTACAATTCTGATACATACTGACATACAATTATCACTGTTGAGCTGGTAATTTAGCAAAAGTTCGACCCAATAAAAGATAATGGTATACGGACAGAAAACATCAGATGATTCACAGAGATGTGTACAGGTACGTCGCATCTTACACAAACATCCGACATGGGACATAGTGTGACTGCCTGATTAAGCAGTGGCCACAGAACAGCCACAGATTCTGCTGTATACATGAGGGGTGGGCGGAACTGGAAATGTGCCAGGTATACACTACGTGATAATGTAAACAAATGCATAGATATTACGACAGTCAATATACTTAGCTCATCACGTAAGTTATATGAATAGATGCAGGTCCGTGCGCACATCAAACTGTCACACAGAATGGGTCGAACTTTCTAGTATACAGCCGTGTGATATCTGCGATCATCTTTAAGGTAGGTTTCTGGATTTATTGAATACATATTAGTAAGTTTATGTAAGAGAAATGGTATGCCCAAATGTAAGCAAACTGGTCATGTTGATGTATTGACATCTGACCATTAATAACAACCAGAAAACTGTATGTCTGTACTGCAATCAGGCTGCAATGGCGGACCAACGTAACGTGATTCACTGTGGTCAATCAGCCTGAACACAACCATGGCTTCATTAACTTAGCAATTAGTCAAAAGTATTTTGATACAACATCAGCCAAGTAAAACATAATAACACGTATAATCTTCAAAGAAAAGAGATAATTGAAGTTGTGTGCTTCTAATTATAACTAAACAATGTGTTTTTTTATTGTGGAAAATAAATATGTATACCATTTCGAATGGTGTCGAGCACACTTTCTGTGGTGTTTAATTTTCAATCATCAGTTTACAGCTGTACCAGAGGTGAAATGGGGTTTAACGTCGCGTTCAGGATTATTGCACTTATATAGCGATGTGTGTGGCTGTGTTTTCTTGTATTAGTCGGGAGTTATGCCGATTTTATAGCCTACTGAGATACCATGCCGTTATTAACATGAATACTACACTCAGACACAGTATACTGACTCCGGGCTGACCAGTCCTTTGTTTTGGCCTCTTAATGCCGAGCGCCAGGCAGGGTAACAAAACATACCATCTGTTAAATTCCTTGGGTATGAAGTGGAATTGAACCCCCGACCTCCCGCACTCCGGGCGGACGCTCTCCCATTAGACCACGGAGGCAGCCAGAGCTGTACCAGACATTGATCGTTTATTGACGTTTGTTCTCAATCTTTTTTCGTAAATTTGAAAGTCAACATCGTGTAGTTTTTTTCATTTTATTGAAATGTTATAGTTCCATCTGTTCGTTTGCAGAAGGTTCACAATCATGACTACAGGAGAGTGCGCGGCTCTTTGGACTGTGGCCACCCTGTCAGTCGTTAGTACACTCGTCAACGGTATGTATACATACATCGAACTCGAATTCAGTGTAGATGAATAACAGAACTGTAAATTATTTACTAATTCTGTAACAGAAAATTGATTTCGGACACTTGATATACTTGAAAATATGTTCAGTATGAATCATGTGATATAAGTCACAGAGTCTTGTAAACCGAATGCTCCTACTCAGATATATATGTACGATAGATATGTACGAATAGATTAATATTGTGATGAATAGTGGTCACTTGTGAGCATAACATTATTCTTCACGTTTAAACACTGAGCGATTTCCATGTGACAATACACTAAACTGGCTTTTAAACCTGCTACATTATCATTATGTGACATGTTCCGTACATGCAGGTCAACTTCCATGCCATACTAATGGCTGTCTCCATGGTAACGGTGGTCTCCGGTGCAAGTCATGTTTGCCTGGGTGTTACGGCTCCAATTGCAGTTCCTCATGCCATGGAAGCTGCCACACAGACGGCTGTGACAGAGACACTGGTCTGTGTTTTAGATGTCGACCTGGGATCTACGGAGAAGACTGCGCCAAAACATGTCCGCAACAATGCGCCAACAGTATGACAGGCGGGACTGTCTACTGTGAACGACACACAGGCGCGTGTTCTGAAGCATGTACACGAGGATGGACTGGTACACACTGCAGTGAACGATGTCCGCCCAACTGCAAGGGTCAAACCTGTAACAAGCAAACAAAACAGTGTATCCTTGGTTGTGAGACAGGCTGGACAGGAGGCTACTGTAATTCAACATGTGACAACTGTCTGATGAAGAGATGCAACGACAACGGCTATTGTCTGCTGAGGTGTAAAGCGGGCTTCTTTGGACAGGGTTGTGAGAAGAGATGTCCACACTGCTGGACTACTGGTTGTGACAGACGGACTGGGGTATGTGAACAGTGTCAGCCTGGTTACCATGGAAACCGTTGTAACGAAAGGTGTGCTGAGACATGTTATAAAGGTCGGGAGGGTCATAGAAACTGTGACCGCGACACCAAGGCGTGCCTGGAGGGCTGTGAAACTGGATGGCACGGTTCTCATTGCCATACACCGTGCAGTGCCTCCTGCATGTCCTCATGTTACAGCCGCGATGGCTCCTGTGTAGATGGCTGTGTAGCAGGTTACTATGGGAAACATTGTCACAGGAGATGCATTCATGAAAACTGTAAAAACAACACGTGTGACCACAATGGTCATTGCACGGAATGTGAAGATGGCTGGTTTGGAGAAGACTGTGATCAGCATTGCCCAGCACTGTGTGAGTCTTGTCTTCGAGACACTGGACAATGTTCACGATGTTCCGATGGTTACCATGGCCCTGGCTGTGCTGAACGTTACCAATACCCATGCAGCGAGAACTGTGAGACATGCGACCAGACAACGGGGTGTACAAGGTGTAGAGAAGGACATTCCCTTGAAGACAGCAAATGTACCTCCACGCTCCCCTCAACATCTGGGGCAGATTCTGTGAAGCAAACGCTACATAAAATGAAACATGCGTTTACTGTTTCTCTAGCATTTCTTATCTGTGTTTGCGCTATGACATGGCGTATCTAGAAGATAAGTTGCTATCTTAGTTCCTAGTATTCATGTACGACTTAAAACAGATTATTATGTATGATTTCAGTAAAACAACTTCAAGCGATACAGTAGATGTAATGTGCACTCAATATTGACTCCGTCTATATGTCATTAAGCATTTTGTATATTGCCAAAATGTTCTGCATATGATTTTGTTACAAAATATGCCTTAGTTTTTATTTGGTATTCGTTGCGTGATGTAAGTTAATGATGATATTAAACATGTATATAGTGTTAATATTACATAATTGTTTTTGTTAATTCTGTTATATGTTATATAAAATAAATATCTGTGTTACTATTCTTAACCGTTTTATCGTTTGGTTCTTGTTGCATAGTCTTGTAATCACATGACAGCCAGAACAAAACGGACAATATTATTTCATAAATCGTCTAGTAAAGGCAGCATCAACGTATCCAATACGCTGCACATGACTGAGGTTTGCTTATCAATCTCATTTTATATAAGCATTCCTGAAGAGGAACGTGTTCGAGCCTAAATGTTAAGTCTTGAGCCAGTAGTAACGGCAGCCGGTTGCTTTCCCTATGTTACACTATGGGCTGACGCTACAATTGAATCCAAATATATTTCAAGAGATAAAATCGAATAATCACAATGTAAGGGACATGGGATGTCCCGGCGAGAGGTAACCGATATTTTGCATGTGTCTTAGTCTGTGATTTTGGAACAGATTTTGGAACAGGTGTCTGCTGGCACAAAATGTCACAGGGCGCCCGAGGCCAACAACACAATTCCAGAATCGAGAAAAACAGAAACCTGTTTTCCAAAATTGATCCCAAACAGACAGTAAAATGGTTGTTCACTTCGCCAGGCCACTGGGTTCAAGTTACTGACCAGAAAATTAGAAAACGCCTGCTTGCTTTGCGACCACGTGTTGTACCAACGTCAACAAAGTAGCTCGCTCTTGCCAGACGCAAAAGGAGCTTAGAGCACAGCGAACATCAAAGATTTGGTCGTGGGTATGTAATGGGGCAGGATCACTATGACTGCCAGAACGCGACTACATATTGTCCATGGACTGTACTACCGCGGCAACGAGCTGGCGACATTAGTTGTGCCGTTTGCGCGCCATGTTGGTCCACGTTTTGTCTGTCGGGACGATGACATCCCCACCATGCATGTATCGTAGCTGGCTACATCCAGGAGCCATACGTCCCTAGAATGCATAGGCCAGCCATGAGTTCCTACCTTTTCCTTCATAGGGCAGGCCTGGGACATGATCGGCCGACGTGTACACCGACGTCAAAGGCCACACGCTACGTTAACCGACATGGACCAGAGCTGCAAGAGGAGTGGAGATTTCCTCAAATTGTCAAGTCATCTCAAACATTCATATTTTGTCGACTACACACCCCTGTTGTCTTTCATGATTGCTTTCACCCTTACAATACACCACCTTCATGATCAGTTGATTGTCATGTTAAACCTAGTCCTTCCTTGTTCTTATCCATCCATCACTCCATACCTTTTTGTATTTCAGTAATCATCCGTTATCGTCGAATATCCACTACGTTTTGTGGAGAGTGTATATGTAAACTGCAGGCAAAGTTACTGTTATTCCATTACACTGAAAAAACCATTATGTGAAGATTATGTTATTGTTTCCGTAAACTTACATCTGACAACAGGATGGGGACTAAAATGATATACGTTATGTATCATTGGTATCTCTTTAACGAAAACGAGTGGGTGTCTGTGTCCTATTCCTTTACGTTTATAACTTCCGATGTCACTAGTTACATGTAAGTAAACAATCGTTATGTTGCTTAAAACAATAATGATATGGAAGTTCAATATTCGCTATTTGAAACAGGGGGTGTCAGACTGGGGACAATTGATTGGCGGTCATCTACATATTATTTAGTTGTCGTACGATTACTTAAGTATAACGAGTTGACACATATTGAGTGTCATTTTTTTTTAAAGATCCATTTCCATATTTTGATGATTCAAGTTAACCGAATTGACACAACACCAAATAATGTATACAAAATACCGATAAGGCATTTTGTCTTTGTCAAATGATGGTGAGTGAGTGAGTATGGTTTTACGCCACTTTTAGCAATACTCCACCAATATCACGGCGGGGGACACCAGAACTGGGCTTCACACATTGTACCCATGTCGGGAATCGAACCCGGGTCTTCGGCGTGACGAGCAAACGCTTTAACCACTAGGCTACCCAAATGATGGTCCCCTGTCTCCCCTGTTTTTCATGGTAGTGGTAACAAACAAAGCGAGCTCGGTGAGGTAACCGTGACTAGTTCTCCTTGTTGCCAAGCTGAACAATAGCCCTGAGTTACAGGACTGCTCACTGTTTGGACGTGTGCCTATATAGCTATCTATACGTCTGGGTCGACAGTATGCGACTAAGCAGTGTATAAGGCAACTGAGACTTGATACACCCCCCCCCCCCCCCCCCCCCCCCCCCCGGCTTGTGGCGATGATACAATCTTCACTCGTTTTGCTGTCAGTCGCTTCACATTTGTACATTCGAATGTTACAGAATGTTACTTTCTGAACTGCCATATATGGGAATGCTATTGATAAGGCAACTTCAACAGTGACAAAGTACAAGGACGTGCATGCGATGTTATTGTGTTCTACTTTGACGACAGTGGGCGGAGTTGTAGGCTACCTGCTGTGACTAAGCTGCACCCCGGGAAAACATATCTCAAGTCCCCCTCCACTAGTCAGGCGACACGGCCTCCGGGGTCAATCATTATTGCGTTTGTACTGATCACGCGATACGAACATTATAAGGTCACACAGGCCGATAAGAAACACATATTATATAAGAAATATAACTTTGCTATTTGACGTACGTGTTGTTGTTGCTGTACAAAGAGTTTCCTGAAATACTTGCGTCCATACAGTGGACATAAAAAGGAGCATCTGTGTCCAGGTTTTCACCTGTCCATGCAAGTGTACACTTACACATGGGTTTTTGGTTGTTAGGACTATTCAGTTTGGGCTGAAATTGTCACAGTGTTGTCAAAAAGTTCGCAGATTTAATTCATATGACATTATTAGACTTGAATTTTTCCATTTGTGTTCAGATAAGCGATTTCGGTGATAATACAAGTAGCGTGAACAGTACAAGACGAACGTACATTTCTGTAAAGTAGGATACGGAAAAAATATGTTTTCGGGATAACTGTGGATTGTAAGTTGAATTTGAAAACATGTCATCGCAAACATACAGAAATACACAGAACTGACCCTGATATGGGATGTGTCAAGATGAACCCTTCAGATAACATGTTTATCTGAGTCTTATGTTCATGGCTAAACATAGCATGTATTTCTTTTGTCGCTGATGTCAGTGGAGTCCCGCAGCTGCGTTAGCTGTACAGGAGATATGCACACCAGGCCTGTCCTTACATGCGCATGACTAGAAGGCGTATATCACAGGGGACACAAACGACTGTTTTTGGTGTAAACAAGTGACCAACTTGTTTGCAATGGACGACGGTGTATGAAGTCTGTGGATAAATATTAATGCCAAAGTTGGCTGATAGCCGTTCAGACGGAGGAAAATGATTCGTGCTGTCATTATCCTCGTTATTGTTTTTGCTACAGGTAAGTTTTTTACATATTGTAGTCAGGGGGACATGTGTCTGGTTAGCATCAGAGGCTGCACGTAAATCTATCTTATATACGTTTGGTAATAGTGTATGGACTATACAACGCTCAAGTTATGGTATATGTATTATACAACGCTCATGTAATGGTGTATGTACTATACAACGCTCAAGTTATGGTATATGTATTATACAACGTTCAAGTAATGGTATATGTACTAAACAACGCTCAAGTTATGGTATATGTATTATACAACGCTCAAGTAATGGTGTATGTACTATACAACGTTCAAGTAATGGTGTATGTACTATACAACGTTCAAGTAATGGTGTATGTACTATACAACGTTCAAGTAATGGTGTATGTACTATACAACGCTCAAGTAATGGTATATGTACTATTCAACGCTCAAGTAATGGTATATGTATTATACAACGCTCAAGTAATGGTGTACGTACTATACAACGTTAAAGTAATGGTATATGTACTATACAACGCTCAAGTAATGGTATATGTACTATACAACGCTCAAGTAATGGTATATGTACTATACAACGTTCAAGTAATGGTATATGTACTATACAACGCTCAAGTAATGGTATATGTACTATACAACGTTCAAGTAATGGTGTATGTACTATACAACGCTCAAGTAATGGTATATGTACTATACAACGCTCAAGTAATGGTATATGTACTATACAACGTTCAAGTAATGGTATATGTACTATACAACGCTCAAGTAATGGTATATGTACTATACAACGTTCAAGTAATGGTGTATGTACTATACAACGCTCAAGTAATGGTGTATGCACTATACAACGCTCAAGTAATGGTATATGCATTATACAACGCTCAAGTAATGGTATATGTATTATACAACGCTCAAGTAATGGTATATGTATTATACAACAGTCAATTACTGCTATATGTACTATACAACGCTCAAGTAATGGTATAGGATATATACAACGCTCAAGTTATGGTATATGTACTATACAACGCTCAAATAATGGTGTATGTACCATACAACGCTCAAGTAATGGTATATGTACCATACAACGCTCAAGTAATGGTATATGTACCATTCAACGCTCAAGTAATGGTTTATGTAAAATACAATTTGTGAACCCCATTTCTGGTGTCCTACGCCAGGATATAGCTAACAGCGACGTAATACCCCATTCATTCATTCATTCATTCATTTCTGATGCTAATGACAAATAGTTATCATTAGTTGTTTTTGCTTCAGAGGCAGAATCGAGGGATGGCTATCATAGAAAGTACTGCAAGTCTGGGTGTCGAAGTTTGCTGAACGGACCCCCCTGTCAACAATGCAAATATGGTTGCTATGGGGACAACTGTACACACCACTGCAGACGGTGTGACATTAGCGGGTGCGACAGAATGACAGGAATCTGCTATAGGTGCAAACCAGGCTACTATGGTGGAAGCTGCGATAACCACTGTCCCCGAGGATGCACGTCCAATGGGTATGAAGACTGTGACCGCGAGACAGGAGTTTGTTTACAAGGCTGCAGAGTTGGGTATCACGGCAGGAGATGTGACCGACAGTGTCCAAAACATTGTAAGCATTCAACCTGTCGAAAAGAAACAGGCAGTTGTTCATACGGCTGCAGAGAAGGTTGGAGGGGCACATCCTGCACCGACTCTACTCCCGATTGCCCCAACTGTGTACATGGACTATGTGGACTGGACGGGAAGTGCAGCACGAGGTGTATACCAGGCTTGTATGGGCAATATTGTGACTGGAAATGCTTAAACTGTCACACAACTGGATGTGACAAGAATTCGGGCAGATGTAACGCATGTTCTCCGGGGTTCTACGGGAGTCGGTGTAATCTGCGGTGTAATAGAAACTGTTACACAGGGCTGGACCACGTCCGTCGTTGTCACCGGGGAACGGGTCAATGCCTGGAGGGGTGTAGGGAAGGGTGGCATGGGGGCTTCTGTAACAAACGCTGCAGCAGCAACTGTAAAGACTCCAGATGCTTCAGTGATGATGGTTCCTGCGTTGATGGCTGTGAAGAAGGTTGGAGCGGAATACACTGTGATCAGGAAACAAATTGTCTTCGAGGCATGCGTGATAGAGACGGAGAATGCCTCCTAGGTTGTTTACAGGGTTGGACAGGACGAACATGCCACATCAAGTGTCCTTTCTATTGCGAGACTTGTGATGCAGAGACGGGGCAATGCCTCCAGTGTTCACCAGGATATTTTGGTGCCGCATGTGCCTATGAATGCAGCCTATCCTGTACCAACCTGACATGTGATATGGATGGCGCCTGCACACATGGGTGTATAGACGGGATGTCCGGTACCCGGTGCCAGACTACATGTCGGTGGCCGTGTTCTTCCTGTACCCAGAGTGGGAAATGCACAGCATGCCTCCCAGGGTACAGGTTGATGGGAAGACAATGCATAGACACTGTTCATCAGACCATGTCATCACCGGGGGCTGCTTCATCAGCTCTGTCACATAGTCCAGGTAGATATCGACGTACTTCATACATATAAAATGCAAATGGGAATGATTGGTCGTGTCGTCATCAAGAACATCCCATTTCTACGTCAACAAAAAAGGCCCGTGAATTAAGGAATGGCAAATCATCATAGGGTACACAATGATATCATAATTCAAATCAAACATACTCATCTATAGGGTATTTGTTATATTCTTATTTCACTGCTATTTTACGAATGCACCATGTCCTTGTTTACAACACTAATATAACGTTTTTGTTACAGGCAATATTTTACAAGTAGATGCGATGGTATTGTTTTCTGGTGTCCTGGCATCACTCTACAACCCACAGTAGATCACCACAGCTGCACTTAAAGCAGGTGTGGCGAGTGGTTTCTTCATGTGTGTATCTACAAGAGTCCCAGGAGAGACTGTCGCAGCTCGAACCTACTGTTTTTGTGTCGGTAGTTGAGAACAGTTCATGTAACAGACGAATGTTCATGTTAAAACTTGTATATCAATAAAGTTCTAACTGTGTATATATCATGTTGTGTCATTAATGAAACAAAACATACAGGAAAGCGCTTAATCCAGACGGACAATTATCGTACTGATTTCTGTTATAACAAGAAAATATCTTAAACTAAAAATACCGTGAAGATCCTGGATTAGAATTGTTATTCAGTAATCCATGCTTGTCGTAAGAGGCGACTAGCAGGATCCGGTGGTCAGAATCGCTGACTTGGTTGATGCATGTCATCGTATCCCAGTTGCGAGGCTCGATGTTCATTGTCAGTCATTGAATAGTCTGGTCCATATTAGATTATTTACAAATCGCCGTCATATAGATGGAATATTGCTGAGGGCGGCGTTAAGCAACAAGCAAACAGACTTAATTGCATCCAAACTGATTACGTAATATTCTTCGGGGGATAGTTCTATTCATCCGAAAACACTACAACTGGCAATTGGAAAAAGGACTGAAAGTCACATGCACACAAAGTGCACACGTGTACAGTTAAGTTCAGACCTTTATCGTATCTTTGAAGTAGTAATGACTGAATCTGAAAAGCACGAAGGGAATGTACAAGGGAATATTTAATTCACGTCTCATTATTTCAAAAACGCAGTGCTTATAAAAACCTTCTTGAACTTTCATCGCGTGGACCGATGCTCACGATATCAATCACTGGATTGTCTGGTCCTGACTCGATTATTTACAGACCGCCGTCATATAGCTGGAATATTGCTGAGTGCGGCGTAAAACAACAAACAAACAAACAAACAAATTCAAACTGAAAACGTTCAATTTAAGAAATTGTAGGACACAAAAGATAAAAGTTGTTGTGGCAAACACAACATAACTGTAATCTGATTGGAAAACTAGTTATTTTTAGAAATTAATTCATGGATTAAATTAGGAATTATTAGATAGAACATACGCCACAGTATTCTAATTGCACTGTCAGTGTCAATGTTTGGTGATGCATGTTAGCGGTCAGTGTGAGGGTTTTTGTGCGATGCTGGTGCATGTACAGGGTAGGGAAAGACGAGGTTCCGACGTTACATGTCATACAAGAAATGAATGCTCAATAAAATATAAATAATCCCACTATCTACATGTCACTCATGTATACATGCTACTGCATGTTTCACACTTTGCAACGGGCCAGACGTTGAATCAGATCTTTATACTGACCTGTGACAAGCGCCAATGTATTTACCCACCAAAGCCAGGTCATAACTATTTAGAGGTGTATGTGCGACATATTTATTGCACAATCACGAACAGTCGTATGGAGGTCAAACACGACACTCTCTAGTCACTAACAAATTGGAAAAAAAAAATTTAAAAAGGTGAGGTGAAAAATGATTTAGCATCGCTATCAAGTTGATATAGCGTGTGTTTTTTGTGCGTGTGTTTTGGGTTTGTTATGTGTGCGTGCGTGCGTGCGTGCGTGCGTGCGTGCGTGCGTGCGTGCGTGCGTGCCATTTACACCCCACTCAGACAGAGTATACTGACTCCGTGCCGACCAGGCCTTGTTTCATCCTCTTTATCCCGTGCGTCAGGCCGGGTAACAAGTACCATATTTGAACAACTTTTTGTATGCCGCGGCCGGGGATCGAACCGCCGACCTTCTGGTCCCAGGGCGGACGTATTATCCTACATGACCACGGAGGCGGTTTATATTACCGATAACGAATGAACCGTACCGGTGATATTGATATCCATACATGTGTATAACATCGTGTTATTTGGTACCAGATTAAACATGTCATTGTCGGAATCAACGAAACGCAGTAGCGATCCGTATTCTCATTTCGTCCATTGGTAGAAGGTACAAGGAGTGGGCACACACGCAATACTGAGTTCACAATACCTTGACCTTTGTCGTTTTGCCTGTAATGTCTTTATACTGGACAGGTGTCCACTATGTTCTTGTTTGCACTGTGTCTCTACTCAACACCTGTTCAGATGTACTGTTTTAACTTATCGTATAACCATTATGATTATGTTATTCGTTCAAATAAACAAAACATTAGCATTTGCATTAAAATATAGTTGACCATCTTTTTACAAGGTTTGGAAGTGATTGCAGCATGGTCAATAATTAAAACTAGTATTTACGGACGTTACTATGCTTCATTTGAACGTGACATGTTTTAACTATGCAGGCCGACGCTGAGCTATACACACGATATTAATCCGCCTGTTTGTTTTATTGACAAATGACAATAATAAATATCAGATTTTATTATTCAATCTCACCATTTACTTGTATTCACAGTGAGCCTCTAAGTAGAAATATAACATCATTCGACAGTCGTGCATGGATGGATGTTCTAATAGATACAACCGTTTACACTTTATTAATTTCTATTTTAATTTTTAATTCTTCACTCTCCTTTGAAATGATATTAAAACTAGATTTTGAAATGACATAAATTAAAAAAAGTTTCTTGGCAAATGTCCCAGCATAAAGTCATTTCGAAAAGAACAATTCAATCCTTACGACCAGATTCGCGATAGCAAGCAGGTAGTACAGTAACTAGTAATCCCCTTATGATCCAGACAAACAACTACACAATATACAGTTGCCGGGGTGAGGTAATACCTCCGTGGTGGTAGTGCATGTTATGCCTGATACCTGCATGCTAAAGAGGGACGCGGGTGGCCAACTGCTCGAATACTGCGCAGAGGTTCGTTCCTAGACATGCCGGGACACAGTGCTAGAGGGTGCTAGGCCCAGGCCCAGATCCAACCAGAATACGACCTCCGACCGTCACTTCCTGATCCATCGTCGATGTTTTCAATTTTAGGAAAATGACAACGCTTACTTTTCGCCATCATCCCGAAGCACAAGTGCCCGCCAGTCTTGGGAAGATGACATTACGCTGACATACCGCAGTCAAATGCGCTTCAAAACGGCGTTAAATCTAACTCACTCATTTTGATCATTACTACAGTTGGATTTGAAATAGTTAAGTTAAGATTCATTATGTAAACATTTACATTAACTTGTACTCAGGTGAGTTAAATATAATGCCCTTTAGGTCAATGTAACTGTATACAGACACATGGAAAAACAGAAACAAACTGCTCGTGTATTCACAAGGAAATATTTGTGCATGTGTGCTGAGTTATACCAGGGCTTGCAGTCGGGGGTTTATTGAACAATATGTAGGTCAAACGTGACTTGCTTGCTAACATTGCTGATAAGAAAGTACACCCATGCACCCGACGCAAGAACACCTTGACATTAGCGGATGAGCACACATACACTAAGGACTTGTACAGTTTCCCCAAACTGGTGTGTCTGCAACTATAGCTCTTCAGGATGTTTCTGGTTTGTAGTCGTTTAATTTAATTTTTTAAATAAAAATAAAAATCTTACTAACTTTCCAATGAAAATGACGGCAGTTGGTGTTCATCCTATTATAAAGGGCAATCATATCTCGCTCCCTCGCCAAATTCACACTCTAGATACAGGGTCATACAGGGAAATCACCCACCGTCTTAACAGTTTAGCATAAAAGCATAGTATTTAATTTTCTAAAATATTTTAACCACCAATGAATAGAATGCTATCTATAAAAACAAATTCAAGCTTTGCATACGTGAGAGTGCTATTTACATAAGCTGTTTATATATATGTTCATATGTACGCATTAACTACCTTCATTCCTTCATTTCCTGAAAGGTGACAATCGAGGTGTTGGACATGGCGACATGAATATAACCTTCATTTTAAGTTCAGTTTTATAGTGTCCTCGTCATGGAAGCAAATGACATCATTCATTGTTTGATGGCGTTATTACACTTATAACGCTCCGTTAACTTGATGATATGACGAGACCGAACCAAGCTTACATTGACAGTGGCGTTGTAACTGGTTTACGACTGTTTGAGTGCAAATAGAACGAGACCTAGAGGGCTGCAGAAAATCGGCATTATCTAAGCAGCATGTGTTTTAGAATTGTTGCTGTAACTAGGTATACGAAGCCAGAACATGTCATTAGGAACGGACGATTAAAGTGTATTTACGGTAATCTTCTGTTAATCGACATTTCCATCTCATAACGTCGTACTCAATGTATTTATAATGGTCATCTCACAAACAGCATTAAAAATGTAAAATATACCACGATATCATGTCTCCCAGTCATATTGACATCTGTGTAGTACCGTACCCACAACATGAGTCTCTCAGCTGGTTCGGACATCCGGTCACAAGGAAACTGTAGTTATTAAAATAAATACAATGTGTAAATAGCTACACTAGGAAGTGCGTAGTGTTAGTCCTTTCGTTGCACTTGCTAGCTGCTGGTGGAATCACGACGTTCTCTACACATGACGCGTTCACCACTAGGAGTTCAGCCTGATAACATGTAAAGACAGATTGGCTGTGCAGAGTTGCGCCCCTTGGGCACGCTAGAAACCCATGATCGTGGGTTCGAATCACTGTTGGTCCCGATTATGTATCCAAGTGTGTTAACACCATACCCTTGCTCGGGGGTTTCACCAAAGTGGTAAACGTCGGGGCGGGGGTGGGGGGTGGGGGCTGTCAAAAAAGAGACCCGAGATACATCAGGTTAAAATGTATGTATGTATGTATGTATGTATGTATGTATGTATGTATGTATGTATGTATGTATGTATGTATGCTTGAATTCTGTTTTACAAGCACCTCAGCATTGAATTTCAAGTAAGTTTCGCAAAAAACGCAAATTATAAAGTTGAAGACGCGAAAGCGATGTCCCCTCTCGGCAATCACTGGTTCACATACATTCACCTATATAAGTGCAATGCTGATATTTTATCACATTCATCAAGATCAAACATTTTCAACTGCACGAATTGATAAATGATATTACAAGTGTACCTGAATAGTGCTTATTCCTATTTTTCATTTCGGTGATTTCAATGGAATAGAAACAAACAGCTTCCAATATTATTAAATCAATGAATATCCCAGAAAGTGTAGATCTGGTTTTAAACAAGAGCAAATGTTTACATTTCAATGTTCAGTTTCACATTTCTCCTGATCTGGGACATCTCCCGACTGATAAGTGGTCATCCATTACACCAGCCATGCTCCTTTTATGTAAATCGTCACAGTCCGTTTTGCTTTGTGTATCTGTGTTCCTCTGTGGAGAAACAAGAACCTTCATTTCTATGTGAGTCAAGGAAACGGGGCTGCCCTCGGAGGGTTGTCCTGGGAAATCAGGATCATTAACATGGTCCCTTTGATTATCTGTGCTCGACGTGTCTCCGTGTGCTTCCTTCACCTCGCAGTAGTCGTGTGGAGCAGTATGGGTAGATGAAATGTCACCTTTTCCACATCGAGAGGGTGGTAGCGGAGGAAGTTTTCTTCGAAACCGTTTTCTCCGTTCTTCCTTTCCACCGTCTGTAGGAAGGGATGCTCTTGCTCTACAGTGTCTTGTGTGAAATGAATAGCAATATTATAATGATATTTGGACATTTACCCTTGTAGGGTGTTACAAAATACAAAAGATTTATTATTTTTCCTTGTTATGCATTTACCACTAGTCTTTAATTCCTGTTTATTAAGCTCAATGTAATGAGGGAAGAGTTGTTTATAAAGAAGGGTAATATAGTGTGCAGCGCTAAAGTAACATAGAAAGTATTTATTACATGTACGTGTATGTGAAATGAAACAATGCATTGCTATTTTAATTTATTCTGTATATTAAACCAATAAGGTGTATTGCTATGATTGGCCAAAACGGCAATAGAGTTCATATTATAGTTTTGTTCCCTTCCGATATGCATATTAACATGTCCATTATGTAAATAATTTTAAACTGTTCTCATAGACGTTAACTTAACCAGTTGTGTTAAGTAACGACAGTAGTGCATGAACACCTTACGTGTAAGTGCGCGTGACTTCATAAGACACGTACCGGTATACAAGCAGAGAGATGACAACAATACACATCCCAGCAAACACAACCAAAGATATTATGATAATGACCAGCGTCCTCAAGTTGACGGCACCACCCTGACCAGTGTCTGAAACAGTGAACGATGAGGTCAACACGAAGCAGTATTACCTCATCTCCAAATGTACAGCACTTATGAGTGGGAATTTAGACAGATTCTATAAATATTGGTCATCATGCCATACACTTTTTTGTACCATGGAAGTCACTTTTTCCTGTTTTGTAAAAACAATATGAATGCAACAAATAAAACAATTATTAATGATGAGGTCATTTAGCAAAGCCTGAACTCAAGTGACTGACTCAGTGTACATTGATTCAGGTCCCTATGTTGAAGGTGGGCTCGACATAAACAAATGGACAATGTGCTTTCGAAATCTAATCTTATGTCTGATCCATGTTATATGCCACATAGATGATTGATGAAAGACTCCGGCTCGTGCAATGAAATTGGTTCAGTACTCATTTCCGTAACAGCAACCTCACTGAGTATTTAAGATAGTACGCAGGTAAAAACACAGTTGTGTATGATATAAGGAAGCAAAATGTAAACGACCATATTGGAATACGAAACATTTTATGCTCATTGATATCTGATTGCTTTAATCATGGAAACGCTAAGTACTGTGACATATGCATGCACAAATAATGGAGAAAATAATATACAAATTCTAACCTAATGGTATTCATAGACAATTGTATCAGCTTGTTAAAAGGGTTGGTGTCAGTGGGTCTTTCCTTTGGCATCGTCAGTTGTCTTTGGATGTCTACATATATCTCCATTATATCTCTCGCAATGTTGGCAGTTGCGAGAACATTCCAGTGTACATGGCGTTCCATGACGACCCGCAACACAACCAAGTGTACAGCATATATGCATGTACATCACACTGCAGACACATTCATCAGCAAACATATATGCATGTATATCACACTGCAGACACATTCATCAGCAATCATATATACCTGTACATCACACTGCAGACATATTCATCAGCAATCATATATACCTGTACATCACACTGCAGACACATTCATCAGCAATCATATATACCTGTACATCACACTGCAGACACATTCATCAGCAATCATATATACCTGTATATCACACTGCAGACACATTCATCAGCGATCATATATACATGTATATCACACTGCAGACACATTCATCAGCAATCATATATACCTGTATATCACACTGCAGACACATTCATCAGCAATCATTTATACCTGTACATCACACTGCAGACACATTCATCAGCAGCATATATACATGTACATCACACTGCAGACACATTCATCAGCAATCATATATACATGTATATCACACTGCAGACACATTCATCAGCAATCATACAATGGTGTGGACGGCACAAGGAATGGGGATTTTTTAGGCTTTTAAACAATTCCTCGTATGACCACGACGGGTGTTGATGACGGCCATTGGGATCTGGGTCCAAATACAGTACGTAGAAAAGCTGCAATAAGATCTTCCGCAGTTATCTGCCTTGGACTAGATCAAGTGTTAAATAGGGTTCAAATCCGGACGGTGGATCGGGCCAAGACATGGTGATTGCATGCGACAGTCTTCGATTTCCTTGCGATAACCTACGATAATTTAGGACTAAGATCGGTTCGAAAATCTGGGTCGTATGACACTCATAATCTGACATCCTTCTGCTGATTTGTCTTACGTATTAAAACTCCTTTCTGTTGCACGCATCAATGAATCGGCAAACATATTGTTTGTTTGTTTGTTTATTTGTTGTTTAACGCCGCACTCAACAATATTCCAGCTATATGACGGCGGTCTGTAAATTATCGAGTCTGGTCCAGACAATCCAGTGATTGACATCATGAGCATCGATCCACGCAATTGGGATCGATGACATGCATCAACCAAGTCAGCGCGCGAGCCTGACCACCCGACCCTGTTAGTCGCCTTTTACGTCAAACATGGGTCGCTGAAGGCCTATTCTTAACCCGAGTCTTCACGGGTCGGCAAACATGTTTACTTTGAGGGATATATATTTTAAATAAACAACAACATTAAATTAGCGAGTGGGTTCAGTTTAACGTCGCTACTAGCAACAGAGGTATCATGGTTGTGTGTGTCGATAGGGGTGTAAAGGAGGAACGGATGGGGGTGAGGTGAGGTGAAATGGGGTTTAACGTCGCGTCCAAGATTATTGCACTTATATAGCTACGTGTATGCACGTCTGTGTGTGTGTTTGTGTGTGTGGCTGTTTGTACTAGTCCGGACTGATGCCAATTTATAGTGCTAGCTCACTGAGATACCATGCCGCGGTTTAACATGAATACCAAACTCAGACACAGTATACTGATTCCGAGCCGACCAGTCCTTGTTTTAGCCCCTTAATGCCGAGCGCCAGACAGGGTAACATCAAGTACCATCTTTTGGTATGAGGGGCGGTCGGGTAGCCTAGTGGTTAAAGCGTTCGCTCGTCACGCCGAAGACCCGGGTTCGATTCCCGACATGGGTACAATGTGTGAAGCCCATTTCTGGTGTCCCCCCGCCGTGATATTGCTGGAATATTGCTAAAAGCGGCGTAAAACCATACTCACTCACTCGCTTGGTATGACGCGGCCGGGGATCGAACCCCGGACCTTCCGCTGTCCAGGCGGCCGCCCTACCACTGGACCACGGAGGCGGTCAGGAATGGATGGGTCAATAGTGTAACATCAAATAAGTAAATAATCAATTGTGTTTGTGTTGTACCGTTAAAATGTATTTCATAACAATTTAAAAAAACCAAGACACTGCCATGAAATGAGTCGTATGCTTGCTCTAAGGATCACAATAGAGTACCTACCCATTTTTGGTGGTGTTATTATTTTGTAGCTTTATAGCCCAACAAGGCTACCATACATTGGTTTCACAGAGTTGTATCCGGGCTCTTGGCTCATGCAGCTCGTGATTCTTAGTGATTGCAGGTCACATGACCTGTCCATTGCACAGCGCCACATGTGCTATACTGAACACCGGTGCATCCGTTCGTCATGACGCAAAGTTATCATCACACACTCCTAGAACAGGTAGTTATCTCAGAATATGCATGACCATTGTCTTGACATGTTAAAACAGGCCAAAGATTAATCTCAGCAATAATTGATCCCATCATAACAGCAAAACGGAGTTCCGTACAGACATGCCGACTGAAATGTAGGCGGCACAGGTGGCCATGTCGTCTAAGGCGCCGCAATTAGCTGTGCAGGGTTGCGTCCCCTGGGCACGCCATAAACCTATGATTGTGGGTTCAAGTCCCGGTTTGCCTCGATTTTGTGTCTGTCTGTCAGCACCATACACGTGCTCGTGGGTTCCCCAAAATGGTAAACATCTCAGAACTGCATCACTTCGGGCTTTCCTCCCACATCAAACTCACACGCCGTGATATAACTGGAATCCTGTTCAAAGCGGCGTTTAACCCAACCCACTCACTTATCTACCAACGGCTGGTCGGTAGAGGCGATTAATGTGGATCGAGTTCTCACACATAGTGGCCTGGCATGGTTCGTTGCTCGTGGTTTCAGTCACTGTTTTTCCTGGTCCAAATTCTATTATTTACAAGCCACCATGATATAAGCGGCATATGGCCATGACTATGCCTGTTGTACGTTGCTGAGCTGATCTGCAATCAGCGAGCACAACGGTCCTATCAAATCAATCAATCAATGTTTATTGGATCCATGAAGATCCGGGGTAGAATAGGTCTTTAGCAACCCATGCTTGCTGTAAAAGGCGACTATGCTTGCCGTAAAAGGCGACCATGCTTGTCGTAAGAGGCGATTAACGGGATCGGGTGGTCAGACTCGATGGCTCGGTTGATGCATGTCATCGCATCCCAATTGCGTAGAACGATGCTCATGTCAATCACTGAATTGACTGGTCCAGGCTCGATTATTTATAGCAGGAATAGTGCTGAGTGCGGCGTAAAACAACAAATCTCATACCATTTCTTACATTGGAAAAGGTAAAACCTCGCACGCGGGATGAGGTCTTCCTTGGAAAAAGTAAAACCTCCCAATAGGTTATTACGCGATAGAAAGATATCTACAATTCCATAGGCAAAAGTAGTCGTAGGTTTATAAGGGCGGTGTATCAAAACGCCCATCTTTAACTCATGCGGATTCAGGGGCAGACTAGGTCCCCTGTCCCACATGCACCACAGAGGACCGGGTGGACACAATGGCTACTGACAGCAGTGCGGGAGACTCTCAGCTGTGACAGGACTTGTCTATTCCAGACGCTATATGGTTTGCTGGACGTTGTAATTAATGCAGTGGCGGCATACACCTTCACGTTCTTGTCTCTAGGGAGAGAAGAAGACTGAAGAACGGGGGTCGTGGGGAGGCAGGTTCGAGTTCCTGCTGTCCTGTGTGGGCTACGCTGTTGGTCTAGGAAACGTCTGGAGGTTCCCTTACCTCTGCTACAGGAATGGAGGAGGTCAGTGTTAAACATCTTTGCGTTGATGGTTTGTTCAATGAAACCCAGAAGCGCTATATGTGTTAATATTAAATTAAGATAAGACCCGTTAACTAGGCTAGCCTCTGACAAGCTGGCAGTCCCAGCAAGTTGGATTCAAGTCGTTCAAACAACCCTTTGTTTGTATTTAAATTTCAGATGTACATTATTCGTGTGGGATAAAACATGTCAGAGGGTATTTACCCGGCTCCAAGGGATAAAACCGAGCGGCGTAAGCCCCGAGGTTAAATCTCATAAAAAAAAAACGATGGTAAATGTTTTATCTAAATCATAAACCGAAAAATGAAACTTTAAACATTTATCAACATGTTTGTTTCAAACATGCTTTCCATGAAGCTTAGGAAACGGCCTTAAAATATTTGTTACTGGCGTACAGGTACTTGAACGCATTATGATTTATCAGATCAGCGCCTATGGCTACAGACACAAAGTAGCATGTTCGGTCCGCGGGGATATAAAGAAACCGTTTGTCATTTGATCTTACATTTCATAACATTAAGTTCAAATAGAAAATAAATTTCTAGCAAGATGCATTTATATGTTACAATATAAACGTAAGTTGAATTAATAAAATTCCTGGGATATTATGTATAGTCCTAGGATATTATTACATCCCTGTTTGAGATTTAACCCGATTGGAGAAGAATAGGATGACGTCACTGGAGGTCAATGACTGCCTGTTCATCATGAAACAGCTTATAATATTATTTTGAAGCACGTTTTGTTTACAGCTACGTTCCTCATCCCGTACGTCATCATGTTGGTGGTTGCTGGTCTGCCGTTATTCTTCCTGGAGCTGGCGGTGGGTCAGTTCGCCTCCGAGGGGCCGATCACAGTGTGGAAGGTCAGCCCAGCATTCCATGGTAAGTTGTTTGTTTTGTTGTTTAACGCCACACTCAGCAATATTACTGCTCTACGACGGCGGTCTGTAAATAATCGAGTCTGGCCCAGACAATTCAGTGATTAATACGGGATACGTACGATGACATGCATCAACCAAGTCACCCAATCCCGTTAGTCGCCTCTGATACAATGTCCAACGCGGTCATTGATAGTTGTTGGACATCCCTGTAAGGTTGTATAATCAACACTTAGCAATATATCAACACAGATTGCCATCAGAAATTACATTGACCACATTTGCTGTATTCTACATAACGACTAACAGTGGACATAATCAAACATATCCTTGTCTTGTAAATGTCCCTTTCGGATACACAAACATATTCCAGGTATCGGGTTTGCAATGGTGACCATCAGCGGCATGGTGTCCATCTACTACAACGTCATCATCATGTACGCCATCTACTACATGTTTGTCAGCTTCGTCAGCCTGGATACGACGGTACCGTGGGCGTCGTGTGGCAATCCCTGGAACACCGACTCATGTAGGTCGGAGCCCTACCCAACACTCAATACCATGGATGAAACAGCAAAAATGGAAATACTTTACAGTAAGTACACAACAATATTGTCCTGGAATCTCGAAATCATATCAGATTGCATATGTTTCAAGTTTAATTTTTTAAGTTCTTGATCTCATTAGACCGCCTCTGTGGTCTAGTGGTAGAGCGTCCGCCCGGAGAGCGGAAGGTCCGGGTTTCGAACCCCGGCCGCGTCATATCAAAAGACGTTAAACAATAGTACTTGTTGTTACCCTGTCTGGCGCTCGGCATTAAGGGGCTAAAACAAGGACTGGTCGGCTAGGAGTGAGTATGTTGTGTCTGAGTGGGGTATTCATGTTAAACTGCGGCATGGTATCTCAGTGAGCTAGCACTATAAATCGGCATTAGTCCGGACTAGTACAAGCAGCCACACACACGTGCATGCACGTCGCTGTATAAGTGCAATAATCTCACCTCACCTCACCTTGATCTCATTAATTAAAGAGCATCTGACTTCAGACATGATCGAACATCTTATGATAAGTTTCCACGGTTTAGCCTCTTTGACCAGATGTAGACATTCTGAAAGCTATTCCTGTGCTTGTCCTTTCAGCCCAACTGTATAACGTGACGTGTGTTGGCGATCTCCTTGGGAACTTCTCCAACACGTACAACAGCACGTTCACTGACCCCGCCCAGCTGAACTCATCAATGGTTCTCAGTGACGTCAACAAGGCCTGCAGGATCAGATATGTTGCCCCCAGTGCAGAATACTGGGAGTGAGTGGTTTTGTCAGTGACACCAACACGGGATGCAGCATCAGATATGTTGCCCCCAGTACCGATTACTAGGAATGAGTGGTTTTGAAAAATGATTGGAGGGTCATGATAACAATATTCCCCTTGTGTCCGTAGTTGTCGTCAGCGCCTTTGAGGTCACATTGTCTGCTGATTGAATTTTGTAAATGACCTGCTGTGACCTCGCTTGGTGACGGGTGCTTGTGACGGGTGCTTGTGACGTGTGCCTCCTGTGACATCTTCACTATTTAATTGTGATTCATAAACACATGCTAATGATATAGTCGGAAACGTTCAATGGACTCTGCTTTCAGTAGAAATGTCTTATGAATATGGAAGTGATCGTCAACCGAAAACTCTTAGCTTGATGAATACCGCATAAAATACCATTAATGGTTCTATATCTGTATTTATAGACGCGCTGTCCTGCGTCTTCACGAAGCCGATGGGTTTGAAGACATGGGAAGCATCAGTCTGAAGAACGTCGCCTGTCTACTGATTGCCTGGACCATTATCTTCCTGTGCATCATGAAGGGAGTTAAGTCTTCTGGCAAGGTTTGAGTTTTGCCGATTCTGTAACGTTCTAAGGGAGCGACCATTTGATAATCTGGGGGGAGGGGAGCTAGGATTTCATCCAAAAATTTAAATTGGACCCCTCAAAAAGTCTTGAAAATAAAGATTAATCTTCAGACTATTGAAAATAGGATAAATTGCCGGCCACAGAATTGACATTGTTGCAGGGTGTTTTTCTTTCTTTTAAAACATCAGGCTCATACTTGGAAGTAAAAAAGATATCTGTACCTGTAGCCGATATAATATCTAATCTCGATACAAAATTCCAGATCGCCCTTTCCCCCCCCCCCCCCCTTGCCTTCTGTTGAATTGGATTTTAGTGGCAGACTCTGTGACTTTACATTTGTGGAAATGTTTTGCGTCAAAGTAGTACAATTTGAATCTGACCTTTTATCCCCCAGGTCGTTTACTTCACTGCCACGTTCCCCTACATCATCCTGGTGGTCCTGCTGGTCCGGGGCCTGACTCTAGAGGGATGCGAGAAGGGCATTACATTCTACATGACCCCACAGATCCACAGGTTGACAGAGGCCAAGGTGACGGACAGGAATAACTGGTCAATCCTAATTTGTAGTCGTGATTTTTATTTGAAAAAAAAATTGATCATAATTTGTATTTATGGGTTCTCTGTCATTAAAACACCTGACATGATATATGACCCCTAAAGATCCGGGGTAGAACAGGTCTTCAGCAACCCATGCAACAAACAACTTACCATGGAACGCTGGAGTGGAAACAAAACACACAAAAAAAGAGTACCGTTGCAAATTATGTGGACTTGTATGATATGATGTGAATGTTTGTCGGACAGGTATGGGGAGATGCTGCCACGCAGATCTTCTACTCCCTGGGAGCTGGGTTCGGTGGATTGTTGACCATGTCCAGTTTCAACAAGTTTAGGAACAACTGTGAACGGTGAGGCGACAAGGGGATCAGCAATCATCTTCATCTTAAATCAGAACGTGGCATCACCACATACTGCCTTAAACGTTTTGTACACATTCAGTACTATCCATCACATGAACAATGACATTAACCGAGTTTAATTACAAATATTTTATCTTTTTTTTACAAATATTGTGATTTTAGGGATGCTGTCATCGTCGCCATCATCAACTGTGTCACCAGTGTGTTCGCGGGCTTCGCCATCTTCTCCCTCCTTGGTTTCATGGCGCACACCACCAACCAGGACGTGGAGAGCGTGGTCGACCAAGGTGATATGTTTTCCTTATATAACGGGGGGCACGGGTGGCCTGGGTGGCCCGGGTGGCCCAGTCAATCGTCTAAGGCGCCGCTGTACAGAGTAGCGTCCCTTGGACACGCCAGAATCCTATGCTTGTGGGTTCGAATCCCGGTTCGCCCCGATTATGTTTCTAGGTTTGTCAGCACCATACCCGTGCTCGTGGGTTTCACCGAAGTGGAAAACGTCTAAGGCCTGCTTCCCTCTCACATTAAGCTGACACGCCGCGATATTACTGGAATGCTGTTAAAAGCGGCGTTAAACCAAACTCACTCACTCACTCACTCTTTATATAACGCAGAACTCGCTGCCCATGTGACCACACTAAACTTTTCCACTGATCACGGGTTTCTTCTGTCCCGCCAGCAGTTGTTCTTTGTTTCAGGACCCGGCCTTGCTTTCATTGCTTACCCAGAAGGCCTTGCAAAACTTCCGATGTCGTCGTTGTGGGCTTTCCTGTTCTTCTTTATGTTGCTGACCCTCGGCTTGGACAGTCAGGTGGACATGATTTAGGGTTTTTGCAATATTTAATGAAGGGATGATAGATCAATACTCTGGTTATTTACGTGACGCCGTCGTTTAGCTGGAATATTTGAGTGCGGCGTTAAACAACAAATTAAACTTATCTGAAGTTTAGAAATGTCTTATCAGCAGTAAATTGTGAAATAGAACAGTGACTGCCTCCAATGCACTAGAGTACTGTCGGAAATGCTAGTAAATGCTTTTCTGGTTTCTTTTAATAAATACGAGTCATTGGACTATAAATAGAGCATATATCAAAATAACGCAAATTGACCTAATCTAGCCTGTCCGAACTGACATTGTGATTACCCTTAAAATGTACTTTTACAGGTAAAATGATGATAAACTTAGCAAATGTTCGTGTGTTGTAATGCATGCATGAGACGGCCTGTAACCTGAGTTAATTACCTAACACTTGTCCTGAGGCGATGACCTCACACCGTCCCGTGCATTCTCATAGGTGTAAATGTCACCTGAGTTGGGGGTGGTCTCAAAATATTGCTGTTATTGTACTTAATTGACATGTGCGTTGATGGGGTAGCAATTTAGGGTAATATACTTCATTATATTTCCTTGGAAACATGATGGAATAGTTAAAGTTATGAAACGGTTGAGTATTGGAAGGTTGCTGCTTTGGAATCAAGAAGTATTTGTTGTTCTACAGATGGTTTCTTGAGGTAGCACTTATCTCCGCTGATGACGTATATGAATCTGTACGTTTGAATGTTGTGTTATGTCTTGCAAGAACCCTTTACACTTAGCCAAGAAAGGCACAACAGGGTTGAGCTCACAACATCTGACTGGCGTGCGTAAGACATCGTGACCGCACATATGTCCTGTACTTTGCAGGGTTCCTATTCAGCCTAATGTTCTCCATGGGTTGAACTTTCGTTTCAGATGGTCTGGAGTCGTATGTCATATATTCCTGTATGGTCGCCTTCAGACTACTCATGGTTGGTGCGACAGCATATGATTCCCGGACGTTATATTAATTGGCGTTATCTATGACAATGACACTGACGTTGTTTAAAATGGGCAATAGCTGATGTTCAAACCAGTCTATGAACACATCACCTCCTAAAATGTCCTTATGAAAATCACCAGTTTTCTTTTTCGCTTCGAAAACTAGAACACATCCAATAAGACTCATATCATGGGTTGCGGCGTGCAAAATAATGACACGATTACCTTTACCTGATGGTACCATGGGTGATTTTTGTCCATTAGTGTCCATCTACTACAACGTCATCATCTGCCGATAGCCACATGTAGTCATTGGAATGATTCATCAAGGTAATTTATCTGGACTGGGATAGTTATGAATTGTCCGGAGATAATGTGACCTCATCGACAGGATAGAATATTTTCCCCTGAAAACTGCTAATTCATCGCCACGCGAAGTGTATCGAAATCCCATCTCTTGGAGAGCAATAGTTTGTGCAGTCCGGGAAACATTATTTGTATTCCTCCCAAATTCTACTACAAGTCATGATCAGGGTTACCTTCTGCTCATAAAGCTTGTACACCTTACGCCTAATCACCCTGTATCAAAGCTGTCTAATATCTTTTTACGTCCCGGTTTTGTTTTTGAGACCACCCCTGTACCTGTTTTGTTTTATTTATCATACGGAAGACTTGATGGTTTGAATTGAAAACCCCATAGTTTGGGAAGTTCGGTAATTCACCAAACCTAAATAAATAAGTGTTTCCCCTATATCTCTCTAAAGTGTAAAGAACTTGTATACATTTCCAAGTAAGGTAACATGCATTATGGGAGCATTGTTGACAAAACAAACGCATTGTCCTTTTGTCATTTTAGAAGATGCACATCTAGAATTTTCTCCAAATGATTTTTGTGTGTGGATTAGATGTTTTATGAAGTCTACATTAGTATCATTATAACAGTCACGTGCGCATTTGTCTATAGTCCGTTTCAACTGCCATCATTGGAATAAATGTGAACTTCCTGTTTTCGTTCGAATTTGTCTCCTGTAAACTTATCGATAGGACTCCTTGTGACTGAAATACTTCAAACCGAAGGTAGGTCGATCGGTAGTTACTCGATATTTCAATAACAACAGTCTTTGAATTTTTTTTAACAGGCAAACAGCATTTGTCTAGCATTTCCGACAGTACTTTAGCTTCTATTTGTATGTACATTGTGTTTTCTTGTATACATACCATAGTTCGTCATGATGGAGACGTTGATCAGCGGCATCAGTGACATCTTCCCACGTTTCCTGAGAACACATAAAACTCCCTTCACCGCCTTCTGTTGTCTCATTGGTTTTCTGCTTGGATTGCCTCAAGTCACAAAGGTAAAGGTCACAGCAGCATTTATCAACATCGCCTGGGCTCACCCCAATTTCGCTCTTCCTTGTTTTTTAAGCATGGTCCAGTCGTTAAACCTATGATTGTGGGTTCCTATCCCGGTTTGCCCCGATTATGTTTCTAGGTTTGTCAGCACCATATCCTTGCTCGTGGGTTTCACCAAAGTGATAAACGTCTGAGACCTGCATAAGTGGGTACTTTCCTCCCACATCAAGCTGATAGGCTGTGATATAACTAGAATACTATTCAAAGTGATATTAAAGCCAACTCACTCACTCGGTCATTCTCAATCAAGACCGAAAGAAAAATCGGAAACAATAATTAACAAAAAAATTGTTTCAAACTTACAGAACCCGTAAAAAAAAAGAACGTAAAATATCTCTTGCTGGCATACATGTTTTTGAAAAGGCGATCCTTAAAAACATTGTGCTTTACCAGCGCAACTGTCGCTTTGTGGTTCACTCACTTGGGTGCAGATACAAACGTTGGAAGTTCAATCCACTCCAATATAAAGAAGACATGTCTTGTTTGACTTTACATTTCCTTATGCAGCTTGTTTAAATGCAAAATTTACCTCTAGCGAGTGATATTGGAACAGAAGAACTTTCTATAGAATATCCACCGGGACAGAAACATTTTCTATAAAATATCCACTAGACAGAGGAATTGTCTACAGAATATAGCTGGAATAATACGGAGTGCGGCGTCAAATAACTAACAACAAACTTATCAAAGTAACAATGCACAACGGATTCAAATATATATATATATATTGCTATATACACCACAGGTATGACAATGATGGCAATGTCTTCCACAGCTGCGGATGGGTAGGCACTCACATTTCGTAGTCAGGTAAAATATAGAATTAAAGTAATTCATTCACTTGCGCTAAGCTACTTATAAATAGCAGATAGGTGCTTGGGCAATGGACTTATTGTTTAGAACGTCACGTTAAAACAATGGTGTCTCCAGGGTGGTATCTACATGATGACACTGATGGATTGGTACTGTGGCAGCTACAACCTGATGCTGGTGGCTCTGGCGGAGATAATTTGTCTCATGTATGTCTATCGTAAGTACAGTATTCTTATTTTTTGGTAAAATCAAGTATATAATCATGCTGTGTTGACCTGCTGGTACATAAAGTTGCGCAGTCTCATTTGTTTAAAGCCGGCGCCACACATGCTAGGGGCGTAAATATGTGATGGTTAGAGATCGGATGTCTTTGCACTCAGGGCACACTCGTAACATCTACCCAGATGGCAGCCACGTGCACGATATTGTTACAGGTTACAATATAAATGGACCATGCCACACATGCATAATCATTTGGGTCACTATCGCCTCGTCATCGTAGCACCAGTCTGTGAGGTTAACCAGAAATGGGCATCAGTCTGTGCCAGTAAGGTGACTAATGTGTCTCGATTGTGTAGATGTGTTTGTAACTAGATGAAGGCAACAGAACCCTTTCCATAATCATAGGAAATATCTGCTTAACGCAGTCGATTGTACAATTCCTACTTTATCATAAGCATGTGTTTATGAATCACTATCAAATCGTGATGATACCAGATGTTCTCGAAAAGGTGAGCGTATCCTGTCCCGCCGGTGGCACCATCAAGAACACATGCAAAGTCAAGTCAATTGTTCACATGAAAACGAGAATAAATGGTCAAAATAGGGAATTACATCGGACATCATTTTTATCACAGATGCGTCAAATTTTGAAATATCCTCCACATGTCTACCATGAAACGTTTTGAAAGTTTTACTGAGGCCTTGAATGTTGTAACCCTGATAAAACAACTTCTGAGCCAGAGTCGTATGCCGCTCTTTGAAATCTTGGTAGAAAGAACATACTCGATAGTCTCAAAAGTAATGTAACCACCTGTACATCCAAAGAATATTTCCGCTATGAAGCGTTATGTTGGACAATCTGCTTTTCGTAGAGATTTCTTATGATTATGGAAATGCTTTTATCACTTTTTTATTTACATGAGTCTGCCAACATTTCAACAAATTAGCCCTGGATCTTGGTGATATAAAACCGTAACATTAACACTTTGTTGTTGAAGCTTTGGTCGGTTGGTTCTGGCCACAACAAGAAGGAAGAAAAACTCTGTTCCCGTTCATGGAGGACATCGAGATGATGATTGGCCACAAGCCCAACCCCTACTGGGTCATTAACTGGGTCTTCCTGGCCCCTGTCATCATCATTGTAAGCGTTGAAACTCTTGTGGACTCTTTTGTTTCCTTCATCAGCAATATCTATCCTGCAAAGTCGCCAACAGCTCACCCATTTGAACAATAAATAGTCTTCTACATAGTATTGTAAAGATGGAAAATGAAGCTTTCCATAATGCAAAGAATGCTACTTAAACTGTATTATGAGTCCAATACTTATAGTCCATACAGAATGTATACATGAATAAGTTAGTTTTATATCTGCTGCTAATGTACTAAGTACTCTTAACAAACGCAAGCCTCGAATATCTCATATTTTCTATGTTCCTACTCTTCAAATACCAATTTTACAGCCTTTAGAAAAGTAATTGTTGTCTAAAATGTGTTTTAGTTCATCGTGATCGTGTCAGCCACTCAGTATGCCCCCGCTAACTATGGAGACTACAAGTTTCCACCATGGACGGAGGGGATTGGCTGGTGCATGGTTGTCGCCCCTGTTGCTATGATACTCCTCGTCATGGCTATACAAGTGTGCAGACTTGGTCCGGTGAGCTGGAGCGTCAGCTGGAGATAGGACTTTACAGTTCAATCATCTTACATATTACGAAATAGTACACTGTTAATCATATGGATATGTATTCGACCTTTTTAAATGGCACTTATGTCTTCAGCAAAAATATATAGGACTATTAACTAACACTAAAATGCAAATTATTTGAACACCATATCATAATATAAGGAGAAACATGCATGGCAAAGTTCAGCTTCCCCAGTCTGTCAATTTCATTTCAGAGAATTTAAGGCATGAACAAAACAAGGTAACATTTTAAAATATCGCACAAAAACGGAACCTATAATATTGAGACCCTCTACTACTAACTTCACATGTACCAGAAGTGGTCATGCACTAAATCGATTTGGGCAAAAGTCCAAAGACCAAACCAAGATCATTTTAAAATACCAAACATGTTGAACCCCACTACTAATTGCACATATGCCAAATATTATTAAATTATGAACTGATATGACTGAATACTGACTATATGTAGTTTCGGCTGTCAGTATGGTCAAAGTGCACATGTTATTGCAGGTCAGAACTTAAAATGCCGCAGACAATGAAACCTGATTTTGAGTCCTATAACTAACTTCGCATGTCTTAAATTTCATATTGTTACAAGAGTAAAGAGTATATATATAATAAAGAGTATTCGCACTACATTTAAAAACGATATATTTCCTCCAGTCTAATCAAACATCCCATTAGACACAATAATCAAATAACAGTATCAGTGATTACAATTAAAGTCTTACGTCTTGCTACAAATATTCTCTCATGTCCCAACAAGATCCATCGAATTTCCCACTGCATATAATCCTTTGTGATGCACAAAATTTGTTCTTCACATATTGCCGACATTGCATATGCAATCTAATTTTCAAACCACCGCCGATCTGGTACGTCCATTCACAACTAGCCCCTTCCAAGGTTCTATCGCTGTGCAGAGTTGCGTCCCTTGGACACGCCAGAAAACTATGATTGTGGGTTCGAATCCCGGTTCGACCCGATTATGTTTCTAGTTTTGTCAGCACCATACCCGTGCTCGTGGGTTTCACCGAAGTGGTAAACGTCTGAGATCTGCATCACTTCGGGCTTTCCTCCTACATTAAAGCCGTGATATAACTGGAATATTGCCGAGTGCGTCGGTAAACAAGAAACAAACCTGATTGTAAGGTATTTTAGTAATACTGACTGTGTAATCTATATCTATATAATAAATAAGGTGATGTGACCTGGGTCATTGTGTATTGTATCATATCAACGTGTTTCAAGCAGTAGTCTAACATATATTATTACGTCCAGGACAGACTGAAGACCACCTTGATATAACAAACCCTGACATTCGGTTTAACACTTGAAGAGCACAACCAATGTATTTATCAAACATGAAAGCGACACAATCCTGCCCATGGTAATAAGAATAAGCAAACAGTTGTACTTTTCGACTGAAAAGCCCGGTTCGCCCCGATTATGTTTCTAGGTTTGTCAGCACCATACCCGTTGGTTTCACCGAAGTGGTAAACGTCTGAGACCTGCATCACTTCGTGCTTTCCTCCCACATTAAGCTGACACGCCGTGATATAATTGGAATACTGTTAAAAGCGGCGATAAATCCAACTCTCACTCGACAGAATAGCATGGCATGTGTTTTATGAATCACTATGAAACGGTGATGACATCCGGTGTTCGCGAAAGAGTAGCGTATCCTGCCCCACCGGTGGCAAAGTCAAATCAATTCATTTCCGAGGTAGTTCATCCTGTCCATTATCGATTGATTAACTCATACACTCGGAGAATACATCCAATCTTATTGTAACTATGTTCTGCCATTCAGCTCAAGGCGTTCAGCCCTACAGACAGTTGGGGACCCGCTAACCCCGAGGATCAGACAGGTAAATATGCCAGTCTCAGGAATGAGCCAATAATGGTGTGCAGCATGAGTGACATCAAGCTTGACAGCCCTCCTTACATCGGCGGGATAGACTCTCCTCCCGCCTCCGAAAGGGTATACGGAGACGCCTCACCCTACATCGGCGGGGTAGCCACTCCATTGCGTCACGTACCTTCACTTCGACAGGAACGAGTGTTTCAAGAAACCGTTGCCTGAAGTTAATGAGGACAAGAACCTTTCATGCATGGGCAGTAACCCGTCCATTCACATTCCATGACGGTGAGGAACAGAGCATGTGTCTTCATTACGACAATTAACGTGTATTTTCAGAACAAACTTTGTGATACCATTTATACTTTTACATTTAGACTGCATTATGGTTTTAAATGTCATCCATATTGTCCCGTACGAAGAGTCCACAAGAAACCTCTACCAAGCAGTTAACCATTTGTGTGATTAGTGCCTCTTTGATAGTGCTATGTTTGGTATTGAATTATCCTATATGTTTATTCAGTACATGACCAAAGCTACAGCATACTAAGAACTGCATTTAAACAATTATCTTATTTGAGAGCAAAACATTAGATGCATGTATAGGTGATGCACGTATCAAACTGTAAATGTCACTACACCCGTATCATGCCATCATAACATCTCAAGGGACATGCTTCAAATTTCGACTATAACAAAAACATGCAAATGCTGGATTTGTTCCAAAGGCTTTCAAATAATAAGTTCATCATTGTTTGAGTAAACTGTTGTGTGTACATTGTTTTAACTCTGTATATCCAAACTATATGTGTTGCGTGTTGTGAACAACGTTTTATACTATATGGTGCATACTAATAACCTTTTAGTTATTAAAGTGTTTTAATATATGTTCAGTGTCGTTATGTATAAAGAGTGCGTTGTTTTTGTCCAGTCGCTGAAAATGATAGAACTGAGATTCATCAAACATAGCGCGAACTCGTATTCCTCTTGCAGACCCGTGAAGATCCCATGCGTGTAATTAAGAGGCGACTAACGGGATTGGGTGGCCAGGCTCGTTGACGTGGTTGATGCATGTCATATCCCAATTTCGTTGATTGATACTCATGACTTCAATCAATCACAGGATTGTCTGGTCCAGACTCGATTATTCACAGACCGCCCCCATATGGATGGAATATTGCCGAGTACGGCGTTAAGAGACAAACACACAAATAATATACCTCTTGCACAAATGGGTTTTAGGGCGATATTGTAAATACAAACATGATATAAACATTTTGATAGCGTTCATTGACGGGTCTGTCAATAAGACAAAAAAAAATTTAATTAAAAAAACAAATTCTTATACCTATACCTATACCTATACCTATATACCGAACCAGGCATTTCCAGCAAAGTGCAATGTCCGATTCTGACTATATCATATATGCTTATATATGCTTATATGCTTATGAATCACTACACGATCACGTTGGTTCAAAGCATCAGTGCCCCGCCATATGCGATACCTCAGAAATGCATAATTATGTTACTGAGGTAAGGAATTGAATTTTAATGTGTGGCAAAGTAAGCAGGAGAAAATGTAGCTTGAATATACTGCCCGGAGGTTCTACATGACACAAGTGAAAGGCATGACGCTGCATAATGATATTTACCAGAAATGTGACAAGGCTGGTATGCAAAAAAAAATTGATTACTTTCTCAATACAGTTGCTCCATTTGCATGGGATAGCTGTATTTCTAAAAAAAACCAGTAAATCGTATGACATGGCAGCTGTTTCGCTCTCATTTTACATAATCCTATCAAAACTATGTACGATAAAATGTGGTTCCATTTACAAGTTATTTTTCCTAACGAAACAATCTTGGACAACATTTAATTTAGCACTTTTTGCTTTTCAAACCAGTCGTTGATATTGACTATGGGGTAGAAAATTCAATAATATACAACTCCGTTAAATTGTCAGAGGCGGGCCTAAAACCGCGCGAGTACAAGTCTTGCAAGTCTGCCTCTGAACTCGGTAACCAGGATCCCAGCTTTTAGTCAGAGATCTCGCGAGATCCGAGTTGTATGGGTGTGAATGCCGAATTGTACACATCAGTTTGTACAAGCAACTGCAACACACAGCCATGGCGTACTGGGTTAATTTAAATTATGGAAACAAACGATTTCAAATATTTTTAGTGAACATGAGCATCCAAGCAACAATCACAAGTGTGGAGTGTAGTATGAGGAAGTGAGCTATATTACGTGTAATCCTCAAGATGTTGTCATTGTTGATCGTTCATAAAATATAAGCAAATTAAAAAATATTTAATTTGATTACTGATGAAATATGCAATTAGTATCGATGACATGCATCTACCATGTTAGCGAGCCTGACCACCCGATCCCTTTAGTCGCATCTTACGACAAGCATAGTCGCCTTTTACGGCAAGCAAGACCTGCTGAAGACTTATTCTACCCCGGATCTTCACGTGTTCAATAGAAGGGAACTGGCTATGTGATTGTCATCAGTGATGAAGTCCAGCATTTCACACATTGAACTTCAGCTGACATTTGCTTCTATATTTGACACGTTGTCCTGAATCTTCGAAGATATAACTATATATATGGTCACCACGTTTTGTGACAAATACCCCATGGATCAAGGAATGCCGTGTGGGATAGGCGGATAGTAGTGTATAGGATGACATGTTGACATGCGGAATTGAACTTGGTATTGTCTGCATTGCAAAACATCAAGCTAATTCTTTGAGGTTTTGCTTATTGACATGCTATTTGACATGCCATTTGTCTCCAATACATTCTGTGAATATGACGAAAGTCCTTCCTTGAATATAAATTAAAGAGTATGGTTAATCCATATCTAGCTTATGCCTCCATCCAGCGCTTGACCATCATAATGAACTCACAGCCCAGTTCTGGAACATTTCAACATGGTCATGGCATATCAAAACGTTATTCATAAGTACAGCGTTCACATAGCCACGCACGCCTGTAACACACTCGGTAAACCAGACGTGAGTGCGCATTGGATTACGACAGCATGCTTTGTGCAGGTATAAAAAACATCCATCATCACCGAACACGGCAAGGTCTCATGACTGTTTCACTGAACCAGAGAGAGAAGCAACCGTGAGTGCAGTGGTTCCAGGTCTCTACGGTGAAGCTTTGACGAGGAAGGTGAGTCTACTCAACACTCTTTTAAACTCCAACTGAAATAATAACGGGTCCTTGTTCCTTGTCAATATCAGTGCGACCCCCTTTGTCCTGATTCTGTTTTACATATTCCAGGAATATATCTATCGTATATATAAAAAGATTTTTACTTCTGATAATGTTCATACGGGTTGATTTGTTTACGTATATATAGTGCGACAAAGTACCAACTGGGCAATACATCTTACACAGTAAACCGTTACACACCATTAGCTAACAAGCTTACTGAACGTCTATACTGAGGTGTGGGTGTGGGTGAGTGGGTGGGCTGTTTGTACTCATCGAAATGAAAAAAACCCTGTTTTGCTTGATTTAATAATCAACACAAAGAATTACGTAGATGTAAATACGAAATAACAAAACAACTGGAAAAGTACTAGTCTGGATTTGCTAGTTTTATCTCAGTGCTCAATACAAAATGTACTTTACAGGAGGTAATTTGTAGGCACTTTCAACACTCAAAAATAAAACTAAGTCCAAATTGACATGGCAGAAACAGGCTATAGGCATTATGCAAATTACCCGGAAAAAAAGTTATCAAAACAACAATAAAAATAACAGCTATGTTTATGTACATAATAATAATGACCTGTATGTTGTTTGAGAAGGGAATATGTTACTTTTACGTTCTGATATTTTGACGATGATTCACTATCCCACAATGCCACTCACAAATCACTAACCACTGACAAATCACATGCACGTGGGTTTCAAGCAACTGTCGTCAAGGTGTCATAGGTCATGGACATTAACCTTGATCTACTAACACCTGGTTATACTCAGTTTCACAATAGTCTGTTTTGTTCATATTTTGACACACTTTTACGTGTAAAAAGACATAAAAACCTTTGATAACAAAGCCCAATTAGTACTAATTGAGTTGTTTGAATATTTATATATTTTGTATATTAACTGCATTTATTTAAAATCTGAGATCGAAAAAACAGGGTTTTTTTTCATTTCCGTGAGTACTTTAGTTCTTTACTAATGACAGATCTTTTATTGCTTGCCAAATGAGATACAATGCTGCAGTTTAACATGAACAACTAACTCACAACACAGTATACAGACTCCTTGGTTTCTTCCCTTAATGCTGAGCTCCAGACAAGGTAACAACAAGTACCATCTTTAAACGTATTTTGGTCTGACACGACACCCCAACCTTACCCTCTCCAGGCAGAAGCTCTATCGTTTGTCATTTGACTTCTGAGGCAAATAATGATTTAGCAAATAAGGGAAACAACTTAATAGTATACTTAACTGTGACGTATCCGCCGAAACTGTATGTTTCAATGACTACAACCCGCATCCTATGTAAAATAATACCGTGAGACAAAGATGCGAAACAAACAGTGGTCATCATGGCAAACCAAAGTCATGATTAGGTCCGAGAACTCATACCAACAGGTTGCAAATAATTTCAACATATCAACCGTCCATAGAGACGCTAGAGACATCACACCGCACACCGCTTAACTCCCTTTCTCTGTCAACAAGCAGCTGGTGAAAGGGGATGTAGACTGTGTACTTATCTAGATGTCTCCAGGATATACGGTACTGTGGGTACATACACGTACATGTATCTTGACTGAGTTTATAAGTAGCCACTACGTCCTTCAGCGTGTCCCGCCGTAATATTGCTGGAATATTGCTCAAAGCGGCGTAAAACCATACTCACTCACTCACTCACTCCTTCAGCGTGTCACTTGTCACATGATCAGCGAATAGACTGGAGCGTAAGATTCATGCGATTTCAAGGTCGTGGATACGCGTGAAGATCCGGGGTAGAATTGGTATTCAGCAACCCATGTTTGTCATAAGAGGTGACTAACGGTATCAGGTAGTCAAGCTTGTTGTCTTGGTTGATGCATGTCATCATTTTCCAATTGCCTGGGACGATGTTAATTACTGGATTGTCTGGTTCAGATTCTCGATTATTTACAGTAGGTTGGAATTTTGCTGAGTGCGGCGTTAAACAACTATCAAGAAACAACCATGGACGTTGACCAGGCAAACCATTTGAAGGGCGCCACGATCGCGGTAAGCGTAAAAGCACGACACACCGTGAAGATCGTCAGAGAGACCCATCGCGCTGAGGGATAGATTCTGCTTGAATTCCAATGAAATTACGGAATTCCACAGAAGGCTTGTTTGTCAATGAATTATTTTATGTATAGATTCATAAAAAACAAAACACTTGCATAATGCAGTACTTCAATAAAAGCATGCAATGTTCTTAAAGAGTGATTTTTTGTGCACCTGTTCGGTTTCTGTTTACTGCAGTAGGAAGTCTACCAGAAAGTGTCACGTCTCAAGCCTCCTTGATAAGGAAACATATGTTCATTTCTGGTTTAATGATTGTCATTTAAGTTTAATTTGAATGTCTATTCTTACTGTTTATTGTGGCAATTAAATGAAACTTTGATATTCTTTTAATCATTTTGGATTTCAATTAACAAAATAATACAACTTTTAACACTAGTCACCACGCCTCCAGCTAACTATTTCGTCTCTTTTATGTTTTTTGAATGTCAGTTCTTATTGTTTATTGTGCCATTTGAATGAAATTTTGATACTCTCTTAATCAATTTTGGAATTCAATTCAAATATAATAAGATGACTATAATTGTTCCACAATTTGTCATACCGAATAGCTTCGTATACATCCGCATTTCTTTATATACGTATCAGTTTATTAATGTGTGTATGTCAAGGAGAAGGAGGAGCGAGGGTCTTGGGGAGGCAGGTTCGAGTTTTTCCTATCCTGTCTGGGGTACGCCATTGGTCTTGGAAACGTCTGGAGGTTTCCCTACCTCTGCTACAGGAATGGAGGAGGTCAGCGTTCATGTGAAACCAAGCATGATCTATAAACCTTGTAAACGATGAGTGTAGGATAGAAAATTTCCGGTGGATTTTATGAGATTTAAAACCCTCATCCGAGGGATAAAACAGTAACGTCTCAAACAACATATATTTACAATTTTATGTTTCAAACCTACTTTCCATGGACCTTAGGAAACGGACGTAAAATATATTTTGCTTGAATAAACTACTTGGAAGAAGCGAATCATTAACGCTTTGTGGTTTATCAACACCTCTTATAGCCTGATGGTTCACTCACAGGCTACGAAGGTTGCAAGCTTGATCCACTGAAATATAAAGAATAAAAGCGACAAAAGTTTAACCCTTTCCATATTCATAACAAATATCTGCCAAAAACAGAGTTTACTGTACGATTCCGACTGTGGTCGATTGTACGTCAAAGGTTGTGAAATGTAGACACCCAGGGCTTGAGCTGGAGGAATATTGCTCGACATAAAGGGAAAGTTGAAGTCATCCCTCTTGTCATAGTCTTGTGGAGAATCTTTATGCATAGATCTAGATATGACACAGATGAAGCGGTCTCACTGGAAGACATGTGTCGTTTGAATTATTACTTTCGGTACTGCGGACATTTTACAATATCTCTGGGGCTTGTATATATAGAATTCCAGGGCATTGGTTGTGAGTAGGTATTGCATATGGCCGAACCAGCAATTCTGTATAAGGATACTGTAAAATCCCCGTATATGAGATTTAACCTGATTGAAAAATAATTAGCCTGACGTCACTGGAGGTTAAAAGGTATTTCTATATTTATAATTACCAATAGAATAGTTTCGTTAGGAAAGAAATCACACTTCAGTGACAAATATTGTAATTAAACCAGATGGCAAAGCACCATACTGTCTTTCTGCCACTTCAAATGGAATTTAAAGAAATACCTTATGTATATCTACTAGATGCCTAACTGCTCTCAAAATGTACATTGTAAATTGTTTATTCATAGCACTGTATAACATGATTTCATTGTATATAGTCAAGTAATTTCCTTGATGTATTGTAAATAATGTATTTGCCCATGTAAAATCTTCAGAATCAACTATGGAGGAAATAAAGACATTCATTCATTCATTCATTCATTCATTCACTATCCTGAATTTACGGGCGATGTTATTTATATACACGCACGGACGCCAAGAATAGGTTTCATACATTGGACCCTTGTGGGGATCGAACCCGTGTGTCTGGCGGGATGAGCGAACCGCCCCTATAGAAAGCCCATGTGAAACAACCAGTGTCAAGTGTCCTTTACGTAAGTTTACCCGACCCTACTTACAGCCACGTTCCTCATCCCGTATGTCATCATGTTGGTGGTTGCTGGTCTGCCGTTATTCTTCCTGGAGCTGGCGGTGGGTCAGTTCGCCTCCGAGGGGCCGATCACAGTGTGGAAGGTCAGCCCAGCGTTTCATGGTTAGTATCATCGCTGTCGAAGCAGTTATCAGTTGTCCAGGTATGTCGGGATCCGTCATATGATGGAGACAAGACTTACCAGTATTTTGGTCGTATTCGCAATGGTCATCGGTCGTCTTGATGGATGGACACACATTCCGCCAGATCACACTTTGCTCCATTATTATATTTCACCATACGTTCGTATTTGATCCATTAGTTGTTACATAATTATTGTTTGAGACATGGTTGGCTTTTTATATAAAAACATCCCCTACAAACTAACGAAGGTAAACTGCATTGAACATATCACAAGACAGGATGTTTCATTGGTCATATGAACCTCGAGTACATCACGTCTGTTTTCATCACGTTCCAGGTATCGGGGTTGCTATGGTGACTATCAATGGCATGGTGTGCATCTACTACAACGTCATCATCACGTACGCCATCTACTACATGTTTGTCAGCTTCATCAATCTGGATGGCTCAGTTCCCTGGGAGTCGTGTGGCAATCCCTGGAACACCAACTCCTGCAGGACTAGCTACCCGCCTCTTCATACGATGAATGAAACGTCAAAACTGGATATTCTGTCCTGTATGTGTAACAAGAAATACATGCTGTAACTACATATTTGTTATACATGTGACAGGAGACGTGTAGGAAGATAAATAACTACATTTTAAAATCACACTTTAGAAACCTGCATCTACTGTTTTCGGATGTTTCTGGTACTCGCATAATGTCCTAAAAAGATGCGTTTTGGAAGTTCAACTATTCTCGATTCGTCTGGTTTTATTAACCATCACTGCTACCCTCAGGTTTTACAATCTCAAATCCTCAGGTTTTACTACCTCAACGTCTCAGATTTTACATTCTCAACCCCTCACCTTTTACATTCTCAACCCTCAGATTTTACTATCTCAACCCCTCAGGTTTACAATCTTAGCCCCTCAGATTTTACAATTTCAACTCTTCAGGTTTAAGAATTTCAATCCCTCAGCTTTTATAATCCCGACCCCTCAGCTTTTACAAACTCAACAAAAACCTCTGAGTTGTGATTTACTACATGAACGTACGTGTTACCGATCATTTTCGTCAGTTATAGGAACATTTGACTAAGAATAAGTAAGTTTAACCAATACAATCCTGACAATGTTACTGATGTTCCAGCCGAGCTGTACAACAAGGACTGTGTAGTTTCTCTCCTCGGTCGCATCTCCAGCATGTTCAACAACACCTTCACCGACTTCACGCAGCTCAACTCTTCCATGGTCTTAAATGACGCCACAAAGGAATGTCGGATACGATACACTTCACCCAGTGCCGAGTACTGGGAGTTAGTATCATCACTTTTATAATATTTTTGGGTGATGACGTCAGCTTTCAAAAAGTCAACTTTCCCTTTATGTGGAGTAATGTTCCAGCAGTTGCATCCTTTGTGGTCTACATTTTGAGGTGCAATTGTGCATGCGTTTTTTACGAAGATATCAAAGAGAGTCTGACTCTTGCTCAAAAGTTGTTTGATCAGGGTTACAACATACGAGGTCTTCGTGAAGCTTCCAAAATGTGTTATGTGGAGCACATTTCGACGCATCAGAGACCAAGATGATGCAGTTGTTTGACTTGTACCATATATGTTCCAGATTTTTTTACATGCCTTTGCATATGTTTGTTACATGTGCCACCGGAGGGGCAGGACATTTACACGGACAGTGGTATAATCACTATTTGATATGTATTCATAAACACATGCTTATGATGTAGTTTTAATCGTACAATGCATTCTGTGATTATGAAAAGGGTTTCTCGCTTTAGTTGTGTACACATACATTTGTGACACTTCGGCATGAACACATATAAAATCTATATATGGCAAGGTCTTCGGTATGTGTTTATCATGTCAGCTACACTCAGACAGCCACACAAGCATGCATTCACACATTAAGGGATCATTTTCATATTCATTTGAACCCTACTGGGGACACAATAGATTTAATTTTCTCAAACACATTGCCCACTGAAAGTCAACATTCCCTAACCACCCACACGCACCCTTCTCCCAAGCAGATGATACTATATATTGTTCAAGTCATCCGTTCATCAATCCATTTTATCATACTATGAAGCCGTCTCTGTATTACTGTATTTTCAAGGCGGCATGTCCTCCGTCTTCACGAAGCGGATGGCTTTGGAGATATGGGAAGCATTAGTCTGAAGAATGCTGCTTGTCTTGTGGTTGCCTGGCTCATCATCTTCGCTTGTATCATGAAGGGAATAAAGTCATCTGGCAAGGTTTGGTTTCTTGCAGCAAATAAAATAATGGAGAGTTCATCACGTTTGGCTTTCTGGCGGTTTATATGTCTTGGAATTCCTCTTAAGAACCCTTCTACTCGAGTTATTATCTAAATGGAAGTCACATATCGCACTTTTTAGGATAACAAATGGAAATGTGGCTGCTGATATATTAAATACTCAAGTTGGCTGTTTGATCCATACCATGGTCAGCATACAGACATATTTGAAAAAGGTCCCTCTCTCCAACCCAGGTCGTGTACTTTACTGCAACCTTCCCCTACGTCATCCTGGTGGTCTTGCTGATCCGGGGCCTGACTCTAGAGGGATGCGAGAAGGGCATTACATTCTACATGACCCCACAGGTCCACAGGCTGAAGGAGGCTAAGGTAAATAGGTTTATATTATATCGGGTCTAACTGAATTTTGTTGACTATATTAGTTTTTTATGTTTGTTTGATGATTAACGCCGCACTCATCAATATTACATCTATATGACGGCGGTCTGTGTAAATAATCGAGTCTGGATCAGACAATCCAGTGATTAACATCATGAGCATCTATCCACGCAATTGGGATTAATGACATGTTTTACCTGGACAAGTGTACACTACTATACAGATATACATTCTCTGATCAGCATTGTATCGTGTCACATCTGATAGAATAGGATTTTAGGTATACATCTTCCCACAGGACGAAAACAGCATTATAAAATCTCGAGAAAATACCCGAAGAAAGATAAAGGTATTTTTTCAATTTGGTCACAGTTATAAATCCCACGAACCATATAGAAGTATTGAAGTTATAATTACATCGATAATGAACAGGAATAATTGGTATTGGTATTTCACAAATGAATATAGACTTGAATGGCTATGTTGTCAAAGCGCTTCAGTCCTTTACAATATTTAGTGCGTTTGTATACCAACGTTGGCATCTATTCGGGCCATTTCTCAAGATATGATAACCAGCAACCCTTTCTAATAAATTAATCTTTGATTTAGAATTACTAAGTGGCACTTTCAACTCATTGTGTTACATAGCAGTGTAATTTATTGTTAAACAATGATTGTAACAGTATTACATTGTTTCTGTTGAGATTCAGTAGAAGCTCACAGCATTGTATTTGGACAATGATTAGTTGTCAAGAATGTAGTACTATTTATTGTAAGCAGTGGTGAGAACTTATTATATTTAGATGTTCGAATTATCTATAAACCTCCGCAATGGCATGGGTGGATGTCAAGCGTTATACTGGTCTAGCACTGTGAGGAAAGTGCTGGAAGCGAGTTAGACTTTATAAGTGGAGCGGGCGCGTGTCTATCTCATCTCAAATTTCATCTGACATTTCATCTGACATAACATCAAGACCAGCTTTCGTGTGAAGATCACTTTTCACACAGGATTCCTAGCCTTGACATATCTCGGAAGCTTGACAACTGTTACGGCGACGTGATTATTTTGCTTTCCACTGCTCTCACATTTTAAACTGTCATAGAATAGTGTACTACCACTCTATTGTGTACTGCCATTGTAATTGCTGTGTAGTCATTTGTATAGATATGTAAACCCAGTTAATTTTGAAATACAATTGTTGATTGTTCACCATTTGTTGGTTGTTTGTTGGTTTCTCACTAAATTCTGTTACGTTCAGATTCTCCTGACATGTCTAACGTTTCGAGGATACTCAGAAATCTGACAGTTTGGCTGTTGAGAAACCAGTTCTGGGTAGGGAGCAGTGAGTTAATTTACATGGGAAGACCGAGAATTCAGTGTCCCATTCTGTCCCATTTCTTTCGGCCTAATTCGGCTGACCTTTGCAAAAAATTGTCAGATGTGTCAAATGGTTGACAAAGCTAATCAGAAAATCCCAGCCGCATCTTTGAAACCCATTCCAACCTTTGAAGAACCTTTCAGCAGGGTCATCATTGATTGCATTGGTCCTTTTCCTTACACCAGGTCATGAAATCAGTACATGCTTACTATCATGTGTGCTTCCATAAAGTTTCCAGAGGCCATTCCTTTACGAAAAATTACAGCTCAGGTCCTAGATTTTCGAAACGATCGTAGCCCTAAAATTATCGTAAAGCTATCGTAAGGAAATCGTAGGCTATCGAAGCCTATTTTCGAAACTATCGTAGCCCTAAGGTATCGTAAGATTGTCATAAAACTAAAATAGCCCCATACCTGTCGCAAGTTTATTTTATCGTTGTCCAAGATGGTGGAATACTTTGCCATAGATATTTTTAAACAAATAATCTGCCTTATGTTCAAATATTGACATTTCATTTGTGTAAAATTGTGTGATTCAAACTGACACTTCTAAAACACGACGACCGCATAAAAGATTTCAAGTCGGAAATGTTCTTAATCGCAACAGCGATCCACATAACTATAGAATCGATAGCTTACAATATATTTCTACCCGAGTCCTTGTTGAAGAAGTGTGCATCAATACACCTTTTCGATAATTTTGAAAAGGATATAAACGGAAGGTGTTGGCATGCTATAGTAATGAGCGTGACCTTATTGATAACTCAGGGGCAGCTAATCTTAGTTCATTCTCTAACTGAGAGTGGTTTCCCTTTGTCTTCGCCCGACGAGACCTTGCTCAATGTTACAGTTTTCGTAAAGCGCCGATTTCCTCTGGTATATTTTCTGGATCGCATTTGTGACAATGCATTAGTCTTTCTTCGCATTTTATAAAATTATATTTATCTACATATGTGACGAGGTGCAAAACCTAAGCGTTTTTTATCAGGTTTTACATCTAAAATGGTGTGGGACGAATGGTCTTAACAACTGAATATTAACTATACAGTACAGTATTTATTGATTTAATAAGGAAATACATGTGATCAAATATGTGTATATAGTATATTTGTATAAAGAGTATATTTTCTAGGAAAAGTAAGTGTATTTTGTTTCGTTTTAAAACCAACACCTATGTTATCAATATCATTGAAAGACAAATATTTGAAAACACGTGTTAAAATATTGTCTGGTGAATAATTACATTCTTTAAAAACAGGTGATTAACGGCAGAGATGTATTCCATTAAATATAGCAATTTATTGATATTGTGACAGTTAAAGTAAAGCACATATATTTGTGTCCTATTTTCGAAATTGGCGATTAGAAAAATTAAGTTAAAAAGTCTTCTGGTTTAAAATGCCATCAAAGAGTAACATATTTTGAACATTGTCCAAAATCCATTTTCCAATATATTTTCGCAGAAAATGTTTATTGAATGAGATTTGCTCATCAATATATAATAGATATTTTCGTCACAATAATCTTTGAATTATGCATTCAGTGAACTGATTTTAAAATAATAATTGATATTGATCTATTTTAAATTAAGTCTACATTTACCCGTATTATATTTTAAAAATATAGATACTTGAGCCCATTCAGACAATGAAATCAATGTAAAGAACAAGGTCACCGGAGATATACTTTCAAATGGCCCTCATCAATGCTGTCAGACAAGCCTAACGTCATCGAACTACGTTCGGGAATAGATTTCACACATTTACAATGTAGATATTTCGCTCCTCAGCCAGATTTAAATCGAATCAGACAAATCAGTTTATTAGCTCTTCATAACTTAAAAGGATAGAAAAGGACTCCATTGTATGTATGTTGACGTTAATTTGTGGCGTGTTTCATGAGACAACATAACTTGCCAATTCCTAAGTTATCTTCCTTTGTGAACGAAAATTAGTGTCACTTTAAAATTTTGAATAGAATTATGGATCTAGATAGATATATTGTGGTAACACGACACTTATTGATTGTAACATTTGATGGGTTTGAAAAATGCCTTTGAATGGCATACGAATGCTAATTGTGTTCGGGTAGTCATCTTTCAGCATAAGAACAAAACGTCTATATGTAGGACATATCTAGGATTGTACGGAATGTCACTCTAATAGTTGCGTGTTAAACAGTGTGACCAGACAATATGATCATGAATTCCGTGCCACTTCTCGATGTTGTTATTGCCAGCCCCCTTTTTCAATCTCTTACACAAATGAGTTCTCTGTCTGCCATGCATTCAAAACCTTGTTAAGTTGCTATGGATAACTCGAAGGATACCAGGACAAAACGAAAGTGCATTATGACAAAAAGTTTGAAGAGAGAAATGTCAGTCTTGCCAATCCCAGGTCAACCATTACGTTCTAGGTACCACGGTCCATATGTTATTGACAGGACAGGCAGTGATACTGACTATGTTGTACAAACACCTGACCGTCGTAAAAAGACACAGCTTTGTCATGCCAATATGATTAGAAAGTATCATGGAAGAAAGAAATGACAATGTACCTACCTACTCAGTGTGTTGCCACTGTTTCGCATGTGGATATTGTATCAGGGTGTGATACTGATGATAATTGTGTCAAGTTTAATGGCATTGCTGACTATGCCAGACCTAGGCTAAACAATTCGGAATATTAAGATAACTTTGATGCTAAGTTACGTCAAGGTCAGGTACGGACCGTACAAGCAAAGGTGGGAGCTATTTCAAAATTCCAAGTTCCAGAAAACAAAAAGGAAATTATGAGATTTCTGGTCATGGCTGGTAACTACCGCAAATTTTGTCAACATTTCTCACATGTACCGGCCACTCTCACAAAAAGGTGAAATTTGTTTGGGACATCAATTGTTTGGCTGCTTTTGAGAAAACTAAGGCCATTCTCTTGAATCTTCCTATTCTCCAGGCAACTTTGAAAAATGTTTCACACTGGCAGTAGGTGCTACTGACGCTGACGCTGGAGCTGTCCTGTTACAGGAAGACGCATCAGGCTTTGATCACAAACATCAGAGAAATTATTCCACCATTGAAAAAGAAACTCTTCTTCTGTTGTTAGCTTTGCAACAATTTGAAGTGTACTTGAGTATGTTTGTTTCCTATTCAAGTGTACACCGATCACATTCCACTGACTTTTCTTCGTAAGAGGAAGAAAAACACAACAACGTCTAATGTGCTGCAGCCTGTCTTTGCAAGAATTTGATTCAGACACCAAGCATATCAAATGCAAAGACAACGTTATTGCTGATGTATTGCCACGAGTGAGTTAGATGTGATTAGTTCTGACTGCAAACACGATTTGCATTTTTGTAAACATTTCTCATGATGACCAAACTTTCATTCTCCAAAGGGGTAAATTGTTGTATGGCAGTGTAATATATTGTTAAACAATTATTGTAACTGTATGGCATTGTTTCTGTTGAGATTCAGTTTATAACATTGTATTTGGACAATGATTAGTTGTGAAGATCACTTATCACACCGGATTCCCAGCCTAGGCCTATTTCCAAGGCTTGACCATATTTGCGGCGAGGTGAATATTATTCTTGTCCTTGTCATTACCACTGCTATCACATTTTATACTGTCACTGAATATTGTACAACAACTATGTTGTATTTGCCATTGTAATTGCTGTGTAGTCATTTGTATTACAATCGTTGATTGTATGCCATTTGTTGGTTGTTTGTTGGTTTTGCAGATTTCAGGATTAACAGGGGGCGGTCGGGTAGCCTAGTGGTTAAAGCGTTCGCTCGCCACGCCGAAGACCCGGGTTCGATTCCCTACATGGGTACAACGTGTGAAGCCCATTTCTGGTGTCCCCCACCGTGATATTGCTGGAATATTGCTAAAAGCGGCGTAAAACCATACTCACTCACTCACTCAGGATTAACATATTGTTTAAATTTGGGATTCGACACGTAACAATTGGTAAAATCAGCAACATCATAAACCCATCTGTAAATAGTAGTAGAAACTTATGTACAATATACGAATATAATTACGCTTCCCTTGAACACGCTCCTTAATGTCCGCTGCCAGTGTATGTACAATGCATAAACCATGTGAACGTTTACGTTCTTGTCAAATGGATGTATTTTGAGAATATGCTAATCCATGACCAGCGATCGTTTGTGACTTAATACCACTTTTAACATTTCATGTTGTACACAGGCAGATATGCATTCGTTGTTTTCTCATCTACTAATACTGTTATATAGGTATGGGGAGATGCAGCCACTCAGATCTTTTTTTCCCTGGGAGCTGGATTCGGTTCGCTGTTGACCATGTCCAGTTACAACAAGTTTAAGAACAACTGTGAACGGTACGGTCATCTGTTTGGGGGAATTTTAACCTAAAAGTCCTTAGTTAATAAAATCAGTTCCTGTACTGTCTCTGTTATACTATCAAATTAATGCACAATTTCACAAAAGTATGTGTTTTGTTGTGTATTTCAGAGAGAAGCATTTTCGGTCGCACTTTTTACTTCATTTCACGTATTCAATATGCATTCAGGGATGCTCTCATCGTCAACTGTGCCAACAGTGTGTTCGCGACAAGGTGATCAGCAATCATCTTCATCATAAATCAGAACCTGGCAGCACCACATACTGCCTTAAACGTTTTGTATACATTCATTACTATCCATAACATGAACAATGACATGAACCGAGTTTAATTAAACATATTTTCTCTACTTTTTACAAATATTGTAATTTTAGGGATGCTGTAATCGTCGCCATCATCAACTGTGCCACCAGTGTGTTCGCGGGCTTCGCCATCTTCTCCCTTCTGGGATTCATGGCGCACACCACCAACCAGGACGTGGAGAGCGTGGTCGATCAAGGTGATTACCAATCCAAGCCGATTAGAGCTTTTGATTATGTTTGGAGAATGTAAACGAAACATCCTCTCATTGGTATGATTGAATCTCCACGAAGTAAAACAAAATGTTTTCAGGGCCTGGTTTTGCATTCATCGCATACCCTGAAGGCATTGCGCAACTTCCGGTGTCACCACTGTGGGCCTTCCTGTTCTTCTTCATGCTGCTGACACTTGGCATTGGCACTCAGGTGGGACACTCAATCTTACCTTACATCTACATAGAAATCCCCCGAAAATCCACGGATATTTGCCAAACAAGAAAATAGAAAATCTTTAAGGTAAATATTGTAAAGAGCGAGTTGGAGAGTTTGGTCTAATCTCGCTTTGCAATTGAAGATATGTCAGTTATAAAGTGAGAAGTGAACTGAATATGAGATCAAATCAAATGACGCAGGACGTTTGCGATTCTATGTTTGTTTGTTCTATAACGCCGCAGTCAGCAATACTCCAGGTATATGGCGGCTTCACTTTCGGATTACTTTTCACGTCAAGCGTCATTCAAATAATAATTCAAACCGGGTGATCGTGGGTTCGAATGCAAGATTCTCTCTGACTATGATGCTTTGTCAGCATTGTCTCCATCATCCCCAGTGCTTATTGGTTTCACCAAAGTGGTTAAAAACTATGACATGCATGACTTCCCAAGCATCAAGCTGAGCCGCAAAGATATAACTGAAATACTGTACACTTCTTTATTTGGTTATTCTATGCCGCGCTCAGCAATACTCCAGCTATATGACGTCGGGATGTAAATAATGGAGTCTGGATCAGACAATCTAGGTTGTGACATCACGAGCATCGACCTACTCAGTTGGGATACGATGACATGCATCAACAAAGTAAGCGAGCCTGACAACCCTCTCCCTTTTGTTGCCTCCTACGACATGGGTTGCCCAAGACCAATTTTAACTCGGATCTTCACTAGTTACGATTCTAGTGAACCCCATGAGCACATGTATTCGGTCAAGGCCATACATAAGTGTACAGAGACGTGATCACATGATAGACATAATCCTATTCCTGGAAGTATCTAACATATACACCCACCTAACTACTATTACATTTACTTGATGGACACGTGGTAGACTATGGTTGAACTACACGTACCTGTTACATAGACATTGTCGTCTTATTTGGTTTCTGGATATAATGATGTTCCCAGTTCATTATGTTTGTGGCGACTTCTTTTGATGAATATGTGAACTGTCACAACCTCAGTTCGTCATGATGGAGACGTTGATCAGCGGCGTCAGTGACATCTTCCCACGTTTCCTGAGGAAACACAAAACCCCCTTCACTGCAATTTGCTGTCTCGTGGGCTTTCTACTCGGTCTGCCCCAAGTTACAAAGGTAGGAAAAAACAAACTAGGTTTCGTATGAGTCAACATTCGTAAAACACCATCACAAATTTACCAAGGTGCCCAGGCTAAACACAACGTTGTGTTTCGTGGAATAGTGTTTCCGTGAGCCAGGAAGTTTAACTTCAGCTTCAGGCATATGGATGGTCTCAGGACAGTTTAATACTGGTCAAATAGCCCACACCTTTCCACTCAGTACCCACTTCAACAAGAAATAGAAGACAAAAGTGAAACCGTTTCATATTAAGAGTGACAAAACATATACCCACAAGACTGTGTGACAAGAGGGAAGATTCCGGCAGCTCCAGCCTTTGGTGTCTTCATTTCACAACGTTTGGGGTACAATGGAGCATGTTCTTTCTCTTCATATTTCAAAATCGTCATACGACTCGTGTTCAAAAGTTGTTAATTATAAGAACTGACTTTAAATATTCCACGCGGATTTACACAATATGCACACCTGTTTTTACGTTAATACCGCCATCAAGGCAAAGCATATTGAAGTCGATTCTAACAAAAATGCAGAGATTTCAAACATTATCAATCCTTTGTCAATCAATGGTGTCTCCAGGGTGGTATCTACATGTTGACACTGATGGACTGGTACTGTGGCAGCTACAACGTGATGCTGGTGGCTCTGGCAGAGATCATCTGTCTCATGTATGTCTATCGTAAGTATAACTATTGCGTACGTTAATCTTCCTTACCATCTTCTCAAACATAGATGCAAGCCAAGAGGACAGTGAATTTCAATACACGTAGTTTACTCCTTATTTGTTTGGGTACTTGCACTTTCCTCCAGTACAACTCTTGAACAAATCGGGACTTGAACACTTTAGTGAATATAAATATAAATAGTTCTGATGTTTATATAAAACAGGGTTTTGAACTCTAAAGTGCTATCTCCCTTCGTCCAAATCTGACAATACCTCATAAAAGGTCACGTCAAGCGCACTTTGATCGCTTAATTAAGGATAAATCGCCCTGGTTGTTTTTCGAGGTTTTACCAAAGTAAACGTAGTAGACCTCGGCGACCTGCATCACGTCAAGTCATGCTTTAACTAAACAACTGTTGAAAGGTGTTTTAAGCCAAACTCAAACCACTCATACATTCATTCTTTATTCGGAACTGTCCGTTTATGTTCCCTTTCATATCGAGATTTAAGAAGCCTCTACGATTAACTGCTTAAAAGTTTCACCTCACGTGACAGAGTCGTATCGGAGAAAAAGATCTGATTTTAGTAAGATTGATCTAAACTGCCGGGAAACAGAAAGTATACCATTGAAAATTGGATTTGACCAAAACATTACAAACGTTAAATATGAAGTTTTTAAAAGCGGTGTAAAATCAAAACTCACTCATTGCTATTTTTTCTTCTCAGACGAGACCAGAACTGTCCAACAGTTGTCTTGGATATCTGTGTACATGTATAAGGAGGCATATGTAATATGTTTACCCAATCATTTTAACTTTAACTTGTACATGTACAAACAATGTAAGTCTTCCACATTCACCGTACACAACTGCATTTGGTGTGTAAATCCACAAATCATTTTACAAGCATAGGCGTTAACTCTTTCGATTAAGTCTAATTTTGTAATTCCCCGTACCTCAGCACCTTACAACAAAATAGGATTGATGTTTGTATAAAAAATGTATCTTTTACATTAGCAATGTTTGGTTTTTTTAAGAATGCTCTTCTTCGCCTAGATAGCAGCTTGTGTTGAATGGAAATTCCATGACAGTTTGCTCGAGAAAAAGAAACACAGATATTTGTTTTCAGTAGCAACATCTAATACGTTTCGATAATATATCCCCGTTTCTGAAAACAATTACCTTAGATTTTCCCATGTCGACTGTTAGACATGGCTATTCAGAATCTGTTGTAATACATTAATACAATAATTAGAGGCTGTAATCCAGTTATGGTGCTAGTAGAAAACATTACAATACGATCAGCGAATATCAGTATAAAACCTTTTTAATATTGTGATGTAATTGTACCCCACTTTGTCATTTAACTTCTGTTTCCATGGCTAAATCGTTAACAACGAAAGAAAAGAGGAAAGGGCTTAAAATGCATCCTTGTCTTACTCCTATATTGCAATCAAATTTGTTACTGAATTTAACGTTGATTCGCACCAAAGCTTTTACGTCTTCTAAGATACATGACAATAATTTTGACATTTTGTAACTGAGGCCACGGTTCTTAAGTTATAAACCACAAGTCTACAAATAGTGTGTACAATTCATCTACCTTCTTTGAAAGATACCATACGAATGCAATACGAAGTGTGTGTTTTCTATAGAAATGTTACCTTCTCTAAAACTGGAATGCTGCTATTTCACCCCGAGAGACGTTATTAAAGCATTACTAGGGGGACAATACTGCAAACTTATTGTACCCGTATCAACAGCAAATATCCATTTCTTGTTTCATGTTCAGCTTGGATGTATACTTTTTTGGACCGGTCATATATTTCACAGATTTCTCGTGACATCACCCTTTGTTAATCCTTAAATCATGATTGAAATGATTTACTATAAATTTTGATGTTGATATAGTTATGTTTAACATGGTGATATAATTATGTTTAACATGTTGATATGATAATGTTTAACATGTTGATATAATTATGTTTAAAATATTGATATAGTTATGTTTAACATGTTGATATAATTATGTTTAACATGTTGATATAATTATGTTTAACATGTTGATATAATTATGGTTAACATGTTGATATAGTTATGTTTAACAGGGGCGGTCGGGTAGCCTAGTGTTTAAAGCGTTAGCTCGTCACGCCGAAGACCCGGGTTCGATTCCCGACATGGGTACAATGCCGTGATATTGCTGGAATATTGCTAAAAGCGGCGTAAAACCTTACTCACTCACTCACTCACTATGTTTAACATGTTGATATAGTTATATTTAAAATGTTATAACACATAATAAAATCACCATTTTGTCTAAACCTCAGCACCATGCCGATCAAATCCTCTCACTCACTGCTGCCCTTGACATAGACGCGCCACTGATGACTCTCGCTTTACAGTGATCAGTGAATGTACGTTCTGTCATTTGTTGCTTCCATTTTCTGTGGACTGATTCTTTACAAGAAAACTAATATGGTATAGATGTTTCCAAATGCATGCATCTGTGTACACGAGTTTCCAACTCATGGATCATACAGTAGGTGGTAGTATCATACCATTGCAACAGGAGAAACCTTTTTACTTTGTCGTAACCGTTTAAGCTTTAGTTGGCTGGTTCTGGCCTCGAGGTGGGAATAGGAGAAGTCTCCTCCCGTTCATGGAGGACATCGAGATGATGATTGGCCACAAGCCCAATCCCTACTGGGTCATCAACTGGGTCTTCTTGACTCCTGTCGTCATCATTGTAAGCGCTGAAACTCTTGTGGACTGTATTGTATTGTTTACTTCCTCAGCAATATATATCATGCAAAGTCGCCCATTTGAACAATATATAGTCTTCTACATAGCATTGTAAGGTTGTAATTGCTGCTACCATAATGCTAAAATGCTAATGTTTTATGAATCCAATACTTTGAATAGTCAATACTGAATATATACATGAACAAGTTAGTTTTATATCTGCTGCTAATGCTTGAAACGATAACATATTATACAAAAAATTTACGTGAAATTAAATTGGATATTTTTGAGCATATATGCATTTCTTGATAATGATATACACCACGTTTCCAATCTGTTTTACAGATAAATTCCAATTGCCACAGCTTGAATTGGGCGCGATAATGGTCACTACAGAGGAATATAACATTTCTAAATATCTAACATTCTTGAAAACGATCTATGAAAATATATCTTCTAGGTGAACTTTCAAAATAGTACTCAGGTGGAGATTTAAAGAAATAATCTCATACCATGAACAAGGGTTGTTGAGCGTGTTACAAAAGACAATAACGTTATAACAATTATGAGTGTTGTTTCCATTAAAAGTTCATCCTGATCGTGTCAGCCACTCAGTACACCCCCGCCAACTATGGAGACTACAAGTTCCCCCCGTGGGCTGAGGGGATTGGCTGGTGGATGGTTGTCGCCCCTGTTGCTATGATACTCCTGGTCATGGCAATACAAGTGTGCAGACAAGGAATGGTAATGATGTTATTAACAACTGCTTGAAGCGTTGGCTCGTAACGCCGGAGACTCGGGTGCGATTCCCAAAAAGGTTACACAATGTGTAAAGCCCATTTCTGGTGTGGCCCGCCGCACCGTGGCTGGAATTTTGTGCCATACTCTCTTACCTAATTTACAGATTTACAGATTTTTCTATCTGTCTTTGAAATTTTGAAATTGATATGACAGTGGATAATGTTTTCAGTCCTTATTCTTTCGTATGACGGAAGGTCGTCATGTGACAGTAGAACATGTCTATTTTTCGAAAAAGTAAACACGTTTGTAAGTCACCAACGATATTGGTATTCAACTTGAGGTTTGAATGGCGATGTTCAGTACAAAAACTGTGCATTAGTATCACTTTGCATGCTCTGGTTTAATCCTAACATAAACAACATTTTCCCTAGTTTGCCCTGAGTTCATCTCATGATTCACAACATATAGAAATAACAGTAGATCATGGAGAACGTGGTTTCATAGACATATGCTTATGGTGTAATCGGAATCGTACAGTTGGCCCGGCTTTTAGCGGAGGTGTCTGGTTGTAGAAATAGTTGTGTTATGTTTTGTCACTTATATTTAATGAAGCAACATATACCATATGTCTCTCGCAAACTGATCCACTTTTTATCCACGTAAATTCCCAAATAGAAGACATATTAGGACAATGAAATAGTAGATCATTGTTTCATTTCTAGTTTCCTGCTCCATGGCGTATATTCTTAAACTCAGTTATAGCACATGATTTAGAGCGCCACAATTTTCAGTGCATACTTTCGTCCCTTAGACAAGCCAGGTCCGTCGGTCGAATCTCCCAGATGTTGATCCTTGTTTTTTGGGCCCCAACATCGATATCCAAGGCCTGCGTCATTTTTTAATTTCAATCCACGTTTACCTGCCATACCATAATATAAATAATCACTGGTCAATCTTACTCGCTTTTTTGTCACACAGCTTAAAGCGTTCAGTCCAACGCAGAGCTGGGGACCTGCACTTCCCGAGGACCAAACAGGGAATTACGCCAGTCTCGGGAGCGCTAATGGAACAATGCCCAAAGTTACAAGTGTCAAGATGGCGGAGAAACCTTCCGACAGCATCGGTGTAGAAAACAAGGCGTTCTTTACCAACATTATGTAGCCTTCCATGTCCGCATTGCAATAATTGAGAACTGATTTTGTTGTGTCATACAGCATATGGTCGTCGTTCTTTAATGTGCTATATTTGCGTTTACAATTATTTGTATCCATAAGTTCAGTTAAAATGGCTATTCACACTTACTGCTAATTCCACTCCGCGTAAAATGGCATAGCGTTTTTCTTCGTCCAAACTATGTGTTTATGTACTAATTGTAATTGTAGTTTTTCTTTACAAATAAAAAGAAACAAAGTGCAATGATTACGTACTTGTGGAGGACGATGGGGTACGCAGCCATGCGGTGCATGAGTGAGGGAGGGAGTAAAAATTTAACGCCACTTTGGACAATATTTCTACCCGTGAAGATCCAGGTTAGAAAAGGTCTTCAGCAACCGATGCCTGTCTTAAGGGGAGACTATGCTTGTCGTAAGAGGCGACTCAGGATGATCAGGTTCGCTGACTTTGTTTAAATGAGTCATCGTATCTCAGTAGGTAGATCGATGCTCATGATGTCAAAAGCCCGATTGTCTGGTCCAGACTCGATTATTAACATACCGCCGTCATATAGCTGGAGTATTGCTGAGTACGGCGTTAAAGATCAAACAAATAATTGAACAGTATTTCAGTTATATCTTGGTGGGTCAGCTTGAAGTGGGCAGGTCATGGATGTTTACCACTTGGATGAAACCAATACGCACCGGGATGATGGAGACAATGTTGACAAAGCATCATAGTCAGAGAGAATCTTGGATTAGAACCCACGATCACCGGGTTCCGATTATTAATTGAATTACGCACGAAGTGGAAAGTAATCCCGAAATGTTGCAGGTTTTTACCATTTACCACTTTGGGGAAACCACGGGAACGGATATGGACCTGATAAACATAGAAACATAATCAGGGCGAACCTAGGATTCGAACCAACGCTCATACGTCTCTGGCACGTAAATCTACTCAGCACAACGCACCTTAGACGACAGGGCCACCCGTGCACCCCTTTGTTAGTAAGGGGTTTGGGAGGGGAGAACTAATGTAGGCAGGTGCTCGGGGTAGGGATGGAATGAGACTGATAGCAGGGAGTTTGTGTTTATGAAGTAAAATACACTAGCACATCTTGTGTCCATTTCGAATGTTATGGTTGCTGACCTGTTTCATCAAAAGATTTTTTTTTGAAAGTATCATGATAACAATATTTTCCTGCAGCCATCTGCATTCGTCATCGACACGGGGAATTACATTGTGCCCGTGTCAGACCGCTCACTGGTTTCTGGTCACACACTGGTGCACCCTGAGGTCTTTACATCAGTGGAATTTTAATAATATCTTCATCTTTTGTAACAAAAATCTATATAAGTTTTAGGCAACACTAACAGAACAAACTATTATGGACAGACGCCAGAGAATAAATTCTTGATTTTCTGCTGAAACGTTGGGCAAAAAAGGCAAAATATCAATAACATTTTGATAACCACCGGCGCGGAAAACATGGATATTTTAGAACGAATATAATTGTTTGATATTTTGATATTGAAATGTTAAAGTACCTTTAAGGGGTTATATTTTAAGTAATTGTCAATGGCAGAAACTGATAGAACTGCTGGTAGAAAGTGTCAAGAGATGTCGTGGAGGGATTTGAACATCAGTCAACAGCAGCCAGTGGATCAGTCAAGAATAGTTTTCTTCTGATTTGGGTTATCTACCCTTGTTGAGCACAGCGGGCTTGATCGTTCTAGATGTTTCTGGATGCGACAGTTTCTAAAGCCTGGCTGTAACAATATAAGAGCGATAAGCGAGCGATTCCAGACTTTACCGACCTCACTTGTCTCTGGTCTACTTGCCAAGTTCTGTTTGGATGCCTGTTTGTAAACACCAAATTCCTGCCTCTTTCAACACTATTCCTGGGCTCATGAATAAAGACACGCCTCTTTCAAGACATTCAACACTATTCAATATGTGACAATATTCGGAACATTTGTGCGTGCACTGACGTTAATTCTAGGGCACGTTAATTATAGCCGCTGTCTCTTATTTGACCTAAAATATTTCCTTTTCGAATGCAAACCTAAATCTGTGTGTATAAATATATGAATTATTCATTGATCTTGTGTGGTCATTTGCTGATTTCACAATTTAGTTCTGTACGTTCCGGTTTCTTGGTTACAATGGACTCCTCTAGGAAGAGATATATTATATTATTATGGAAATGATATTGTCCATTATATTTTTAAAATATTGAATAAATAGAATTGCCCGGGACATGTACGTGTTCACTTGCCAACGTTCCCTACGCCACCTACGAAACAAAGCGTCATCTACAATGTAGAAATATAAATTAATATGCCACGGCAGGTGCCTGGATCGTGATGGGACTACAATGGCTGGTGAGGTCCACATTGTCGTGGCAGTGTTATGGTAGTAGGAACTCCCGTGTAACGTGTTGGACTTTACATTTGGGTTCTACCAGAGTCTTAATCTTGTGGAATACCTGCCCTTGCCGAAGTGACTCCTTCTCAATTCTGTAGCTCACCTTCAATCTCTACACGATGGCCTTGGACAAGGAGGTAAGTTGAACGCTTGGCGGCCTGTGTATGGCACGTACGTGTTATGTTATACTTAAGACCGTCCTTACCATATGACCTTGCAAGATAACAGATGAACAAATTTGGACAATATATGGTTATTAAATGTGGTAATAAATTATGTTTTAGAGGAGGTCATTTGTACGGGTTTAGATAGGTCATCCGACAAATGCCTTCAAGTTAAGTATTAAGCTGGAGTAGAGCAAATAGCTCTACATTATACACAACCAACTGCGATATATTATTGGTGGGGACGTTTTGTACATGTTTGGAATTTCAAATCCCTATATTCGCATCACATCGAAGACCAAACAAAATGTACATTTTCACATTTCTATGAATTTATTCAAACTGAAATTGTAAATGTACTCATAATTGTAATATTCGTAACACGGGACTGATATACTATAGCTAATTGTAGCTATGTACATCATCTGAAGATGTTGTTGTGCCATAGCTCTGGAATGCAATCGTTCCATTGTTTCAAGTATTCATTCAAATGCACGTGAATATTTAACGTTTCAAATCGAGCATACCGTATCATTTATGAAACACGACCAATTCCCCTGAAATCATGATTTCGTACTGACCCCATGTCATAGCGACTGAGTGGGAATACGTTTAAACAATAAAGTGTGAAAAAACATACAGACTTTGACCACTGAATTGAAAATCAAATGGAAGAATGCTGGATACAATAGAGCGCCCTGTCGTAGCATTAATGAGCAGTAATTTCGTGAAGGACGTGTTTTATTACATCCCTGATGAACTACACAGACACAGCGGGCAGGCAACATTGTTTGTCAGTCAGCTACTGTGACACGCCTACTATGTCAATCAGCTGCTGTGACACGCCTACTATGTCAATCAGCAACTGTGACACGCCTACTATGTCAATCAGCTGCTGTGACACGCCTACTATGTCAATCAGCAACTGTGACACGCCTACTATGTCAATCAGCTGCTGTGACACGCCTACTATGTCAATCAGCTACTGTGAGACGCCTACGATGTTAATCAGCTGCTGTGGCACGCCTACTATGTCAGTCAGCAACTGTGACACGCCTACTATGTCAATCAGCTGCTGTGACACGCCTACTATGTCAATCAGCTGCTGTGACACGCCTACTATGTCAATCAGCTGCTGTGGCACGCCTTCTCACGTGTTCACAATTTATTGACTCATAATACATGAATCATCAAGTGTTAAGTTGCACTAAAATATATATGTATGCGTTTAACAAAGGTTAACTAATGCATAAAGATGAAGCTATCTAATCTGAAATTCTTAGGTAAGTGAGTCAATTGTGATACACGCGTTTCCATTTTTTTACGAAATCTCTGCTAAAAGCAGAGTCGATTGTACAATTCCGACTATATCATGAACGTATGTTTCTAAATCATTATCAAATAGTGATAATGCCAGGTGTTCGCGAAAATGTGAGCGTATCACTGAGAGTGAGCGTCACTGATATTTTAACTTGCAAATGCCCTGCACTTATGTACCATATAACGTTTTGAAAGCTTTTCTGGGGCCTTGATTGTTGTCATTTTGATCAAACAACTTTTGAGCATGAGACGTATGCGCGGGAAGAACATGCTCGATTGTACCTTGTAAGTTTAAAATGTAAACACCAAAGGCTGGAGCTGTTGAAATATTGCTCGACATAAAGGGAAAGTTGTGGAGAGGTTTTTGTCATCCTGAAAGGTTATGCATGGGTCTAAATATAAAGCAGAGGTGGCGGTCTCACTGTTCTTCTTTTTTAATTCTAGTTCAGGAGGGTAAATTTGAGGAAGGGAAGTAGCTATTGACCTTTTTTAACGATATCGGATCATCGATATACCTTAAGCTTAAGTGAAACTTCTTTGCAAAATTACCTCGTTTTTGACTTTGCAGAATCCGAGCAGAAAGATTCAAAAGCATCAAAAAGACATCAGCAAAAAGGGGAGTACAGTTGGTGCCTACATAAGGACGCCAGTTCTTGCCTGAATGTCTCACCCATAAGGACGCCACTTCTTGCCTGAAAGTCTCACCCCCAAATTTAAAATAGATGTTATCAATGAGGAAGTCCAGCCTTTCACATATTGTTTTCTCAGTAAACTTCAGGTGACATTAGCTTTCATTTTTGACAATTTGTCCTGAAGCACTGAAGATAGCATATGACTATAGGACATATGGTCATCATGTTTGTGACAAATGCCCCATGGATCAAGGAATGATGTTTTCCTTCAGTTTGCCTTGTTTGATAGTGGGGTACAAAGTTGAGAAATCAGTCAAATTTTGTCCTTTGTTAAGGATTGCTCTTACATTCTATCCTCTTTGCTCTGACGTGATGAGGCACCCAGGGGTAGAAAGAACTATTTGTCATCAGAGGGTGGAATTCAGAAGTACTTCGTTAAATACCTGAGGTACTCAGATAAAGGCATCTCGAATGAGAAACAACATGAAAGTTGTTTCGTGTGGTCGTGTAATTACGTGTCCGTGATGTATCCAAGATTTTGCTTTCAACAGTAAAACTCAATTGTGATGAGTATATCTGTATGACCCAGAAAATACGAACAGTCCCATTGAGTACACCTCACTTCCGTCAATGTTACAGTATGGGAGTTGCGATCGTCGTAGGGCTATCGTTGCTTTGTGGGTCAAGGTACACATACAATATTGCATACAATCATAGTCATACTCGTATACCTTTACTTAGTCTTATGACAGTCCTAGACCTGCGGTTGTTTTGTGAATCCGGTCCAGGGTCAAATTTATGTTCATGCCAATTGATATCGTCACTTTAACGTAACAGTGATGCGTGCCTGTTTCGTGCCCAATAATTGACTTCACTATTGTTTGTGTTTATTGGGGTATTAACGTAAAGAGCAGTGTGCCAGTGTGTTGAAATCCACAAGTTGGATTTACAGAGTGAGCACATCGGTCTACGTTTTCACCTCCATGAACGCAACAAATGTTGAAGTCAATTCTTAAATAATTACAAGCATCAGTATCGGTACATTGATATTCTTGTGTTTGAGGCGGATTTTCTACCTTACAGGAGGAGATAGAACGGGGAACCTGGAGCAAGAAGCTGGACTTTATCCTGTCCTGTGTGGGTTTCTCCGTGGGACTCGGCAACATCTGGAGGTTTCCTTATGTTGTCTACAGAAATGGAGGAGGTAATGTTACCAAGGAGTATCGACAGCTGCCCAAGGGAAGACAACTCTAGGACATAAGATAAATAATTATTTACCCAATTTTTTTTTATGATGATGATGATGATGATACTTCTGGTCAGAAATTACTCGTTTCGTGTGTGCAAATACGAGTCAAGGGGAAGTAACCAGATGTAACCTGTGATGTTTTGCTGTATAAATACCGTGTGTGCGTAAGGAGATGTATCATAGTCACATTTCCAGGTCACTGTCAAGATCATTCCTTACGGAAAAGACTTCAGTTTTGTCCAAAAGGTACTGGCAGCATATGGTAGCGATAATTCATATTTGTAACACTATCTATGTACAACAGTTTGATTGACTGAGATCGACCATTGTAACATAAGAATAATATAAGCTGTACCAGTATCACGAGGGATCTATGTGTTTTTATTCGTCCTACGTATACCGTAGGTAACACTTACCGAGGGACACATAAGGCCACATTTGTACCTTGTGATACTGCTACAACGATTTTTTCGTACCGACATGTTTCAATCTGCCATTGTAAAAGAATTAACACGAATTGAAAATTAATAGAAATCAGCTGTTCGATTGAGCTGGGGTTATCTTGTGCTGTGGCACGTGACTTTCATAAACTCATGCGTCGTTTTCTTCATGGCGGGGTATAAGGTTTTTTTTCTCCGAGAAATCCAAGTGCAGCCTGTTTTCTACGCGGGGGATTGCAAGGGATCTATTCTCACGCTCAGAACTATATTTACATAGTATTTGTTTTAAAACAAATCCAATCGCAACTTTCTGTGTTTGTGTGTGTGTGGGGGGGGGGGGGGGGGGGGAGTCATTTTGTAGCCGCAAGATTTGAATCGAGCTAGAATTCCACTGTTCATGACAACCATCTTAACCTCAGAAACAGCACATCAAAAACATTAACCTATTGTTCAGTTACAACGTGTACCATGTGCCGAGCCACGTTAAAGTAGGATACCCTGTGGGATTCAAGTTAAGATAAGCTCAGTTAGGTTTATCATAAAACATTTTTTTAGTTTCAATGATGACGATCCCATGTAACCGCCACAGGTTCATTAACAACTTCGGAAAGTTCCCCCGTCACGTTTAACGTGTCGGCCATTTGGACGTCGTGTACTTGAAGTAAATGCATTACGACGCGCTGTCATTATGACTGACTTACTGAGGTATTTCTCAACAGCTATTTTCAAGCTGGACAGTAAAATGTCTGATTTTACCCGAGCATATAGAGCATGATTTAGTTTTTAGCCCTTTTAGTTAATATTTTGAAGTAAATCAAACTTATATCACGCACCGAAGTGCTTCCGGAACACAATCGTTAATGACTCAGACACACAATAATACTTCAATATTGTTTACTTTACTTTTGGTGTCATTTGGCGCAAATTACACGAGTTGAAAACAAGATGTTTTTCAGCGTAAATACGACGTTACTTTTTCATACTAGCGCATTTTTGTGTCAATTTTAGCTTTATTATGCTTTTTCAGGATTTGAGTCAAAGTATTACCTGTGTGATACATTCCGAGATATTTAAGAAAACCGACCCTGTGCGAGTTAGTTGGCTGCGTGGATATATTTACTGTCAAGGCTGTTGGAATACTCTCTGGGTAGTTAGTATTAGCATGATACATTGCTTTGAAAAGATTTATACAGCAGGGGTATTAATGAAAACCGTTCTTGTTGAAGACATTTGTATTCCAGAGCAGCCAAATACAAACCATTTTGAATAAGAAATGAGGAATTATAAATACCTGTAATGATACATTAGGGCATAATCAACGTATGTATTGAAACGGGGCAGTGGGGTAGCCCAGTGGTGAAAGCGTTCGCTCGTCACGCCGAAGACCCCGGTTCGATTCCCGACATGGGCACAATGCTGGAATATTGCTAAAAGCGGTGTAAAACCATACTCACTCTATATTGAAACAATACAACTGTTTTAGTCGTGTTGAAGTTCGCAGTAAAGCTACAAAGATTGGAACAGCTGTTTATTTTTTGTCCATTCATCTTAGATATTAACATCTGTAGTCATGAACAGTGTTCAATACATGCTTCTGTCTAACATCAATGTGTGCTGCACGCTCGATTTAACGGGATATGACTCAACATCAGGTTACAGTTCGTGTACTTTCTCTCGGTGAATATGGTTTGATATACTCTTTGTGTGGCTATGTGCATCAAACCGCTTTCCCGCGGGATACGTTTAAAACTAATTTATCTTACCGTATCAATTATCCTTTACCGTACTTACACAACAAAAGGATATTCGTTTATATTTTGGCTGTGCGCATCACGTACATTTAAAGTCAATATTAATAGTGTGCATGAATTGCAGAGATTACAGACGTCGGAAAAAGAACGGTAAAATGTCAGTTGCCCTGACGGCGCGGCATATTTGTTCCGTTAATACATGGAAACTGACCAATAACATTGAAGTATTTGACAAGGTAAGATAAGCGGATGTGCAACCCCTTTACAAATCAGTACTGGTACCAGTACCAGTAACACTAACACACATTAACAGCGAATGATACTGTCCACCAGCTACGTTCCTGATCCCGTACCTCATCATGCTGGTGATTGCTGGCCTGCCGTTGTACTTCATGGAGTTGGCCGTTGGTCAGTTCTCATCCGAGGGGCCGGTCACTGTGTGGAAGGTCAGCCCCATATTTACAGGTAGGCTTCCCCCCTGACACAAGTCCCTGTTTCCCCAGCATGTTTTGAAAATAATATTAACAAAATAACAATCTTTTCTACGTCACTAGTGTGTCCCGAATGCATTAACGACGTCGGAAATGTTTCAAGGTTGTTTTTTGAAATAACCTTTTTGTATTTGTGTCTGTAATGGTATATATTCATTGCATTTCATAATAAAATTATGAAGATGGTGATTGCTCCAGTCTTACTTCCCACGTGTTTGTATAAATCTGTTGGCATATAGTTCACAAATCTGGCATCGACGATGATGAATGAAATACATGTACAATGTAGCTTTGGATATACATCTACATACGTCCCAATGGTATTTGTACCTAACGGGTTATTCTTTCTCTCCCTTGGCTTCTTTGTAGCACTCCGTCAAGTAGTGTGTACATAGGTTTAATGCTCTATTCTATTTCTCGCTCAGGTATTGGGATCGCCATGGTTACCATCAGCAGTATGATTTCTATTTATTATAACATCATCATTACCTACGCCATGTACTACTTGTTTGTCTCCCTTGTCAACCTTGACCTTGAGGTGCCGTGGGCGACATGTACGAACACGTGGAATACGGACACGTGCAGGACAGAGGCGTTTCCCGACCTCACTGGGATGAACGAGACCGCCAGGCTAGACAGCATGTACGGTACGTGCTTCAGTGAGTGAGTGAGTGAGTGAGTGAGTTTGTCTGGTGCGCTATAAAAATGGATATGATCATTCCCGTGGGAGAAAAACGGAAAGTGATAAAGTGGTATAATGCTGACATGACATATATGTGCCACCGGAACTGCACTACTAACCGCGGTTGAACTCGAGACTAATCTATTTCGGGATAATAAGATTTGTATTCATGTCGTATGTCTTCGATGTCATACAGTCCTTTTAACGTCAAGTGTCGAATATTCGGATTACCGTCACTTGTACATTCCTATAATGTCAATTGTCTTACATTCCTAGACCTGTTCCCGTAATGTGTCTTACATCCCTGTCAACGTTAAGTGTCGGACATCCCCGTCAACGTTAAGTGTCGGACATCCCCGTTAACGTTAAGTGTCGGACATCCCCGTTAACGTTAAGTGTCGGACATCCCCGTTAACGTTAAGTGTCGGACATCCCCGTTAACGTAAAGTGTCGGACATCCCCGTTAACGTAAAGTGTCGGACATCCCCGTCAACGTTAAGTGTCGGACATCCCCGTCAACGTTAAGTGTCGGACATCCCCGTTAACGTTAAGTGTCGGACATCCCCGTTAACGTTAAGTGTCGGACATCCCCGTTAACGTAAAGTGTCGGACATCCCCGTTAACGTAAAGTGTCGGACATCCCCGTTTACGTTAAGTGTCGGACATCCCCGTTAACGTTTAGTGTCGGACATCTCCGTTAACGTTAAGTGTCGGACATCCCCGTTAACGTTAAGTGTCGGACATCCCCGTTTACGTTAAGTGTCGGACATCCCCTTTAACGTTAAGTGTCGGACATCCCCGTTTACGTTAAGTGTCGGACATCCCCGTTTACGTAAAGTGTCGGACATCCCCGTTAACGTTAAGTGTCGGACATCCCCGTTAACGTTAAGTGTCGGACATCCCCGTTAACGTTAAGTTTCGGACATCCCCGTTAACGTTAAGTGTCGGACATCCCCGTTAACGTTAAGTGTCGGACATCCCCGTTAACGTTAAGTGTCGGACATCCCCGTTAACGTTAAGTGTCGGACATCCCCGTTAACGTTAAGTGTCGGACATCCCTGTCAACGTTAAGTGTCGGACATCCCCGTTAACGTTAAGTGTCGGACATCCCCGTTAACGTTAAGTGCCGGACATCCCCGTTAACGTTTAGTGTCGGACATCTCCGTTAACGTTAAGTGTCGGACATCTCCGTTAACGTTAAGTGTCGGACATCTCCGTTAACGTAAAGTGTCGGACATCCCCGTTAACGTTAAGTGTCGGACATCTCCGTTAACGTTAAGTGTCGGACATCTCCGTTCCCGCCAGGACTCGTACAATCCTGTTGACATTAAGTGTGGGACATTGCTCCGTCGATCAAGTGTCGTACATTCCTGTTGCCATCATGTGTCGTGGTTTTATAGTAACCGTTAAGTGTAGTACTTTTGCGTTACCGTGAAGTGTAGAACATTCCTGTTACCGTCAAATATTGTACATCTTTGTTACTGTCAGTTATCTTACATTCCGGTTACCTACACGTGTCGAACATTCCTGGTAGTGTGAATCACATTCATGGCGTGAGTGGTTAAGGCGCACGACTCCCAAGAAGTTATTCATACATGAAAATGGCGTTTCGCACAGCACGATGAGAATATTGTTTGAATAACGAATCTAAACAGACATTTCATTAATTAATTATTAATTAATGTATCTCTCGCTAAGATAACTGCAATTTACAATTTTGCTACCTGACCTACTGTTTATTATGGTGAAAATGCAGTCTTCAATATATCTATCAACATGTTCCTTTGAACAACCAGCAATTATTGTATCACGTTGTTACTTTCATTTGTCTAGAGGAGCTATACAACAGCACGTGTGTGTCCGTCGTCACTTCCAACAGTACATTGCTGCCTCAATTTGACAGCATCAACTCCACCATGCTGTCAGACCGAGCGTTCGACTCCTGCAAGTTTGTGTACACGTCCGCCAGCGAGGAGTACTGGACGTGAGTTTGGGTTCAGTTTATGATGGGGATACCCGGAACTCCGTGGTCCCAGGAACAGTTCAAAGTTGTGGCTCATGTCGGGTTCCGCTGGTCAAGGGTTCGATTCTAATTTTCGCCCAATTCTGATGTTCTCGTATGCTTCAACAAAATTGGTAAAGGTTCTCGACTTGGGCTCCAACATTAAACTGGCATGCCATGAAATACTGAAATTCTGATTAAGATGATATAAGATTAATTTATTTGAAGGCACGGTTGTTGGTAATGTATGAAAGAACTGATGTTCAACTTATTCTGTTCAATATATGACTACTTTACAATCTCATTAAAATCAGATGTTTGTTCTCTCTATGCTAAACTAAGATCTGAGGACATCCCATTAAGGGTCACGTCAGAACGACCTTTCATCCAACCAATCAGAGCGTCGCTTACCAGATCATGAAAGTGACAGTCGGAATGTGTTTTCGTATCATGCAACCACGAAATTTTTAACATGGGTAATTCCGAACGACAGTTACGGGTTTTATGATTATATTCATACAATCTAGGCCATCTATAAGCCATTCCAGAATGTTATCGTCAGTTTTAATTTTTTTTAATCGAGAATGCGTCAAAATATGTTTTGAAGCGAAGTCGCCAGTTTGAAACTAGTGTCGTAAAGCTCGAAAACGCTGCCTTCTGATTGGCTGATGTCGATTGCTTGTCAGTCATTTCATTGGTCGGTCAAAAGTCGCGAAAGGTCGTTCTGACGTGACCTGTAATGGGATGTCCTCAGATCTTTGTTAAGCTGTGGCGAAAACAAAGATCTGATTTTAATGAGATTGGACTACTTTAAAGCTAGTTAGTGAGTTGGGTTCAACGCCGCTTTGAATTGTATCTCATTTACATCATGGATTGTTAGATTAATCTAGAAGGAAAGACCCAAACCATGACTGCTCGTTGAGGCCCACGACCACGATGTAAGGGATAATAATCACGTCGAACCTTGGATTTAAACGACTATATGCACGACTAAGAAATTCCACTCGACACATTTTGTTAGACCACAAACTACTAACGTCCATTGTCATATTACTATTATTCAATTTTCGTTATATTCGCGTATATTGTTTTGAGTTTACGACAATCATAGAATGTATTTTAACAATGTGTTTATCATATATACATGGGCCACTCAGGCGCTCTGTGCTACGTCTACACGAATCAAGCGGAATCCATGACCTTGGCGACGTCAGCGTGAAGCTTGTAGTGACCCTCATCCTGGCATGGATCCTTATCTTCTTCTGTCTCCTGAAGGGCATCAAGTCGTCGGGGAAGGTAGCTACGCTTCTTACCATACGCTACAGTAGTGACCACACACGTGTGTCATCACGTTCACGATATGGATGGGTGTAACTATCATGTACCGTGTTATTGCCTTGTTACCAAAGATATCTGAGAGAGGATTACAGACACTGTACAGAATTGAGCCCCTTGCTCGTGCTAGGTCGGTCAGTCCCCCAGATGTGCCTCGATAAGGATATCTGTCTATCAGCATCAAGCAGGTACATTTAGCCGAAGCTATTTCAGGCTCTTCATCCCTATTTTGTGATGTAACTGTAATACCGCTCACCGCGACCTTAAAACTCATCCCTTAATGTCTTACACTCGCTGTTTACGAGACCAAGTGTGGTCTTTACTGATTTTATTTGCTTCAGTTTTGTTTGGCCTTTGTTTGACTATCTTACTGTACGACTATGTCCAAGTCGATTTGTGTAAATTCCGTTGTCCCAACTTTCGATTTTTTAACACTTGGAGTTCAATATATGGATAACATGTGAGAAAATTGTTTGAGGGAATTGATCGAAGGAAGGGGAATCCGTTCATTGAGTATTCAATACCATACCTACAATATATATTGTTCGGATGAACAATATCTTATTTCTCTGACAATCTGAATATTGTTTCTTCTTTTAGAAACGAACTTGTTTAACCTTTGAAAAAGGCAACATTGTTATCAATCTTGAAAAAGGTAGCTCAAGAAGTTCTTGTCGCGGTTATAGCCTATGTGCCTGTCTTTTTGCACCACGGAACGGAGTAGGAAATTTGTAGAATTTCTTTCAGGATACGACGTATGTCATACTTCAATGTGCATCTTAACTATGGCAGTTAAAACACTTGGTGTGTATATATGATTGCCTTTTGTTGTTTAGCACCGCACACAGCAAAATCCCAGCTGTAATCCAGCTATAGTCTGGACAAGACAATCAAGTGAATGACATAATGAGTTTCGATCTACGCAATTTGTATAAGATGACATGCATCAACAAGTCAGCGAGCCTGACCAACCGATCCCGTTGGTCGAATCCTACGACAAGCGTGACTGAAGACCAATTCCAACCCGGATCTTCACGGGGTTATTCAGATACTGTATAGACAGCAGAAAACAACCGTTTACGTTATTTAACACTGTCAATTATGTACATAGATACAATACAATAGTAACTCATAAACTCCATGTGAAGCGGTAGGCCAGACACACGCGACGTAACGTCCCCTGTAAAGATCAGATCCTCGCCATCGATCTCTTTTCAACTGTTTATTTTATGGTTATACAAGAAAAGGAAATTGATGTTATTTTTAATTTAAATGAAGCGTTACTGTTGTGAGTGGGATATCTGCTGATAACGGGAGTGATAATTACTGTTATATCAATTGTTCACCTTGTTTATCGAAAAACAGGAAACTAAAATAAATAATCGAAAATAATGATGAAGGGGAAAGCCTGTGACAAATATGTGATACATAGCTATTCAATACATACTGTACATACATGTAGTTCTATGAAACATGTAAACGCTGTAACATAAGCGCGATGATGAGCCAGATACTGGATCTCAATCAAAACAAAAACATGTCCAAATATATATGGGAAGTTCAATTGTGTGACACCTAAAAGCAGAAAAACCTATCTAATCTGATGTTTTCCAGCTTGATTTTACCGGCAATATAAACTTCTTAAAACCTGGAATATACACAATCTTTAGTTTGCAATTGTATCTAAATTATTTCGTAAAAGGATTTATTTTTAACTTTCATTTGAAAACAGAAACATGAGCACATATTGGCTTAGATTTAAGTAGTGATTCAAAATGCTTATAAACCTACTGCCACTTTTGCCTATTATATTGTATGTATCGTCGTATCTCATCGTAACCTTGTGAGAGGTACTATTTACAAGTTAGAGCTGTTCAGAGATATTACATTTGAATTTTAAGACCTACATGTATGTTTTACATTTGAAGTTTTATAAACTGGCTTTTCGAAATGAATGGGATTCTTGGTTGGTTATGAGTTACAGTTCTCTTTTTACGTGAACATTTATGACGTGAATCGAACTCTGAACCTAAGTTTTGAAAACCACTGTTTTCCCACTGAGCCAGTTTATAAAATGTTGTTCAATTTTATGTGTTATGACTTCAGTTGTGTGCATGTTGCTAGTGGTCTTCCTCTCTCTTTCTTTGATTGAATACCTATTATACCGCGACACACTGTATTGTTTCACTATAAGGTATCCCGATGTTTTCCTATTTTTTTCTGACATTTCTTGCATTTAGTCGGTTAAAAAAAAAACTCCTCGGTTTAGGTTGAAAATGTAAACCTTGAAGACATGTTTTATCCTTAACTTCAAAATTATGATTTTGTCTTGCAAGCCATCAACATTCTTGAAAACAGATTTAACATAAACTTCAACTTTACACAAATTCAATTCGTTTTGAGTACAAAATTTGCTTAATTTGGTATGCCATCGTCTTCTGAGAACAGGGATTGATATTACACGTACTTTCTTGCAATTGCCCAAAGTGTAAATACATATTATAGTTCTAGTGTCGTCGATGTACGAGGAGGTATCACAACGTTTTGAGTCTAGCATATATAGAACTGAAATATTGCTTTCTCATCACTATAATAAATCATAAACACATGCTGATGATGCAGTTGGAATTGTACAATGTACATTTATTTATTTATTTATTTATTTGATCGACTCAATCTCTTCAATAAGTTGGCATACTGTCAACCATACATAGTTGTTCTCCATGGCAAGTAATCCATGTGTGTGTTATGCCTTTGCTATGAATTATAAACTTCTTGGTTTGAGGAGACCCGACGAACTTCCACTCCATGGATTCTTGTTTGCTCCGGGGATAATAGTGATGGATCCAGGTATCATCACCTTGTAACAAGGCTAAAATGAACATCTTCTGGGTTGCGATTATATATGGTTAACGGGACATTAGATGTAGTGCCCTGCGTACCGATTATTTTGCCAGATATAATTTTAGGAACAAACCTTCGACAGATGTAGACGTTCATGAAGGATACAAGAAGCATGTGTTCTCCTCCAACTCATGGAGCGTCATGAGGACGATGTCTGTTCTATTGTGGTGCTGGTGGTGGGTCGCCCGGCGTTTTATTGTCATTGTCGCATATGATGAGGCATCCAGCCTAATACAGCACGCAACCGTTCATCAATATTCTTTGGTTGTAGGCCAACTGAGGTTAAAATATGCTCTATGCTGAGTTTGTTTATTTCAATGCTAGGAATATGGTACCTCCGTCGAATTAAATTATCAGAAAGTCAAAGATGACTCGACACGCGCAGCTGAGTAGTGATATATACCACACGTAATCATAAGAACAAGGCCAGGTTCAAACTTTCTCATATCCCCTCGTACTCCTGACCGCGTATGCTGCCACTCTCCATTCACTCTCTCACCCTGGTAAGCAGTTAAGGAACTTTGTGATTAAATTAAGACCGATCGCACCAAAGCCCTGTGTTCGATTCTTTACATCGGTGAAGTTCAGTCATAGTTTCTACAGATACGATATTGCTGGATTATTTCTTGGTGTCAAATGCCCCTTACTCACTCACTCCAGGTCGTGTATTTCACTGCCACCTTCCCATTCGTCATCCTACTAATCCTCCTGATCCGGGGCCTGACGTTGCCAGGATACGAGAAGGGCATACAGTTCTATGTCGTGCCACAGCCTGAAAAACTGCGGGAAGCCAAGGTAAGATAATAACTGCACCGTTTGCTTGTGCTGTTATTAATTTACAAAATTAATTGTGTAAATATCATATTGATCGTACGAACTGAACCCGTGTGTTCGATATTATTGATCAGTACATTAAATGGGTCAGTATTTTAAAACAGAAAATGTTGTATGGATCCCATGTCAGACGAGTGTAGATATATCGGTATGATATCGAGTCTTTATCTTAATGATTCTATGGTTACAGGTATGGGGTGAAGCAGCCACACAGATATTCTACTCCTTGGGGGTTGGTTTCGGCGCCTTGCCCACCATGGCGAGCTACAATAAATTCAACAACAACATCTACAGGTGCATGTAGAAAGACTGCTGGTGTTTGTTGTCGATGCTGTGATCATTGGTGAAGTCGTGAGGCTGGTCATACAGGTTCAGAAACTTGTTATTTGTGAAAGATGTGATTATGATCGTGTTTATGGTAGTCATGGTTATTGTTTTAGTGTTGATGGTCGAGGATGTGGTGGTGGTTGTAGTGTTGTTGTTGTTGGTGCTGGTAGTTGTGGTTATAGTGTTGTTGGTGGTGGTGGTTGTGGTTGCAGTGTTGATGGTGGTACTGGTTCTGGCTGAAGTGTTGATGGTGGTGGAGGTTGTGGCTGTAGTGTTGATGGTGGTGGTGGTGGTTCTGGATGTAGTGTTGATGGTGGTGGTGGTGGTTCTGGCTGTAGTGTTGATTGTGGAGGTGGTGGTGGTTATGGCTGAAGTGTTGATGGTGGTGGTGGTGGTTCTGGCTGTAGTGTTGATTGTGGAGGTGGTGGTGATGGTTGTGGCTGAAGTGTTGATGGTGGTGGTGGTGGTGGTTCTGGCTGTAGTGTTGATGGTGGTGGGGGTTGTAGCTTAGGTCGTGAAGCTGGTCATACAGGTTCAGACGCTTGTTGTTTTGTGAAAGATGTGGTTGTGATCGTGTTGGTGGTGGTCGTGGTTATTGTTTTAGTGTTGATGGTCGAGGATGTGGTGGTGTTTGTAGTGTTGATGATGATGGTTTGGGCTGTAGTGTTGTTTTTGGTGCTGGTGGCTGGGGTTGCAGTGTTGTTGGTGGTGGCGGTTGTGGTAGTTGTGTTGATGGTGCCGGAGGTTGTAGCTGTAGTATTGTTGTTGGTGGTGGTGGTGGCGGTTGTAGCTGTAGTGTTAAAGATGGCGGTTGTAGCTGCAGTGTTAATGGTGGTGGTGGTGGTGATGGTGGCTGTAGTGTTGTTGGTGGGGGTATTGTGGTTGTAGTGTTGATGGTGGTGATGGTTGTGGCTGTAGTGTTGATGATGGTGGTGGTTGTGGTTGTAGTGTTGATGGTGGTGATGGTTGTGGCTGTAGTGTTGATGATGGTGGTGGTGGTGGCTGTAGTGTTGATGATGGTGGTGGTTGTGGTTGTAGTGTTGATGGTGGTGGTGGTTGTGGCTGTAGTGTTGATGGTGGTGATGGTTGTGGCTGTAGTGTTGATGGTGGTGGTGGTTGTGGCTGTAGTGTTGATGGTGGTGGTGGTGGTGGCTGTAGTGTTGATGATGGTGGTGGTTGTGGCTGTAGTGTTGATGATGGTGGTGGTTGTGGTTGTAGTGTTGATGGTGGTGATGGTTGTGGCTGTAGTGTTGATGGTGGTGGTGGTTGTGGCTGTAGTGTTGATGATGGTGGTGGTTGTGGCTGTAGTGTTGATGGTGGTGGTGGCTGTAGTGTTGATGGTGGTGGTGGTGGCTGTAGTGTTGATGGCGGTGGTGGCTGTAGTGTTGTTGGTGATGGTGGCTGTAGTGTTGTTGGTGGGGGTATTGTGGTTGTAGTGTTGATGGTTGTGGCTGTAGTGTTGATGGTGGTGGTGGTTGTGGCTGTAGTGTTGATGGTGGTGATGGTTGTGGCTGTAGTGTTGATGGTGGTGGTGGTTGTGGCTGTAGTGTTGTTGGTGGGGGTATTGTGGTTGTAGTGTTGATGGTGGTGGTGGTTGTGGCTGTAGTGTTGATGGTGGTGGTGGTGGTGGCTGTAGTGTTGATGATGGTGGTGGTGGTGGCTGTAGTGTTGATGATGGTGGTGGTTGTGGCTGTAGTGTTGATGATGGTGGTGGTTGTGGCTGTAGTGTTGATGATGGTGGTGGTTGTGGCTGTAGTGTTGATGGTGGTGGTGGTGGTGGCTGTAGTGTTGATGATGGTGGTGGTTGTGGCTGTAGTATTGATGATGGTTGTGGTTGTGGCTGTAGTGTTGATTGTGGTGGTGGTTGTGGCTGTGTTGTTGTTTGTATTGGTTGGGGCCACAGAGTTGATGGTGGTGGTGGTGGTGGTGGTGGTGGTTGTAGCTGTTGGGCTGTTGGTGGTGGTGTTTGCAGCTGTAGTGTTCCTGCTAGTGGATATGTTGGTGGTGTTTGTAGCTGTTGTTGCAGTTGTGGTGGTTCTGACTGCAATGTTGATGGCGATGGTGGTAGTTGTAGCGTTGATGGTAGTGGATGGGGTTGCGCTTGTTCTGTTAGTGTTGTAGTGTTGGTGTGGATAGTGGTGTTGTTGGTTTTGGTGTTGGTGTTCGTGTTGAGTTGATGTTGATGGTGCTGGTGTTGATAGTGTTAGTGCTGGGTGGTAGTTTATGGTATTTGTGCCGTTGTTGTTGCGATGGACTAAATCACCCTGGCTGTGTTTGTAGTACTGACGTAGACGCCATAGACGACCATGGTCTTGACATACCCCGCACTGAAAAAAGCCAGCGATCTGATTATCTATAAATATGATATTTTTCCCTCTACATCGTCTGCTAAATCAATGACGCGACATTTTTCAATGCGAGGTATGTCAAGGCCAAGGTCGTTTATGGTGGTAAAGGGCTTATTGAGACGAATAAATGTACCTAAACTTATCATACCATCAAATCAATGTGTTGCGGATGACAATAGGCCATCGTCCAACAGCAGTCGCAGAATTGTCCGAGGTTCCGAGGCATTGGTTCTCTACGAGTTATGTCTCTCGTGACAAAGGAATGAACAATCCTTGAAAAATTTCATATCCACATGCATGCACACCTGTTGCTCAGCATACGGCATTTAACAATATGCAACAGTCAAACATACCGGCCGCTGTTCCTCTTCTTCCGCCATGTTTTCGTCCGCCATATCACACCCCAGGCCGTCGATTCACGTCGGTTTCTCTCTCATGTAGCGCACCCAGTTCGATAAGCACACTATTTCATGGCTTGCAGTTGCTTGAGTCTGCTAACATTAGTGGCGGAAACAAACAAAGTTGCAACTTGTAGAACATAAACTCAATTCAGCTCACAATAACCAGCGACACCAAACTTCGGCGATATTAGCCATTGTGCATGTTAGCTCGGCGCTACAATGCACTTGTGGAATGTTTCGAGTCACGTGCTATAATTGAAGCAATTAAGCATAAAAACTTAAATTTAAGAAGTCTTCTTATTGCTGCATGTGGTTATTGATAACCACACACTGAGCGGATAATGAATAATAAACAATAAACAACCCATTTTAGAGCTGTTCTAATGTGTTTGAAACGTAAGTGTGTCTCTTACAGGCAACAGGCAATTAGGTGGAACAGCCCGTCAGTTCGTGGATTTTCAATTTAGGGCACCACTCATTTCTCTTTCTTTTTAAACCCATCTCTAATAAAACACAGGTTAGTCTTAAATTTGGCATCTTTGAAAAGTAAAAAGGTTTGCTCTACCCCCATGTATGGTGTAATAAAGTATTCTTTTGCCCTGAACTATTATAACGTCAAAGCACTCGTGCTTTAACCATAGCAGTTCATGGCAAAACTATACTGTACTACACTACGCATGGGGGTAGAGCAAACTTTATTTCTTAAATAAGTTAACCTTTAGCTACCAAATAACATCTCTTTTTCCAGAGACGCCATTGTGGTGGCTGTCATTAACTGTTCCACGAGTATTTTCGCTGGTTTCGCCATCTTTTCTTTGCTGGGTAACATGGCGTATACTACGAACCAGGAGATCGCTGACGTCGTGGATCAAGGTGATCTCTATCTCTATCTCTTTCCCCTCGTTTACTGATTTGAAACATTTTGTCAATTCAAACCGGCAACTAGACGTATGTTCATATAATCAGGAAAATGGATTAATAAATTTGTCTGTAGCACAGAATTATTTTTTTAAAATAATTCACTTATAATTGGTCTACTCCTTAACGCACTGATTCACACATTTCTTCACAGGACCAGGTCTTACTTTCATCGCTTACCCAGAAGGACTTGCTCGACTCCCACAGTCCTCGTTTTGGGCGTTTTTGTTCTTTTTTATGATCCTTACTGTGGGACTGGACAGTCAGGTACATGTACACTCAGAAAATGTTTAGAATATGTTATTAGTTACAAATGTGAACATTTGTCTGATATTTATTTTAGAACAAAGAGTATTTGTACTTTATCAGGATGAAGTAGATTTCTGTACGCTATTGAAGTTGGCAATACATGTAGTTCCAAATCCAGGGGATTTTTATATATGACACTGCATTGTCCAGAGAGTCACCTTAGATCCAGACATTAGAACCCCATGAACGGGGCTAGACGAATCTATAAGTTATATCCTATGTGACCTTTGTCCGTAGTTCGCCATGATGGAGGCAGTGATAAGTGGCATCTCCGACATACATCCCAAATTCTTCCGGAAGAACAAGGCGGCCTTCACCTTCTTCTGTTGCGCAGTCGGCCTCCTGTTGGGTATTCCACAAGTCACCGCGGTAGGTTAACCTTCTTCTGTTGCGCAGTCGGCCTCCTGTTGGGTATTCCACAAGTCACCGCGGTAGGTTAACCTTCTTCTGTTGCGCAGTCGGCCTCCTGTTGGGTATTCCACAAGTCACCGCGGTAGGTTAACCTTCTTCTGTTGCGCAGTCGGCCTCCTGTTGGGTATTCCACAAGTCACCGCGGTAGGTTAAGCTTCTTCTGTTGCGCAGTCGGCCTCCTGTTGGGTATTCCACAAGTCACCACGGTAGGTTAAGCTTCTTCTGTTGCGCAGTCGGCCTCCTGTTGGGTATTCCACAAGTCACCACGGTAGGTTAACCTTCTTCTGTTGCGCAGTCGGCCTCCTGTTGGGTATTCCACAAGTCACCATGATAGGTTAACCTTCTTCTGTTGCGCAGTCGGCCTCCTGTTGGGTATTCCACAAGTCACCACGGTAGGTTAACCTTCTTCTGTTGCGCAGTCGGCCTCCTGTTAGGTATTCCACATGTCACCACGGTAGGTTAAGCTTCTTCTGTTGCGCAGTCGGCCTCCTGTTGGGTATTCCACAAGTCACCACGGTAGGTTAAGCTTCTTCTGTTGCGCAGTCGGCCTCCTGTTGGGTATTCCACAAGTCACCACGGTAGGTTAACCTTCTTCTGTTGCGCAGTCGACCTCCTGTTGGGTATTCCACAAGTCACCACGGTAGGTTAACCTTCTTCTGTTGCGCAGTCGGCCTCCTGTTGGGTATTCCACAAGTCACCATGATAGGTTAACCTTCTTCTGTTGCGCAGTCGGCCTCCTGTTGGGTATTCCACAAGTCACCGCGGTAGGTTAACCTTCTTCTGTTGCGCAGTCGGCCCCCTGTTTGGTATTCCACAATCACCACGGTAGGTTAAGCTTCTTCTGTTGCGCAGTCGGCCTCCTGTTGGGTATTCCACAAGTCACCACGGTAGGTTAACCTTCTTCTGTTGCGCAGTCGGCCCCCTGTTTGGTACTCCACAAATCACCACGGTAGGTTAACCTTCTTCTGTTGCGCAGTCGGCCTCCTATTGGGTATTCCACAAGTCACCATGGAAGGTTAACCTTCTTTTGTTGCGCAGTCGGCCTCCTGTTTGGTATTCCACAAGTCACCACGGTAGGTTAAGCTTCATCTGTTGCGCAGTCGGCCTCCTGTTGGGTATTCCACAAGTCACCACGGTAGGTTAACCTTCTTCTGTTGCGCAGTCGGCCTCCTGTTGGGTATTCCACAAGTCACCATGATAGGTTAACCTTCTTCTGTTGCGCAGTCGGCCTCCTGTAAGGTCACCACGGTAGGTTCTTAGGTCTTCATTTCCCAACTTTTAAGGGTACAATCAAGCATGCACTTTCCACGAAGATTTCAACGTGTGTCATACGACTCTTGCTTCAATGCCCTAGGATAGACGTGTTGAGGACGTTTCCAAATTGGATGCACCAGGAACAAAACTTATGTCTAAATTATTTACTTTGTGTTTTTTCAGGTGAACAATTGATTTGCACTCGCATGTGTTTATGACAGGTGTTTTGTTTGTTTGTTTACTGTTAAACGCTGCACTCAGCAATGTTCCAGCTATATGACGGCGGTCTGTAAATAATCGAGTCTGGACCAGACAATCAAGTGATTGACACCACGAACATCGATCCACGCAATTGGGATGCGATGACATGCATCAACCAACTCAGCGAGCCTGACCACCCTATCCCGTTAGTCGACCCTTACAGCAAACATGGGTTGCTGAAGACCTATTCTACCCCGGATCTTCACGGGTCTTAAGACGATGGGTGTAAGCTCGCGGGCAGGAGACGCTAACCTTTTCGCGAACTCCTGATATCATCACTATTTGATAGAGATTCCTGAACACATGCTTATAATAAGGTCGAAATCATTCAATGGAGCTTTCTTGGCATTATGGAAATAGTTTTGTCACTAAATTTACACATAAATCAGGTTTATCTAAACACACTGTTTATGAACCATGGTTAGCTTGAACAATGAATAAAATGCGTTGCACCTTTCCCTGAATGAGAAATAATCTACTTGTCACAACGTTTGAAAAACAAATATGGCATAGAAGTTTATGTAATAGCTCCAAAATGTCCTATTCTCATTTTAAATTAACGTTGAAGTGAAAATATTTGTGAAATATTTGTATTGTGTAACCTTGAGTAAATTCCGGACATGTATGTCAAGGTTTGGTGCAGTGCACACTGGCGGGAAATAGAAACTGGTAGAAAACTTAACATCCCTCGTGAAGAAAGATTTTGCAGACTATGTCAATTTGGCAAATAAAAGACGAGTTTCATTTCCTGCTAGTGTGCCCTGCATATATTCACCTACGCCATGTCTATATTCCTTCAAAATATGATCTACACCCAAATGTCCATAAGTTTGATATTCTTTTATCTACAGCTAATAATTATTAATATCGTTAAATATCTATATCACAGTAAAGAAGAAAGAATACGCATTTTATCATTGTGACTGTTGCCATAAATATGCCATACCTTTTGTTCAAAGGGCCTGAGTACAAAGTACTGAATAAAGAATTCATAAAAAAATATCGTTTCATGCATGTGCAAATTGTGCATTTCTCTAATACATTGCGTGTACAATGAGTATTTAACTCCTGGCTATCTCTGTGTCTAGGGTGGTATCTACGTGTTGACACTGATGGACTGGTACTGTGGCAACTACAACCTGATGATAGTGGCTCTGGCGGAGATCATCTGCCTCATGTATGTGTACGGTGAGTAGCGGGATGCTGAGACTGGCGCATGGCGCTTTCATTTAATTACTACATCAAGAGAGCTTCTCCGTACTTCTGAAAAGCAGATCCCAGGTCTTCGGGGCTGGCTTATGTTATCTCTACTTATTCACCGTGCAGGTGTGAGGGGAGTCAGGGCTGGTCTATATTATCTCAACTTATATACAGTGCAGGTGTGAGGGGAGTCAAGGCTGGTATATATCATCTCTACTTATTTGCCGTGCAGGTGTGAGGGGAGTCAGGGCTGGTCTATATTATCTCAACTTATATACAGTGCAGGTGTGAGAGGAGTTCAAGGCTGGTATATATTATCTCAACTTATATACAGTGCAGGTGTGAGGGGAGTCAAGACTGGTATATATTATATCAACTTATTCGCCGTGCAGGTGTGAGGGGAGTCAAGACTGGTATATATCATCTCAACTTATTACAGTGCAGGTGCGAGGGGAGTCAAGACTGGTATATATTATATCAACTTATTCACCGTACAGGTGTGAGGGGGAGTCAGTGCTTACATATATTATCTGTACGTATTCACCATGCAGGTATACCGGGGTTCAATGTTGACATGTATATTAGCTCTTACTTCTTCACCGTGCAGGTGCGAGTTGAGTCAAGGCTTGAGTATGTTATCTCTACTGATTTACCGTGCAGGTGTGAGGAGAGTCAAGGTTGACGTATAATATCTCTACTTATTCACGGTGCAGGTGTGAGGAGAGTCAAGGTTGACGTATAATATCTCTACTGATTTACCGTGCAGGTGTGAGGAGAGTCAAGGTTGACGTATAATATCTCTACTTATTCACGTTGCAGGTGTGAGGGGAGTCAAGGTTGACATATAATATGTCTACTTATTCACGGTGCAGGTGTGAGGGGAGTCAAGATTGACGTATAATATCTCTACTTATTCACGGTGCAGGTGTGAGGGGAGTCAAGGTTGACGTATAATATCTCTACTTATTCACGGTGCAGGTGTGAGGGGAGTCAAGGTTGACGTATAATATCTCTACTTATTCACGGTGCAGGTGTGAGGAGAGTCAAGGTTGACGTATAAAATCTCTACTTATTCACGGTACAGGTGTGAGGGGAGTCAAGGTTGACGTATAATATCTCTACTTATTCACGGTGCAGGTGTGAGGAGAGTCAAGGTTGACGTATAAAATCTCTATTTATTCACGGTGCAGGTGTGAGGGGAGTCAAGGTTGACGTATAATATCTCTACTTATTCACGGTGCAGGTATGCGGAAGTTCATGGCTGACATCGAGATGATGATTGGACACAAGCCAAACGTGTACTGGATGGTCACGTGGTTTGTCCTGACTCCAGCAACTATCCTGGTAAGTTAATCCTTCTTGTTCATCAGACAAACCTGGAATTGAACCCAAATCAGAATCCTGGCACGACCAAGTTGCGGAACTCTGCACAGCAAATTGTGGTGACTCAGACCACTGGCTCATCTCCGAGTTAATGGTAAAGTGTGTCAATCTACCTTTCAAGTTAGAGTGCAAGTATCATGAAACATAGAAATAGAGTTTTCCTACATCATTATGTAGCCAGCATGATGTACAATACGATGGCCAGGAAAAAAGTGTGAAAACGTACTCTTCATTAAAAGTACGTATTTTGAGGTCTGTATTTGTGACAAGATAGAGGAGAATAGTTTACGTCTTTAATCAGACTCAGACGAAGGAAAGTACAGCGTCGAATGAGTGTTGTTTTATTGTGAATAGGTGAATGTCTAAGTGTTAAAAGGGGTGAAGAGTAGGTCAGCTTTGGTGAGAACGTGTGCAGCCGACCATGACTGTGAACGTGGACTTGCCTGTTGTAGTGTGAACCGAGGGGCGGGTTGGTGCGATCAAGTGCGTAATTCTGGAGGTAATCCTCCAACGGGACCATATACGGAGCCTCTATATATATAGGCCCCGCCTCCTCTGTATATAAAGGTTCCGCCTCCTCTGTATTTACGTTTCAGCCTTTGAAATTGATAGACAGAACAAAAGGCATATAAACCTTATTTACGCGCCGCTTTCGATGTTTTGAATACGATACTTGCATTAACGATCTATCCAAAGTTGTGTATACCCATGAGACTTGCATTTTAACAATAGAATTCACAGAGTATCAAAACAAACCTCACACAGTCAGATTTGTGTCAAAGATGTTTCACCCTAATTTGTACGCTAATGGAAGTATATATTTAGATATATTACAGGACCCGTGAATATCCGGGTAAGAATAGGTCTTCAGCAACCCATGCTTGTCATAAGAGGCGACTAATGGGATCAAGTGGCTAAGGCAAGTGACTGAGTATGGTTTTACGCAGCTTTTAGCAATATTTCAGCAATATCACGGCGGGGGACACCAGAAATGGGCTCATCACATTGTACCCATGTCGGGAATCGAACCCGGGTCTTTGGCGTGACAAGCGAACGATTTTACCACTAGGCTACCCGACCGCCGCGAGTGGTCAGGCAAGCTGACTTGGTTGATCCATGTCATCGTATCCCAACTGCGTAGATCGGTGCTCAAGATGTCAATCACTGGATTGTCTGGTCCAGACTCGCTCATTTACAGGCCGCCGTCCTCTTGCTGGAATATTGCTGAGTGCAGCGTTAAACAAAAACAAACAAAAACAAAAAGACATATTACAGAATTGTTAATACTGATTAATACTGATACTGCACGCATTACAACATTTCAGCTGTTGAGATACCAATGCCCATTTATTCAGAAATACATTTAACCTAGCCATTGTGTTAACATAATTGCACCCAAATGAGTTGTTTCTTACCTGTCTTGTGTCATCCTGCGTTTGTTTCTCATTCCACCAGTTCATCATCATCATCTCGAGTGTCCAGAACTCGCCCGCTAAGTACGGAGACTACACGTTCCCCACGTGGGCGCAGGGCGTGGGGTGGATGATGGTCGGCCTCCCCGTGCTGCTCATCATCATTGTAGCCTCCGTCCAGATCCACAGATACGGCTTCGTGAGTTCCTCCTGTTGTTGGTATCAATGAAGGATCTTGAGAAAATGTCCATTTGCATGATAAACGTTAGGAGCCTCATTTCTAGGTAATTTTCATGAAGCCTCGTTACGTCTTTTACGAGTCAAAGTGCCCCACTCTGTGTAGAGTTCAACTCAAGACACACATGTCAATGCTTCAGATGATAATTATCATTGGAATGAACTCAGACACGTAAAAGAGAGTGAGTGAGTGAGTTGGGTTTAACTCCGCTTTTAACAGTATTACTGTTATAACGCGGCGTGTCAGCTTAATGTGGGAGGAAAGCCCACTTTGGTGAAACCCACGAGCACGGGTATGGTGCTGACAAACCTAGAAACATAATCGGGGCGAACCGGGATTCGAACCCAAAATCATAGGTTTCTGGCGTGCCCAAGGGGCGCAACTCTGCATACAAAGACGAATATTATAACGATTGTTGACCAACAATCGAATATATCCTTCAGTATCGTATTTAGAGATACTGAGTTTGAAATCAATAGATCTGTGTTTCTATAAACCTTACAAAATCAGGCCCCGACCACTAGCGCACTACTTCCGTAGTCGTGTTGCATTATTGCGCGAAACAATGTCACTTATTTCGAATCGTTTTCTACAATTTGTTGTGTATTAGTGAGTACTTTAGCAGTTATGCATTGAGTATGAGAAGCTTATTGAATATCTAGAATTGCTGGGCGGAAGAGGTGACTGCATTAGATCGGTGGTCGAGGTATATCCCTTCTATATATATGCTTACAGACGTGCTGTAAAAACTGGTGTCGAATTGTAAATATTCCTGAAAAAGGATATGTGAAAATATTTTATGTGGTGCTGTTATTTGCAAATAATGGAAAGATCAACTGGTTATCTAAGATTAAGCACTTGCTCTACACCAATGGTTTTGACTATATTTGGGAAAATCAGTCTGTTGGTGACGTTCTTCAATTTATTTTAGAATTTACATTTCGGTTAAAGTCTTCCTTCGAACAAATCTGTAACAGTTAAAAAATGTATAGTTATTCTTTGTATAAAACGTCATTTGGTCTAGAAAATTTATCTAAATGTAATCAGTATCTCTAAGTTTTCAAACTGTCTTGCAAAACTAAGTTGTATTTCCCATCAGTTAAGAATTGAAACGGGATGACCCTGTAAACAAGCAAGATGTGAGAGAGCATGTTTACTGTGTAACAACTAGTAAAATGAAGATATTTTAAAGAATCATGCTATGTATATATAAGTCTACAGAACTAAGATCAGCTGTAATAGAACCACATAACACTGCCCAACGGCCTGGGTCGTATTTGTATTTAGTCAATCAAATATGCTTGGTCTAGTATCGATTATTTTCCAAACCTGGAATACCGCTGACCGCGGCATAGAACACCTCAACTCACTTGCGCATTAACTATTGCAGAGAAACTCCCTGAAACCTACATCAGATTGGGGTCCAGCAAATCCTGAGTTTCGGACAGGGCGTTATGCCAGGGATGAAGACGGTTCTCTCACCATGGGCGCGAAGCGGTCCACATATGCCATCGCTAACTCCGGCTATACCCCGGATGTGGAAAGAAACGATAAGGGAGATAACCAAGTAAATCACACGAACCAATACAGCATCACGCAGTGTTCGGACACTGTCACGTTCAGGAGTGTTCCCCCGCCGGACTACAGCCCCGAGAGACTTGCTAGGATGCAAGTACAGAGGATGTAGACAGGAACGGCATAGATCAGCACAATGTACACTTTATAACCTGTCATCTTACTGTTTGTTGAACTTTCTTGTCTTGTCCTATTTGGTCTATACTTCATTCACGCCCTCCTCTAACCACACAACACACACCATATCCATCCAACGAACATACATCACCTATCCACACCCACACCCACGAACACCCACATGCTCACCAACACCGTTACCACTAACCCCACCTGTGTGCATCTGCCCTCAACATATGTATTGCTATAAGTTCTATTAATTCATAAATTTTCAAAAGGTGGGGGCCCCTCGACACAAAATATCAAAACCCTCTCTCAGATAATTTTACTGCCTACACCATACTACATTTGGTTTTCAAAAGGTGGGGGACCCTGCACACACACACACACACTAACACTAACACTAACACTAACACTAACACACACTAACACTAACACACACTAACACTAACACACACTAACACTAACACACACGCACACTAACACTAACACTAACACTAACACACACACACACTAACACTAACACTAACACAGAGACGCACGCACACACACTAACACTAACACTAACACACACTAACACTAACACACACACACACACTAACACACACACACACTAACACTAACACTAACACACTAACACTAACACTAACACACTAACACTAACACAGAGACGCACGCACACGCACACACACACACACACACACACACACTTGTGACTTGTCCTGTCCAGACTGCATTATTTGTTAAAGCTCAAAATAGCCAGAATGAAAATTTAATACTTCTCATCGAAACTTTCAATGCTTTGGGACTGAAGACGAGGTTAGTTTTCGTTAATTCTATGTTTTGTATTATCATATTATCTCCCTCGATGGCATATTTACTGTAATAATATAGCAGGTTGTCGTGGATATATTTGATAATGCTGTGGTGGCTTTGTCAACTTTTCTCAAATAAACATCTTCAATCTACAATTTTCCGTGCAGTTCAATTGATTATATCCCGTTGTAACGACACATGTGTCTGAGACCAACAGTATTCACAACTGTAAAATGTCAATATTTCCTATACCTTTCTAAGCATCAAGGAAGTGATAATTATTTCTGCAAACATTTGGCGCTGTTTTCCTTCCCGAGAAAACAAGACATACGACATGAATGCATGTACGCTGCTAATTGGCAATAAGTACCACAGCTTGTTCTTTTAATTCGGATTACAAATAACTTGTTTGCACGGAAGACTTAACAATAATTAAGAGTGTATTGATTAAACTTTATGCTCTTAAATGTGTTAAGAGAAGTTGGAAATGTTGACATGTTTTAGGATTAATGCGCTCTCACGTTCTGCATGTGTGTTGACTGAGCGTCATGTACATTGTGTGTGTATTCCAGTTGTGCATTATTCGCATCATTGTTTGGACTTTTATGCATCCTGCTTTGTAATCGTATCATCAGTATATAATCAACAACATTTGTCCTTCAAATATAATTTTGGTCATCAAATTGTAAGGGATTGTGGATATTCGTGATCAATATAATTATATTAAAGTGAATGCCAATTACCCGCCGCACCACGGACCACTTCACTGAACTGCACAAGATCTAATGGATAAGCACCTGCTTCACCTGTCCACTTCACTGTACTGTGCAAGTAGATTTAATGGATAAGCACCTGCTTCACCTGTCCACTGCACTGGGCTGCGCAAGTAGATCTAATGGATAAGCACTGCTTCACCTGTCCACTGCTCTGAACTGAGCAAGTATATCTAATAGATAAGCACTGCTTCACCTGTCCACTGCACTGAACTGAGCAAGTATATCTAATAGATAAGCACTGCTTCACCTGTCCACTGCACTGAACTGAGCAAGTATATCTAATAGATAAGCACTGCTTCACCTGTCCACTGCACTGAACTGAGCAAGTATATCTAATGGATAAGCACTGCTTCACCTGTCCACTGCACTGAACTGAGCAAGTATATCTAATAGATAAGCACTGCTTCACCTGTCCACTGCACTGAACTGAGCAAGTATATCTAATGGATAAGCACTGCTTCACCTGTCCACTGCTCTGAACTGAGCAAGTAGATCTAATAGATAAGCACTGCTTCACCTGTCCACTGCTCTGAACTGAGCAAGTAGATCTAATGGATAAGCACTGCTTCACCTGTCCACTGCTCTGAACTGAGCAAGTAGATCTAATGGATAAGCACCTGCTTCACCTGTCCACTGCACTGGGCTGCGCAAGTAGATCTAATGGATAAGCACTGCTTCACCTGTCCACTGCTCTGAACTGAGCAAGTAGATCTAATGGATAAGCACTGCTTCACCTGTCCACTGCACTGGGCTGCGCAAGTAGATCTAATGGATAAGCACTGCTTCACCTGTCCACTGCTCTGAACTGAGCAAGTAGATCTAATGGATAAGCACCTGCTTCACCTGTCCACTGCACTGGGCTGCGCAAGTAGATCTAATGGATAAGCACTGCTTCACCTGTCCACTGCTCTGAACTGAGCAAGTAGATCTAATGGATAAGCACCTGCTTCACCTGTCCACTGCACTGGGCTGCGCAAGTAGATCTAATGGATAAGCACCTGGTTCACCTGTCCACTGCACTGAACTGAGCAAGTAGATCTAATGGATAAGCACCTGCTTCACCTGTCCACTGCACTGAACTTTGCAAGTAGATCTAATGGATAAGCACTTCCTTTACCTGTCCACTGCACTGAACTGAGCAAGAAGATCTAATGGATAAGCACCTGCCTCACCTGTCCACTTCACTGGAATGTGCAAGTAGATCTGATGGATAAGCATTTGCGCAATCTAGAAATGAGCAAAACGTTTCGATATGTTATCAGATATGCTCAAATGATCATTGTGGTACTTGCCTCACTTACAACACTAAATATAGAGGTATGGCTATCGTGTGAGCAAACTTTTGAATTTTTAGGTTTTGATAATACTTGTATGTGAGGAAGTCTTTGAACCAAAGTGATTTATTTAGATCAACTAAGAATAGAGCTGATAGCCGTAGTAGTCTACTGATAGCCGTTGCAGTCTACTGATAGCCGTTGTAGTCTACATATGCCGTTGTAGTCCACTGATAGCCGTTTCAGTCTACTTACAGCCGTTGTAGTCTACTGATAGCCGTTGTAGTCTACTGATAACCGTTGTATTCTACTGATAGCCGCTGTAGTCCACTGATAGCCGTTGCAGTCTACTGATAGCCGTTGTAGTCTACTGATGGCCGATGTAGTCTACTGATAGCCGCTTTAGTCTACTGATTGCCGTTGTTGTCTACTGATAGCGGAGAGGTAGATATGTTGTTGGTATAATGAAGAATAGCATTACAAAGCATAATCTTTTTGTCGTTGAAATTATACACAACCGAGTGCAATGTTTGAGTATGTATGTTTATGTCAATAAACTATTAATAATGTGTATGCTTGTCAAGAATATTGATAGTGTTCGTCGATCTCATATATCGATCAAATCCATACAGATAGTATGTGCCTTGAAAAATGTAAAATTAAGCATTTAGGGAAAACAGGGAAATAAATGTACACATATTTGCTTTATCTCAAACGCTGGCGGAACAGTATGAAAGGTATTTTATTATGGCGATTCACCAAATGTAACATTGGTGTAACCCACGACAAAGGTATAATGCTGATAGACGAAGATCCTTGCACGGCTAAGGGGCGCAACTCTGCAAATCAAATGTCGCCTTATGAATTTGGGACCCCGTAACGTGCAACATCAGCTATGTCATTCATATAATTGAAGCTAATCAGTCGGTTATGCATATTAACAAACAAGGGACTTTACCTATAGGTTTGACATTTGTTCACAGTATCGTGCCAGACTATATGGAATGTAACTCCAACTTGTGTCTTCTTCCTGTTTAAGTCCAGTAAGTTTTAAAATGATGGCATCATGTGATTACGGCGTGACACTGGATATATACAAGGAGTGTCTGTGGACATGCAGAGCCCTGTACACCAATATCAACACATGTAATTAGCAACTAGGAGAGACGTATACAATACAGTATATAAACAATCGCCATTTCTTGTAATCGAATAATTATAATATTGATGAATAAATATTCCGTACTAACATGCACTGTTTATGTCACCCTACCAATATCTCCTGGTATATATAACCTGTTTCTTGGGCCTACACACACAGCGATGTATCCTACCAATATCTAGCATGATATGTCCTGGTATATATAACCTGTTTCTTGGGCCTACACACACAGCGATGTATCCTACCAATATCTAGCATAACATGTCCTGGTATATATAACCTGTTTCTTGGACCTACACCCAGAGAGATGTATCCTACCAATTTCTAGAATAACATGTCCTGGTATATATAACCTGTTTCTTGGACCTACACACACAGAGATCTATCCTACCAATATCTAGCATAGCATATTCTGGTATATATAACCTGTTTCTTGGACCTACACCCAGAGAGATGTATCCTACCAATATCTAGCATAACATGTCCTGGTTTATATAACCTGTTTCTTTGACCTACACACACAGAGATCTATCCTACCAATATCTAGCATAGCATATTCTGGTATATATAACCTGTTTCTTGGACCTACACCCAGTGAGATGTATCCTACCAATATCTAGCATAACTTGTCCTGGTATATATAACCTGTTTCTTGGACCTACACCAAGAGAGATCTATCCTACCAATATCTAGAATAGCATATTCTGGTATATATAACCTGTTTCTTGGACCTAAACACAAAAAGATCTATCCTACCAATATCTAGCATAGCATTATTCTGGTATATATAACCTGTTTCTTGGACCTACACCAAGAGAGATCTATCCTACCAATATCTAGAATAGCATATTCTGGTATATATAACCTGTTTCTTGGACCTACACCAAGAGAGATCTATCCTACCAATATCCAGCATAGCATTATTCTGGTATATATAACCTGTTTCTTGGGCCTACACACTGAGAGATGTATCCTACCAAAATCTAGCAAAACATGTCATGGTATATATAACCTGTTTCTTGGACCTAAACATAGAGAGATGTATCCTACCAATATCTAGCATAACATGTCCTGGTATATATAACCTGTTTCTTGGACCTAAACACAGAGAGATCTATCCATCCAATATCTAGCATAGCATATTCTGGTATATATAACCTGTTTCTTGGACCTACACCCAGAGAGATCTATCCTACCAATTTCTAGCATAATATGTCCTGGTTTATATAACCTGTTTCTTGGACCTACACCCAGAGAGATGTATCCTACCAACATCTAGCATAACATGTCCTGGTATATATAACCTGTTTCTTGGACCTAAACACAGAAAGATCTATCCTACCAATATCTAGCATAGCATTATTCTGGTATATATAACCTGTTTCTTGGACCTACACCCAGAGAG